TTTCATAAACCTATTGGTTACTGAGGTTTTAGTAGTTTTATTGACGAACCCACAAACATATCAAGTAATTTTTTTATTTAAAATCAGTGTAATACCTTTCTTAAATTAAATAATTTTTGGCTCGAATGAGCGGTTTTGGGTTAGAAATTTGAACGAAAACAAAAAGCATTCATTTATTTGCAAATAGGTACTACCTATTTGCAACTAAAATTTTTTGCAGATAGCTTAGGAATATCGAAAAGTCTCCCAATATTGAGACCTTAAACAAAATTCGAAAATACATAAATAACAATGTACTTATCTGAACCTTTTCAAGCTAATGTGTCTACTTTTTTATTGCCTTAGTAACTTACAGAGCATGTGATTTTCTCCAATATTCGTATTTTTTGGTAGCATCAATATTTTAGGAGTGCTTAAAAATATAACATCCAATTTTTTGTATGAATATTTAAATTCCCCACAATTTTTGATTAAAAATTTTTACTACATAGTTAATATTTAACATAATTTGAATTTGAAACAACTTCCTGAAATTATATTTCACTTATTTTTCAATTAATACAAACAATGTGAGGAATTTAAATATTTATAAAAACAATTACACGTTACGTTTTTAGGTACTTAAAGCCCTACGAAAAAAAATCCAAATACTTTAGAGAATCACATGCTCTGCAAGTTTTATAATAGATAATTTAACGCAGCATTTACGTTGAGATATTTTGAAAAGAGTGATTAAGTGGCGCCCAACATCTCAGTAAATAATAACTGTAGAAAAAAAAATCTAAAAAAAGTTTTTTTGTAACATATTACTACTGAAACATTTGTTTTATTGGTTCCTATATTTTCATTCAAAAAACTAGTTTCAGATTTTTTAACAATATTGTAAGAGTACCGATATTTCAAAGCTATCTGGATCAATTTAATGTGACATTCCATTGTTTGGCATGTTCGTACATTTCACTAGACTTAAAAAAATAGATGCATGATGTTCGTTACGTTGTAGCACAGCGTATAGTGGGGAAGAAAATGGTGTAGTTTTTTTATTATGCCTGCAATTTTCGTGAAATAAAATCGCGTCGGTCTTCCATTGAATGATAATTACTGGAAAATGATACTCATTTGTTGACCCAATTATTTTTAAATGCATCCATAAAACATTTCATTTGCCTTGAGAAACGTGATTTACCGGTAGCAATTATCTGTATTTTATTGCGCGCGATTAATTATTGAAATTATGCTAAAAACGACGAACTGTGTTGGGTATGTTAACTTATTGATATAAAAATTAACCAGACGAGTATATTATCAATTATTATTATAACTAATAAAAATTATATAATTTAATAAAATTATTAAATATGTCTCATATATATTAAAACGTATTCTATAAGATTTGATACAAATATATAAAGTTATTTCTATAACTTAATAATAAATAAATAATGTCAAAAATAATTTTCACTTCAAGTAATATTTACGGTTGAAATATTTAAACTATCCCATCAAAAAATGTATATTTTAACAAACCCCTAATTAATTTCTAATCACTCTATTTCACACATTCATCTCATACCAGTATCACTGCTTAAGTTTGCAAAAAATATAAATTACGTTATCTAAATCGCTTTATCGCTTCTCAAAATATTCCCCTTTAAAATCTATACTCTTGGGCATCCACAGGGCCGAGAGCCAGGCCGGGCCCTAGGACAATTCCCTAGATCGGGCCCCGTGATAAAAACTGTTCCTCTTCTACTGAAATAGAATTATAAAATTTTTTTCTAAACAAAAAATTATTTTCCCTACTTGAATTACTTCTTCTTCTAAAAAAAAGGCCTCAGCCGCAAACAACTTCTCCAGCCTTAAACTTTTCCTCAACTTGTAAAAAGAGCGCTGCCGGGCCCCCACCCCCATTTAAGCCCGGGCCCCGGGAGTTGGTCCCGGCTACCCCTCCCCCGCCCCGCCCCTCTAGTCGGCCCTGGGCATCCGATGAAAAACCATCAAATCTTCAAACACTTCCACTGTGAACAGGTATCTCCGAAATAAGTACGTAATTTAAATGATTCAACGTCATCTTCAGACAATGAAAAACACGCACCAAGAATTTCATTTTTGATGTGGTGGATTAAAATAAATCCAGTCAGCCATTAACTGTCCTATCCTGTAATTAGGGTTATGATTATCGGTCGAAGGCACATACTTTGATTACTATACGGTGCAAGAAAGAGGTCCGACATACCCAACATAGGGCGCGGCCATTTTGATGCCTTTACCACAGTTTATAGCTACAGAATCAGTTCGCTCTCTCTGCGTCGGCACTTTTGATCTCAATGGCTGCGTTCATCCGCGCCACATGCTACCTGGTCGATCTGGTAGCGCTCTCGAGTGGCACGTATGAACGGTGTATTTTGACATTTCGCTCAAGGAGCGGCCGTCATTAAAAGTAGCGCATTTTATTTACGTCTGATCGGTGATCACTGATCTGTCTTACGCACTTACGTCCACGGTTTGCTTGGTGACTAGTAGGGTTATATTAGCATATTAGCAATTGAAAAATAAACAAACAAATCTTCAACCAGAGACATATTCAACTCAAAAGTAAAATGAATAAACCAAAATCAAATGTCACTTTTAAACATGGTTCATCCGTGCATAAAGATCGATCAGGTAGCGTAAGTGATCGCTACTTTTGTAGCGCTCCTTGAAATGGCGCGGATGAACGCAGCCATTGTTCCAGTTTATACACTGCGTATAGCAGAAGTAAAAGTTGGAAAGGCTTTTGCCAGTTCTCCCACTTTATACACATAAATTGACAGGTTTGCGGCGGATCTCACCAAATTTCTATAAAGCCAGCCACTAATAGTGACATCGTAATTAGAGTCAAATAAATTCTATAATAGTACCTAATATTAAAGAGGCATTAGAAATGATAATTTTAGAAGGTTTAAATGACGAGCGCATCCGAAAGCTATAAAGTCGCCACTACCTGCTGCCCTTAAACATCCACAATTAAGGACAGGCACAATCCTTAATAAAGTCAGTTTTAGAACATAAACATCTGCGCATGCTTAGATGTCAAAATAAGAGCGGCACTAATAGTGACTGACCCTAAGTGACCTTGCAATAACTCTCTTAATAAGGACAGGCACAATCTTTATTAAAGTTAGTGATCTACGCATGCTCAGATGTCAAAATAAGAGCGGCACTAATAGTGACTGACCTTAAGTGAACTTGCAATAACTCTAGTATCTTCGCCTAGATCCTCAACTACGGGTTCGATGGTAATTTCAATGAAGTTATCAAGATTCCACATATTCTGCTCTTTTTTCACTGCATGTTCGATACATTTTATCCACGACTGTGAGGTCACATTGCTGACGGCACTATTAAGCATTTTTTATTTGAGCTCATACAAGTTCAATTGGGTTTAACTCACAATGATAGGGTTGGCAATCGAATTATAATTACTCCTCGTTCTCGCGCTATTTCATCTACTACATATTTGATATATTTATCTTCATAACACCATGCTAAGTTTAGTAACTCGATTTTTAAAATTGGTTCATTGAATTTAATATTTTTCTTATTAAGCCAATCTGCAATCTGGGCTTTTCTCCATTTGGTGGTTGGTAACTGTTCTACACACCGGCTGAGGTGTGGAGCGTTATCCATAACAATAACAAAATGAACGTTCTGATGAAAAGTACCATGAAAACTGGTAATAGAATTTGAATTAACTTAAAAACTTCTGAAACTGAACTCTAAACGTCTTTTGTGCAATTTGAACTTCTATGAAGTTGTTTCACCATAATATCAGAATATATTTATAACATATATCTATGTAATTTATAATATAAGATTTTTATTACCACAAAACACAGTGATTTCTCGTGTATCCTTTCATAAAATCGATTCTGTTGTCAAACGTCGCATACGCCCAGAGATGTAACTACTAACAAATATCGTGCGACCCTGAATAAGACATTCTAAGGGACACAGACGGGTATAATATCCGCTGTTGTCATATGCCTATTTCATTATTCTCGTTTTGTTTACAAAATCATTTACATATATTTAAAAAGCTAAAATAATTCAACCTATTTTATTGCAACGGAACCCAAAAAATTAGATGTAATTTCATTAAATTAGATGTAATAATTTTCAATAAATTCCAAAACCTAGTGATGTTAGATTGGAAGTGGGCAACAGGGCTTACACCGGCATGGAAATTTACGTTGTGTATTATAAGTGCGCAGCGGCTTACACATTTATTCATTGATAAAAATAAGTTGTGTCTGCGTAAAATACTTCTCTTTATCCCTTCTCTTACTTCTCACCTTTCGTCGCCTCTCCCCTCGTCTAGAAATGGAATGTATCGATTGTCGAATTAATGTTGGCATCTTGAAAATTATATTTTATCAATGACTGCTTATATCTTTGTTATATTATTTGTTTTACACAAATTAAGGGTATCATTTTCCAGATTTTTGTTTCAAGAAGACATTTTTTTATTAAAAAAGGATATTTTCTGCTATTTATCTAACTTTTTGCTAACATTAGTTTGATTAAAAATTGTTAGAAGAGAACATTAGAAAATATGATTATATCTATGCGAAAATGTTATCAATGCATCAGATGAATTTAATAAGAAAATGACGAAAATGAACATTAAATATCTGTTTTTTATATATACTAGACCATAAAGTAAATATTTGAACAAATGAAACATTATCTACTCAAGAGAATATAAAAATTATAATGAAGAGAACAACAGTATAAACAAGGTCTATAATAATATAAAAACCATTTGTAGAGATACCTAATAGGTATACAATAGCATAGGTACATTGACTAACACTACACTGACTTAGTTTTTTCATGTGGTTGTGGCGTCTTGTCTTTTTTGTGTCCCTCATTCTGTTGATCACCGCTTTTGGTTACGTAGTTTTATTTTATTTTTAATTGGGTTTAATAAATGTACGAACATTTTAAACTAATGTTAGGAAATACTGCAGTTTTCATACCAGAACATCGTAACATATCCCCAGATTTAAGCATATCCCGAGTAGGGACCAGGGTCATTGATGAGTTGGTCAAACCCTTGACCGATGTCCAGATTGATGATACGGAGTTCGCCTGTCTCAAAGCCATCGTCTTCTTTGATCCAAGTAAGTCATATTCTTTCAATTATTTTTTTAGATATAGATAAAGGGAAATAATAGAACATATAAACATTAAAATAAGTGTTACCTGAAGAACAATTGAATGAAAGTGAGTAAATAAGATTAAAGTTGAAGAACAATTTAAAAATAGTCATTTGCCAAATAAACGTTTATTAAGTTTTGTCATGATGTGAATAATTTTAAGGAATAGGCAACTTTGGCACGCATATAAATGATTTTAAAATAATATACTCCCGTTGTTTTGAAATTTTTATGGTTAGGCAACTTTGGCACTGAACCACTCAAGTGAAATTAGCAGTAACTAAAATGTTTTTATTAGAACTACAACAATCGGTGATCCATCATAGGTAGTTAGTCATCTATAATTCTAATATGTATTTATTATTATTGAAATAACTGGCGTTCGTTTAACTAATACATCCCTTCCCCTACACAAGTTGCTCAGTTGGCTTTAGGGGTTGAAATTCACCTGTAAGAGGGTGAATTAGGGAGAGTATTATTATTTTTATGATTATACCGCAAAAAAATATAGCATCATCTAGAAAAACAAAAAAGTAAACCAACGCCTAATATTTATTTCGAAAATGTTAAAAAATATAAATATATAAGATATGTATAGTATTTTGTTTGCCAGGGATAAACCGCATGCCGAAGTTGGTATACTTAAATCCTCTTTTACTATCAAATTCCTGCAATTCTTTTACCTTGCCAATTCCTCGACAACTACTACAATTTCTGGCAATTCCCAACACAATTACTCGGCTATTCCTAGACAATCCCTACAATTCCCGGGAACTCCCAACTAACTCATTCTGCGGTCTACCCCTCGATTTTTCGTTCGCCTATTTTAATGTTCCTTTTTTATGAAACCGTTTCCAGACGCCAAAGGTTTAAGTGAACCGGCCCGCATCAAGGCTCTCAGATACCAAATCCAGATAAACCTCGAAGACTACATCAGCGATCGCCAATACGACAGCAGAGGCAGATTCGGAGAACTGCTACTCACTTTACCCCCACTTCAGTCGATCACATGGCAGATGATCGAACAAATACAGTTCGCCAAATTGTTCGGCGTCGCCCACATTGACAGTTTGTTGCAAGAGATGCTCCTTGGAGGTAAAGTAATTGAATTTGTATTTGATATAATTTTCATCTACATTATATACATATCTGTTACATTACATTACACTGAATATGCTTTTGACTTAGCTAGATGACCTCAATAAATTATAACATTCTCTTTGCTCTATTCAAGGCCCGATCTTTGTTTTGCAAAGTTATTAGTCCTTCCGGTGCTCGTCAATACAAATTTAATATCTTATAGCCTACAGAAGATATCTTTCATGAGTTAAGTGTTATTTTCCCAATCTTTAGGAACACACTATAACTCAATCAAATTTGGCAGCCAACAACAAAACCACACATTTCAATCGTTCTATCATCAACCGCATCATCAACAATTTCGTTAATAACATTCCAGAACCAATTCTAGGCGCCAGCATCGACACAGCTCCCACAACTATCGTCGTACCGAACAACAACAACAACCTCAACAACTATCAGAGCACCAGCGATTCCGCTGACAGTCCAATTACCTCGCCCACCACCACGCCGAGCAGTCCGCAGGATCACATGATCAACAGCAACGTTGCCAGCCCTCCGTGTGCACAAACGACATCTAGCGTGCTCGGCTTGAGAGATATTACATCGCTTGATGACCCTGTGCCGTATCCAATGTCGTTCAAGGAAGAACCGTTGAAGGAGGAGCAACATAGTTTTTAGGTTAGGTTGTTTTTTCGGTCAAGACTGTTTTTGAAAGTCTTATAAGAGTTCTAAGAATGTTTTTTTATATAAATGGATTTTGTTTTACAGTAAAATTATCTACCGTTATCTTCGTTTGCTTTAAGAACAGCAGGATACGTCTTCAACCTTTTGACTGGACCCTACTACAGAAAAGTAGTGGTATATACAAGTTTTATATAATATATTGTTGCTAAACTACACAGCAAAAAAGCAAAAAATATATTAATAAGATGTATTGTTTTACCGTTCAACAGCGATGGGCGGGGCATTATTGATGACATGCTTGGCCCGTTCTTAAAGTAAACGAATTTTACCAATTTTGTTTTAACTTTAAATGTCGATAACGTTTTCTCTCTGGAAAAATGTACATTTGTAATGAGCATATCCTTTAAAATTGCCACTCAGATGACAATGATCTCTAACGATCTTAGGACTGTGTGTTAAACGAAGTTTAAAATGACATTTTTACATTAACGTAATACTTGTTATTTTATCTATTTGTTATAGTGTTTTAAGCTCAATTGATTTTGGGAATGGGTTAGGTTATTAAATAACTCGTATTACCTTGAAAAAGAAGTTGGGCACCACTATATTTAAAACTTATTATACTTGACTATAGATTAGTGATAAAAATATAGAAAATCACTAACCATTAAGATATTATATTTAAACCAAGTTTTAGATAAGGCAGTAACAAATTCTAATTCACAGAGATTTACTTAATTCAAATTTAGATGATTTATTGAAAAAATAAAACTTATCTGATATAACAGGAGGTAGTTATATTAGGGTGATTTGTATGGAATTCTAGGGTCTTCAAAGGGATTCTTATTCTGAACTCGAACGATCTTCTATAGGTGAACCAAACCTCGGTCTTCAGATGGCACCAAACTCTTAGGTATAAATCTTCATAAACTTAAATCTCCATAACTTAAATCTCCATAAACTGTTTTAGATATAACTTGAAACTTCTTTAGATATAACTCGAACTAAACCGTTTAGATATAGCCAGGCTAAAAGGAGAAGGTAAAAATATTAAGAAAGGAAATAGGACCCCGCACAAAAAGATTGATATGTTATACATTTTGTCATCCTGAACAAAAGTCTCACTAAGCTCCAAAGTCCATGGTTTGGCTCCTATGGAGCTCCGAAGCTCCGTGACTCCATCATAGTATAGAAACCTCTAAAACGCATGTCACTTTTTTGAAAATCATATTTTAATTATTTTAATGTATGCCCTTAAGTTTTTGAGGATGCTGAATTGAAATATGATGTCAAATCCATAATATTGACAATTGACAGCTGTCAAACAGCTGTCAAATGCTTTAAAACAAGATAAATCTTATATTAAAGAATGGTATTATGTTTTTGAGGACGCTGAATTCAAATGTGATGTCAAATCGATAATATTGACAATTGACAGTTGTCAAATGCTTTAAAACAAAAGAAATCTTATATTAAAGAATGTTATCATTATATGTTTTTGAGAACGCTGAATTCAAACAAGATGTCTAATAGATAATATTGATAGTTGACAGCTGTCAAATGCTTATAAAAAGAAATCTCATCGATAATATTGACAGCTGCCAACTGTCAATTTCATTGGTTTCAACAAACTTATTTTAAAGTCATGTTTTAATTCAGCGTCTTCAAAAACATAAGTTCGTATTCCTGGATGTAAGATTTATTTTTTTAAGAGCATTTGACAGCTGTCAACTGTCAATATTATCGATTTAACATGTTATTTGAATTCAGCGTCCACAAAAACATATGATAACATTCTTTAATATAAGATATGTTTTTCTTTGAAGCGTTTGACAGCTATTTGACAGCTGTCAACTGTCAATATTATCGATTTGACATCTTATTTGAATTCAGCGTCCTCAAAAACATACGATAACATTCTTAAATATAAGATTTGTTTTTATTTGAAGCATTTGACATCTATTTGACAGCTGTCAACTGTCAATATTATTGACAGATATAAATCGAATGAATTAGGAACTTTTGACGCAAGGCATAAACGACAAATGACATTTGAGTAGAGATGTTTGTGTCAAAATAACGAAAACGGTTCCAACCGTTACACAATGTCATTTTAATCTCCGTTTAACATAACGGTGGAAGCGGCCCTTAATATATGTCTTTAAAGGACATGTTACAGGTGTGACATTTACCGGATTTTATATATTTTTGTTTTAAATATTTAAATACGAACTGAGGGTCGACTCTTGACTAGAGATAACATTAATAGTTTAATAGTTCGTTTTGAGTTACTAATTCGTTCATGTGCATTAGTTTTACTATTTTCCAAACATTTTCTCAATTTTTTTATTCTCTTATTTTTACCTCATTGTGATAAGATATTAAATATTTAATATATAATTTATATCACCTCAGTCGAAATAAAAATGTAATGATATAATAAAATAATAATTGCCAATTTCATATAATTTATTTAAATACTTTAAGAATTAATAATTGATGGTTAACATCAGATAATTGAGTTAGCATTCATATTTTCAAAAAGTAACATATTTTCCTTGATAGTTTGAATGAAATAATTCTTCGAAATGAACTATTTAACAGTGTTTTGCGTTATTTATCGACATTGCGTCATTTGTCAGTTGTGTGTCGTTAGTAAAAACGGTATTTATGTCAAAAACTACAATAAACTTGCAAATAGGAATTTAATTGTTATATTAAAAAACATTTGACGAAATTATGAATATACAGTATATATGCGATAATATTAAAATGTCGCGTATATTTTAACCTACAATCATATTGATTGAATATATTATGGTATATGAAGTAGATTTTTTTATATTTTTAAAGATAAAACGTTATTTTTGGGTTTAATCATTTTGATAAGACTGATTTCTTCAATTGTGCTATCGAGATTTTTATAAAAAAAAAAAAATATTGAAATAAATACATGTATATTTTGCCATACGGTGCTCAAAACCCAAAATGGAGGTGCTATATTCGTGCCTTAATACTTTTCTTCTTCTTTTTTTTTTTTTTTTTCGTTAAGTTTAGAGAGAGATAATAATTCCACAGCTTTTTATGCGGTGGATATCTAATCCCCACTATGAGTGTATAACAAAATGTAATTTTTATATTTATAATAAGTCACTTGTTTTATTAGCACTTATTTTAATATCGCGTCATATATACAGATTGTCGCGATAAATATATATATTGCGTTTTCTTTTTAAACAATTGTTAAAAAGTGGTGATCACCGCTGTGTTAAAATATGCATCTAGTCTGGATAATAGATAATTCTTATTGAATTTTTTTTTTAGTAAATTAAACCAAAAATAGTGCATATTTGAGACTGTGGTCGAAAAGCTATATTTACGATATTATGCTATATAGTTGTTACATATTTTTCTCTCTAACACGTTTTATACCATCTTGGATTTTTTTTTGTTGACTGTATAATATTGATTTCAATGTTACAAAAATATAAATTATTATTAAAGCAGTAGATTCGTCTACAAAAAGTTGATATATTACAATTTGTATACAGTTTATGCAACATATTGTATATTTTGTTAGCGATTTTTTTTATTTTTATTGACATTTGCTCAATAATTTAAATGTAGGGTATTTAGCCTGTCTAATTTTAAGGATATTTACAAAAATTCAACGTTCACAATTTATTATTATTTATTTTTTTTTTTATATATATAAAAATTTGTATATATTTATTTGTAGAGTGTCACTTGTCAATTTAGTGTCACTTGTCATTTTCAGACATTTAACATATCACTTATCAACGAATCTGACATTTTCGTCAATATTTTCTGTTTGTATGAGTAAAATTGAACGTTTAGTTTTTGTTATAATAAAAACAGACATCGACTTATCAGTTGAAATTGTTATTGTATTATAATTTTCTATTAGATATAGGGAATTTTTTGTTGGATAAGGTTTATATTTACTCAGTTATATATATTGTTTTTTATTTGTATATACAGCATGTTAAAATATATTGGTTGTTTTTTTATTGTGGAATAAATAATTTAGTTAAATTGAATATTAAAAAAAAGGCTGGAGGTGGCAATATTACATTTTTTAGATTCTGTAAATAAATATTGAAGTTATACGTTGTTGTATTTGTTCATTTCCCCTTTCCTATTCTATTCCGACCGTGCGGAGGCGTGTTATTGTCGTCAGAGTGAGACTAAGAATGACTTCCATGGTCGGTGTTGTTTTCATGGCTCCTGTTATGTTGAGACATGCTGTTCTTTGAATTTGTTCTAGTTTACGGATAGCTGTTAATTTTTGGGTTTTCGGTACCCAGACAACTGCACCATATGTTAGCATAGGTCTTATAATAGCCGTGTAAGTCCATCTGACGACTCTGGGGGAGAAACCCCAGGTGCGCCCCACGGTTCGGCGGCATTGTTCATAAGCAATGTATGCTCTTTTAACTATGTTTTCTAAATGCGAGTTCCATGTTAACTTGCTGTCAAAGGTGAGACCTAGATACTTCACCTCTGTTGCAAAGTTTAGTTTTGTGTTTAGGAGTTCTGGAGGTTTTAATTCCATTTTCAACCTTTTTCTTGTGAAAAGGACCATTTCTGTCTTCTGAGGATTGATAGACAGTGAATGGTCCTTGCACCACTGTTCTATAATTTTTAAAGCTTATAGCCTTCCAAATTTTTTGACAAAAAATTTGTTTGTCTCCGATCTTGATGAAAATTGGAGTACATATAAAGGAAAGCACGAGTAATTAAGTGGTGAACTCAGTTGCTCCCTAGCTATAAGGGCTAATTTTTTTTCTTAATTCCTCAGTTAATAATGATCGAATTATTCCATAAAATCACGCAAAGGTAGAGCCGGACGGATAGTTTAAAATGCCCTTTGCTGCTTGCCTCTATCTTGAGCCGTTTAGTAGTTATTCACATTTAAAAATAAGTCAAATACCTTGTCGCGTTTCTGCTATCCTCATACCAAAATTTTGTAGACAAAATTGGATCTTTTCGAATTCGGAACTTTGTATCAGGATAATAGAAACGCGGGGAGATATCGAATTTTTTTATTTTGGCCATAACTTTTTTAATATTGCTGTTAGAAAAAACCTGAGTGTATTTTTAAGATCTACACATGTGACCCTCTATCCGTATGCAAATTTAAACAATTTTTTATTTTTTCAAAAAAATCGAAAGGGACTTGCATTCTTCCGCAGAGTATGTTCTCAAAATTCCCTGTTTGCAGAATGACCAGGTCATCTGCATATGCTATTGCGTAGTGACTGTCATTATTGAGGCGGTGTCGAGGACTATATTCCACAGTAGAGGTGATAGCACCCTTCCCTGTGGACATCCCCTCGCAACCAAGCCTCTTATATTCACATCTTCTACACTTATGTTTACTGCTCGCTTTGAGAGCATGTTATGTATCCACCCACTAACTATTTGTGGAACATTCCTATTGGTTAGTGAGTGTATTATCTTTGGGAAGGTGGTTTTATCAAAAGCACCTTCTATGAAAACACTCTAGGCGGACTCCTTATTGTCCAGGGATCTTTCTATCCGGCCAGCAACTAGATGAAGGGCTGAATCAGTAGATTTGCCTGGGGTGTATGCATGTTGGTTTGGGCATAGTGGTGTTGTAATCACCGCATCCCTTATATACCTTTCGCATAGCCTTTCCAATGTCTTCATGGAAAACGATATCAGACTAATTGGTCGGTATGTTTTTGGGACAGTGTAATCCATCCTTCCAGGTTTGGGTATAAATACCACTTGTACCTCTCTCCATTTTTTGGGGATATACCTCAGCCAACGAGGATCTGAATATACCCACCAGGTGCGGTGTGAGTTCTTCCAGACCCCACTGAAGTAGGGCTGGATAGATACCGTCAGGTCCTGGCGATTTAAATGGAGAGAAGCTGGATATTGCCCAACTAATTTTTTCATCGTCTACAATGTGTTTGGCAGTTTGCCAATCATAGACAGATGGATTGTATTCTTCCTCTGCCCAGGCGGCCACGTCTGTAATTACCGAGTCAGGGAAGTGTGTTGACAGCAGAAGTTTGATGCTATCTTCGAGGTTGGCAGTTTTCGTGCCATCCTCTTTGATTAGCGCACCAATGCTTCAGTGTGGATCTTTTGAGAGCTTTTTAAAGCCTCGCTGACTGCAGGAAATCTTCGATTTCTTGGCAGTAGGATCTCCTTGGACAGAGTTAAGGATGTATGTAATTATTCAGATTGTGTCTAAAATAAATGATATTGTAAATAGTACACTAAATTCTTCCTCAGAAACTGAACAAATTGATGAGAATTATATAATATTTACTCCTACAACAGCAAAAAGTGATAAGATTGTAAAAATACCACAGTCCTACAATGTTCCCAATTTTTAATAATTGTAGAAAATGTATGTATATATATATATTTTTTTCTTAGCTATAACTTAAATAATTAAGTATTTATTTGAATCATTTTAGAATAAAGGGATGTGATATGTGGAGTTATAGTAAAGTACGGACCTGTATTTCATTATCTCAACACTAGGTTTAGACCAATAACATTGTACAAATTTGATTAGAAAAGATTAATAAATTCCATTTTAGATGGTTTTATTTATTACACACCAAATTTTTTCGTGTACTTTTATTTTATAAAAAACAGAAAATAAAATATTTAAAAACGTTTAATAATTTTTAAAAATACAATAATAAAAAATTAATCTAATAATGAAAATTGACAATCTACAACAAATCTTCTATGTTCATTCGTTTTCTCTTTTTGTGATTGATAACCATATTTGCAGCTTCAATGGTAGTATTGGAATCCTTTAACCAAGTGTTTAATTTCATTCTGGCTTTGTAGGCATCATTAAAAAGTTTTCGTTCAAGAATGTCTAATGTTTGTTGAACAGTTGGATCAGACATGGAGTTGTCGGCAAGATCCATTAGTTGTCTAAATCGTGTTCTAAAAGTCTACAATAATAAAATCTTACAGAAAATTCTTTAGAAAGCTTTATCCAATGATCACAGTTGTAAAAAATGTACTTACATGCAAAAGAGTTTCATGTACATCCTGTTTTTTATCAAACCTTTTTATGTGAGAGCCCAATTCGTAGAAAAATAGACTGAATTTATGCAAGTCCACAGCGCAAGCATCAGCTTTTAAAATTTCTCGATAGGCTTCTCTATAAATTTTTGGTAATTCCGGATTTACCAGCGGCGCTCGACTTTGAGACAATTCACTAACTAACCACAAAGGTAGTTCTAAAGAGGTACCCGGTTGTAGGTCCCTTTCAGCCACTGACGGGTTCAAGTGGCCTAAAATATCAAAATTACATAAATATTTTAAACATAACCTAAAAATATACTTACCCATTTTTTGAATGGTGAGTGCTACTTTACACGGTACTCGTTCTTGTGTTGCCAAAATATCGTCTAAAGAATAGTAATTTGGTGAATAAGATACTCGTAAAGACATTTTTTAAACTATTTTTGTTTCTGATTGAACAAGTTCAGAAACAAAAATAAATAAATAATTCGATTATTAGTATTCAAATTTCAAATCATATTGAAGAATCGATTTTTAAAGTACCACCGGAAAAAACTTCATCTTTTTTTTTAAGGACTAATCTACATACGTCTTTAAACAGCGGTCAGGAGTGCTGTTTTAAAAGTAAAAGGCCACAGAATTTTGATTGTCAACTGTCATTTATGCTGTCCTGTCAGTAATAACTGTCAATTTATTGCCATTTTAAGCTCGCTGTAGTGCACTATTACCTAATCAATTTTTCTTGAAATTAAAATCTAGTAAGTAATTAGTTTTTAGAACTAACTAAAAACGCAGATTCATAGATTTGTTAGTAATAAAAATTTCCGAAATTATTTTTTCCGTATTATCATTTTTTATTGTAGAAAATGTTTGCTGCTTCTGCATCCAGAATCGCCTCAAGGCTCCAAAACATTCAGCAAGTTAGAAATATGACTGTCTTATCAGGACCTCCACAAGTTAAGATTTCAACTGGTGAAAAACTTATTCACGCTCTGGCTTTATCAGCTGGTATTTTGGCCATCCCTGGCTGGGTTCTAGTTAACATTAAGCACTACAGAGGACTATAAACTATTCTCTAATATAATAATAGTTTTGTTAGTATTTTTTAAGTAATTTAAGATTAAATAAATGTACAGATTATAGTGAATTGCTTTTTATTGGGACAAAGTAAGGGAATATCGGAAAAAAATTACTATAAATAGCTATGACATACTTTATTTGATTTTCATAGTTGCTATATACTTAAAACATCAAATATACATTAACATTTAATATAGTTTACATTCAGAGTGGTCAGTATATAGACCTTAGAATTTAGATCATTCTCGCAAAGTTTCTAAGTATAGTAAAAGACAAAGAATCACAAAAAAATGCGACAATTCTCTTAAAGCTTTATTTTGGTTATCCGAAGTATTTGAGAATTCACATTTTCTTGAAAATAAGTTCATCTATACATCATCCATACATTTATATATCTAGAAGAGGCCTACAGGATGATCCATGAAAAGTACTTAAAAGTAGGATTTTAATACAAAAAAAAATGGATGAGAAATAGTGATGGGTAGCCGGGAATTTCCTCTGGGAACGGGAAAATTCCCGGAAATTTCCCCAAACCCTAATTCCCGGGAAAAAAACGGGAATTTTTCTAGAAATAGCAGAATTCATACAATTACGTAATATTAGATGCAGTTTGTTAAATCTGACAACACTGTTGACTGTTACTCTTTGTTTATACTTTTAGAGATGTCAGGACTTGTAGTCGCGTCTTGCTGACTCAGCGAATATTACATGTACAACCACACCTATGGTTGCAATATAATTTTTGATGGAATTAGAAAAGCAGAAAACTGCACCAAGAATTTGGTTTTACCAGTTACTACCCATTGGGGTTCCCACTTGTTTTGCTTACAACTTACAATCGATGTCTGTTTGTTAAGAAAGTTTGCAAACTTTGGCTGTGAATGAAGAGGCTGGTAATACATTGGGCCGCGATAAAAAACAAACGCTCTTTGGCTCTTATGGAACCAGTAGTCAATAAGTTCACATTTCTCTGATGAAACCATTTCTCCAATAAACGTACATAGCCCATTACTAGCGAACGCGTACCAAGGCAAAGACAACTTTATGGGATGTACCACTTGACAAAAACGAGTGTCCGTCTATTTCTAGTTTGACTCAAGTAACTCAAAGTGCTCAGCATTCTAACATGATAGTGCGAAGCAGAGATACCTGGACCTTCAGGCCTTTCAAAATCACCAATAAATTTTGAGCTAAAGACAGAAACTCCTTCGGAGGACGAAGAAATTTCTTATCAGGACTCTCCGATGAGGAAGACGTGACCGATGAGGTTAATAGCTCAGAAACTGAGGTTTAGTTTTGTTTTTGCACACTTTTATAATGCTCAACAGTTTTATATTCTACTAGGCAGATATTTTATTTGTTCTTTTAGTTAAAGGATATTTGATTACATTTTTTATTTGTGTTGATATAGTAAGAGGACATATTTTTTTAATTTGTTCCCACCAAGAAAATGTGTTGTTTTCAATAAAAAGAGGATATTTTAATTTAATTTTTATCTTGATTGCGTCTTGCTTTATGAATTGATGGAATGGAAAATAAACTGATATTCACAAAAATGTATCGGGAATTCTTGGGGAAATTCCCGGGAAAATTTCCCGAACACTTGGTTCCCGGAAATTTACCCATCACTAGTGAGAAATAATTATTACATAATATTCATTTCTTCAGAAGAACAATTAAGCAAGTGAAAATTAATATTAAACTTACAACTGAATCATTGAGGAATAGTTAAGAAATAATCATAATTATATCCTAACTTAAAAAGTCAAAATTTGTACTTGCTGCATTGTTCTTCTGGAGAAGCGAATATGAATCTTAATTTAAAAAAAAAACATCAGCTAATTTTACAAAACAAAAATACGGTGTCTGCCACTGAACCTCTCCCACTATAGGATGAACAAGTGGGACTGAAAGCTACAGAAAGTTGGCATTGGGGCGAGCGGAAAAGAATTGGAATAAACATTGCCATTTATACGAACCGACTTCATTGAAACATTTGCCAGGTCGAACAGGCTGGTATCGCAAGTATTGTTCCTTTCCTGCTTGCCTACTACAGACTCTCTGTAGATTTCACATCCACTTGTGCCAAGGGATATTGGAAGATGTTCAATGACCAATACTGTATAATTTAACCACAGAAATTTTGTAATAACTCCTGTAAGCCTGCATAATAATTTTATTAAAAACATCAATTTTTATTTATTAAAATATTTGACTAAGATTAACAAGTCAATAATTTTCATAGTATCAGTAGAAAAATTTGGCACAACACACAAAAAGGTTACAAATTCGCATTAGTATTGGTCGATAGTGTTTTTAATTTTACTGATGGAAGAGTCTTTTTCTCCCTATAAATGTTGACGGCCGTCAATCAAATGCCAATAAAAAAAATATATTTGAGAAAACTATCGTCAGAGTTCAGAGTCTATGAAATAGTTAGCTATAGGCACAAACATCTAACCGTATTTTCATTATAATTAAAAGTGACATATGACACATAAATTATGGCTGACACTACTTTCGTCGATTGACATTTGACATTCGGCTACCATAGCAATATTTTAAGGAAAAAAATTAACGAACAAACATGCAGGTCTCAAATGTACTTTCTAAATAAACGCAATCAAAAAATAAAAATATATTTAAAAATTACTAAATATTTACAATAACGAAATTAAAAAAAAAAAAGATAAAGATCATTAGGTTCATTTAAACGGGTGGTTAAAAAATTTCCATCTAACATTTACGTACAATATCAATAATATACTTATAAAATATGTTGGCAATTTTTCTAAAAATCCTAACAATGACACATCTTCCTACATATAGCAGTGCTTCGATATAAAACTATATGTGGCCCCATTTTAACAATATAACATTATAATTCTTAGTGCCAATTCACATCGTACGCAAAAAAAACGAAATATTGACAAAACAATAGGACACGTACCAAGAATATGGCTAAAAAACTTAACATTTGGAATTCTGATATACAGTAAGGAGGACTATAACTAACGGAACATAGTAAGCAAGCATTATTTATAGTAAATATGCCTTAACAAGTTGTCTTTTGCCATTGCAACATTTAACTAAAATTTGTTCCAATCCTCATAATTTGGTTAATATGTACCTTAGATATGGCCCACCCTGTATATATATTTGATTATTCGGCAGAATAAATTTTCCGACAGAAAAATATTCTTAAATAGCGTTTCTTCTTTTCGTGTTACCAATTATTGGTAATAAATATGTCAATGATTGACAGTTGCGATAATACAGTGTTACCATTTCTTTTTTTAGCAATAAAAATGTATTCATTTAAAGTAGGTCTAATAATTTTTGACATTATATAGTCAGTCGTCGATATTTTTAATTTAAATACAAATCTACTTTTAAAAAATAATTCTTAGTTTAGAGAATTTTTCTATTGTGTTTCGGACGGATTACATAAATTTTTGAACGTTTGGTTATGTTTAAAAAACGACTGACTCTGTAATTCAATTAAAAGAAAACGGCAAATTATCACTGAACTGTTAATAAATTATCAAACATTTCGAAATCTCAACAAACGTTAAAACAATACAAAATAAAAAGGATCGCTTTGTGATTTTTGACTGACAGTTACCGAACAAACGTCATTGATGACAGTTGATAAAACAAATGTCACTGGTGACGTTTAAAGTGTCAAACATCAAAATAGTCAACATTAAATGGAATTGTATATAAAAGAACATAACAAATCATCCTAAATAAAATGTAAACAGATTTTCTTCAACAAATATACAATGGAATACATTTCGAAATGTGCAATAAAAATTCATATTTAGGGTATAACATAATAGGAATACATTGCAAATATTCTGAGAGAAGATAGTACTGATGAAATTGGTACATCCTCTGCAAACATCCGTACATTATATTACACCCTGTATACTAACAGAAAAAACGATACTTGACACTAGCACGTCACGAATTCTTTTTTTGTTTTGTATATATCACAAATAGATCTTAAACTTACTATATACAGGACGATCTACGTGGCATTCAAGAAACTTTGGTTTTGCGCAGCGACGACTTGTTGAAGTTGCAAATGGCGCCCAAAAGCTCGGACCGTCCCTTACCGTCGACGTTGTGGTTATCGTCGGCGGTAGGAGCAGCGTTCGAACCGTTCAATATAGGCGGAGGCGGTGGAGGCGGGGCCGAATTGCCCATAGGAGGCGGCGGTGGTGGAGGTGGCGACGGGACGTTTGATCCTGCATAAAACCATTTAGTATTAATAATGTACAGATTCTGGTAGCATGAAGAAATGCAGCAAAATGGCATTTTTAGAAACTTTTATGACAAGTGAAGTGTGAGTTACAAATACAATAAATGAATGTTATCACATCTATAACTGCATTTTACATTAAAACATCTACAACAATGGCTCATATTTCACATCTAGTAGTTTTTACTTTAGTATTCACTAACTGATGATATCAACATGAGATATGGATATTGTTGAAGATTCTGTATATTGCACCATAGATAAATATATTGAGACGAACTTAAGTTGATTATATCCTTGTAGTCACTATTGGCATCTCAATAACATTGTTTTTTTTCTTACCTGTCATAGACGGAGGCGTAGCGGTTCCAATTGAAGTGGCAGCACTGCTGTTAACACTTTCAGATCTTTCTCCATTAAGACTGTTTGCCTTTTCCAGCCGCCTGTTCTGCTTGTGTTGTTCTTTGGCCATTCGTTCCTAAAAATAAGTATTTTAAAATAAATTACCCTGCGTTAGAACTCATTCGAACTTACCATTTTGTGCCTTGCCAATTTCTTCTTCTCCTCCTCGCAGCTCATCATCTCCTGGACCTTGACCAGCCGCTTTTGGCTTCTCACCATCTTTTGCTCGTCTTTCAGTCTTTCCTCGATTCTATGTACAGCCAATTTCAATTGCTCTTTGGTCGAATTGGGTAATTTGAAGTGAGCTCTGTCTGTTGGTAACAACGTCAGATGGACGCTCGCGAAAAACGGATCGGCCAATAGATCGTTGATGGTCGGTAGGCCGTTTTTACAGGCCTCCGACGAGAGTATACGGGCCAATATATTTTCTGAAAACAAAAATGTTCATATTATATCTTAGAACTACTTTTTTATATCACGGAGATTAAAAATTTCAGCCGATAAGGATAAGAAAATATGCGATTTAGACCCAACTTAATTTTTTTCACGATATAATCACGATTTTTTTAGGTTAGAAAACCCATTATCGATTTTTCATACGAAGTAAGAAAATACACGTATTGCAAGAACATCAACAATTAAGTTATTACTCTTGTCGATGGCTTACACTGAACTAGAGAATTCAAGGTAGAGGTAGAACGTTGACATTCTAACAAGTTCCAACTGTAACGTAAATTTTGGATTTAAATATAGAGACTAGACAGTAAGAAGAGACTCGAGCGAGGACGGAGGTCTTAATATATTTTTCCCAATTATATATCATCTGCAATAATGTATAAATAAGTAGTTCCAGCGAGGTTGCGCTGCGATCTAAAAACTAAACATTAAAAAACTATCGATACTATATAAATCGATTTATCTGAAATTTAATTGATTGGACTTATTCCTGGACTAAACTTACTTATCGCACAATTTTGTATGTTATCGGTGATGCTCTCGTGTAGCGGATTGCCGAACATCATTTCATACAGAACATGTCCGAAGCAGTACACGTCGATCGCATCCATACTGTTGATTTTCTTGTGTTGCATGAAATATGGTCTGTAAAATGAAGGGACGCCCAATATACCGTTTTCTATATCCAACAGTTTCACGCGGCCGTTTTCTATTATAACGTTACCAGTGTGCAAATGACCTAGAAATTATATCATATCACATATTCTGTCACCAATATACGTCAAATACATTTTTAGTTACATGAAACTATAATTAATATGTCAATTATCAACAATATGTCACCTCTCAATTAGGCATTCCAAACAAAACGGCTACCACTTGGTTTTGACAGGTTATAATATGGCAAAATTATGGCAACCCTGTAGGCCTAGTGATTTAACAAGGTCAATGAAATAGATAGTTACATAGATTGATTATCCATATTTTTCAAAATAAACATAAGCTTATACAGTAGGTGAGTTCGGGCTGCGCACTCCAGAGTGGAGTGGAGTAATTAGGCGTAAACGGAGTGCGAATATGATTTTACTCCTTTTATTGTGTTTGACATAAAATATTTAAATGTAATCCATTATTCATGATTTTACGTAAAGTAGATAGAATACACCATATGTCGCCACCCTTAGATATACCAAACCTGCCCACTGGTAATTCATTTGTTTGGAATGCCTAATTGCGAGGCAATATGGCCGCCCGCAAACGACGCGCTTCGAGCAATCTATATAACTATATATGTATCATTGACACTGTCAATGACAACAGGCTCACAAGGTTGCCATATCTAAATGTCAGTTCCCACTTGTCAGCAGATTGACAGGTCGTTGGAATGCCTAATAGATGCAATTACTTCAACTTAGAACCCGTCAATATGCTGTAGTACATTTTTACTCATACTTTTTTTTTGATAAACACCTTATGGTTACACCGGGTGACAGTGTGCACTTACCATAGGGAAGGCCCTTGTCACGCAAAAACTTCAAAGCTTCCAATATCTGACGTCCGTATAAAGCTATTTGGTCCGGACTGAGAGTCTTGTGTCCCTTAGGATTCCCGTATTTTTTTAAAAAAGACTGCCTAGGCTTGGCGTCTGACAGCAGATCTCTTAGAGTGCCGTTTTTGTGGGACATTCGTGCCACCAGCGCTCCGATTTCCGTACACAAACACAGTTCGATCGAATGTATGTATGGATGCTAAATAAAAAATAAGTTATAGAGTTATAGAACCAATACAAATTTTCATTACATATTTATTCTGGCGCGTTATTTTTCTTAAAATAAATAAAAATGCGAGGTAAAGACAAGGACTCGAGAATCATAAATATGTATCCACTGACCTGTATTTGACATAGACTTTTGAAGACAGCATGCATTTCTCTGTCGTCCAAATATTTATCGGGGCCGTAATCAGTCCAACTGCCGAAAATCTCTTCCTTAGGCAATGATTTGCATTTCAGATCATAGTAATGTTTGCGTAAGCGCCATCCAATGTCGTTTATGGGACTGATAACTTCCCAACCCACTTCGCCTCTAAGAGCCAACGAAACATGTTGCAGGGCGAATTCTAAAAGTGCATTTGAGAATGTAATCGCGAATTTTTGAGAACTGAATTCATTGACTTACCTCCGAATGGTTGACAATAATTTGCCGGATCAACAAATGATCTGGCTGGTAGCGAAGATACCAATATTGGATTCATGAATATGCTGTCTAGATATTTCTAAAAATTGACATTAATACGTAAGCTGAAGGTATATAATATTTTCATAAAATAATAACGGTGAAATCTTAAAAATAATTACCAAGGCCCCCTACCTATTAGGCCTCAGTATTACATTTGTGCCATCGAGAAAACGGAAAAAAATTACTTGTCTGTGAGTAAATATGATATGTATGTATATATAATTTCATTAGAAAGCCAGGCTTGGCAACTTATAACTGAAAGGGATTCTATTTGAGTGGTTATTTATTGTAACTGAGAGTGATAAATGAAAATTATTATTTTAAAGGTACCATTTCGATAGACGCGTAAGGCGACCGCCGACGCGACATACGACCGCCGACACGTCCGAGAAGTGTCGCTTCACATCTAAAATACATACAATTATATAACACACATTTCGCATGAGGCGACACGAACGAAAAATGTCGTGGATACCCTTTTCGGTGGAAACCATTCACTCGAGATCGAAAATTTCTTTCGATCTAGGCAGCGTTGCCAGATTTTAATACAGTAGATCTGAACAGTAGATTTTAATAAAGGGGAAAATAATTATAATTTGCCGTGTAGTAAATAAAAAAAACAAATATATAGGAAACGAAAAATAAACTTTTTTCAACCTAAATTAGAAAGTAAACAAAGAATAAAAACATTTTTAATATATACTTAACGTACGGGAAAAAAACCAATGAAAAATAATAATAATAAAACAGTAGATCTACGTGAAAATAGTAGGTCTGGCAACGCTGATTTTTTCCCACGAAAGGTTACGAAGAGTAAAATTAATGCACCTGCTGTGCAGTGGTCTAGACATGGGTAACGCACTAAAATTCTTTGCGTTGATACACTAACTCCGGCGCACTCTATTGCGCCAACTCATTGCGTTAACGCAATTGCGTTATTGCGTTACACCACTGCCTGCGCCGAATGAAGTCGATGCACCTCGGTGTATCGCATGATACCGGTGTTATTCAGCGCGGGCTGTCCTTTTATAAGGGTCAAACCGTGTTCAAGGCAATAACGCAATTGGGAATTTAACTAATTTTTTTTTTATTATATGATTAAAAATAAACGAAAATATAACAGTGTAATGCACTCATTTTTTTATTTCATTGTGTTCGGATTTTACAAAAAATACAAAAATTCTAATTTATATAAAAAGGATATAAATTTTGTATACTAGTAGCCAATCAAATTGGGAAGAAATAAAAATTGACAGTGTACATCAATGGGCCCGTTCACTTTTATTTTTGAATGTGAATTATTTATATATTTATAAAGATATTAAACTCTTTTGTCTGGTGGTACTTTTCCCGTTAAAATATTTTTGCTAGAAGTAAGAGAATTCCCATAAAATTCTTTCAGTGACTCATTGCGTCAGAAAACCCCTAATTCCCTTCAGGGGTGCTATTTTCAAAGTCGAGAGAATTCATTTCTCTCGAGAGAAATGTCATACGTCAACGTAAAACAGTATTTTTAGGGTCCTAAGGGCCAGTGTAAACTCACTGATTGTTTCTCACGGTTTATTTAGAGATAATTAATATCCTCCCAAGAATTTTAATCCTCGAGGCCTTTAAAAACAGCGTTTCCACATTGACGTATGACATTTCTGATGAGAATCTTGAGAGAAATGAGTACTCACACGGTTTGAAAATAGGTCCCCTGGTCTCGTATCGGTTAATAGTTAAAAGGGCGCGGTTGTCGGATGTATCATTGCACCACCATTCCTCTTCTGCATTTATTAAAGAAATTTACATGATAAAAATATATTATTTTTTAAAAATAATGTGTTTATATTTTCAGATAAAGCTGGAAGCCTTACCTTTTTTAAATTTTAATGAAACCAATTAGTATTACTCAAGCTGAATATTACCAGATCGAAATTTTATATTTGAGAAAATGTATCTCGTAAACGTGACAACGTTGTAAGTACTTCTAAATAGTGTTGTCTACACACACTTCTAGAAATAAATGCAACGTTGCCACGTTTACCAGATAAATATTGCAAATCAAATTTCTACTTTTTGATTATGGTCTGGTTAATTTTCAGCCTGAGTAATAATAATTGTTTTAATTAAAAAGTAAAAATAAGCTCCCAGCTTTAAATCTGAAAATATAAGTTCATGATTTTTAGAAAAATAATGGAATTTTACTATTTAAATTACATATATAAATGCAGAAATGCTATATGAGGGATACTTCCGACAACCCCGCCGTCTTTAAGCATAACCGATACGAGACGGGAACGGAATTAGGGATTTTCTGACGCAATGAGTCACTGAAAGAATTTTATGGGAATTCCCTTACTTCTAGCAAAAATATCTTAACGGGAAAAGTACCACCAGACAAAAGAGTTTAATATCTTTATAAATATATAATTAATTTACATTCAAAAATGAAAGTGAACGGGCCCATTACGTAAATTAAAATTCTCAACTCGTCACAGAAAACGGAATCAGTTCCTGGCGCATGGCGCACCAACAACTCGCGATCCTTTCGACTCAGTATCGAAAATTGCGTTGCGCTGATACAGTAACAACTGGTGTATCAACGCTCGTAACGCATACAACTGCGTTAACGCAATAACGCAACGCAGCGCTGCGTTACCCATGTCTACAGTGGTCGTATGTCGCGTCGGCGGTCGCCTTACGCGCCTACCCAAATGCTACCTTAAGTTGAAACAAATGTGGTTCTTAAATAAATAACATATAGGATAAAAAAAGTAATGATGGCTTTTGCACCAGAATAGAATAGAGCCCATAAATAAATTTGATACAAGTATATTAAGATCAAAAAGGTGAATGGTTCAAATATTTTTTTAAATTGGCAGGTTTAAGGGGTAATGATCACAATTTTTTTAAAATAGGTGAGCTCAGGGATAAAGAGCAAAATATTTGTATAGGGCAGACATATGTGGTAAATTAGCCAAATATTTTTACTTTGAAAGATTTAAGGCTGTGACATTTGAGCCAGCGGTTTTGCAACAAAGAAAGTATTCAATACATTGTAAATAGATGGCAATACCTGTACCTCTAACTCGTATTACAATTTTATTTTCAAGTGTACTTGTTTTTATATTCAGGTTGCCAAATCTAGGTAGACAGATACCAATAAATTTTTTGAGAAATAATATATTTTGGGATATCCAGTTTCAATTTAATAATTGCACTGTTACATGAAAAATTAATCTGTCAAAACTTGAACCCAGTTGGTAAGTAGTAAGTAGGTTAAATATGATAAGAAGAAGAAAAAAACATTAAATTTTACTTTAGAATAATATTTCAACATTTATTCAAATTACTGGTATATTGTATTCACTTGTAAACTCTATTTGACGGTCATAATAATAATTTTAATCCTAAAGAACCGGGTCAATTGAACTTTTCCACATCCCAATTTTTGGGTTGGAGTAAAAGGTATTTTATGGTTGGGTAGAAATTTTATTACTTTATGGTTTTTCCTAATTGGAAGGGTTTTGTTTACATTTTACCTAAAAATTTGCAAAACTTCTATAAATATAAATAATTGACAATAACGTGATCGCTCATGCTTTTGTTGATTAGACAAATTGCGAAAATTAACAATCGATTGGATCGATTATTGTGAATTTCGGAACTAAGCAACTGGTAGTTGGCAAATAAGCCAAAAAACTCAAATGTTGAAGGATTGAAGTCTATGGGGTCTATTCTGTAAAAATTCCTTTATATTTAACGGCCTTTAAAAATATTTTCTCCCTTAATTCGGTCACTATTTAAACGGATCTTTAAAATACATTAGAGGACTATCTTAAAGAAATCTGTTTAAATAATGATAGAAGTAAATTAACGAATACAAATATACTTTTAAAGGCCGCCAATATTTTTAAAGGCCGTTAAATATAAAGGAATTGTTACAGAATAGACCCCTAAACCTGAGAATAACCAAACGCCGGACAACTTAGTTGGAACGTTTTATGTTTGTGGGGTCGATTTACGGTGACCTTGAAGACACCATAATTACACCGCATGCAAGCTGAATTGTAATTTACACTGCTCAACTCTAAATATGTTTTTAGTAAGGGAGTAAATTTTTATTTTGCATTTAAAATTATATGCCTTTGACTTTCTGGAGGTGAATATATGTAATAATATCTTAAAAGATTTTAAATAATACACAGAAACATTTAAAAAATATGTATATATATCCTGATAAGGCAGGAACCACCTTTTCAGTGTCTCTCAAATTTTAATTCGATTTGAATAACCTCATGTATTGGTTGAAACAAAATGGTATAAATCCAAATAATTGTTGTTTATTATCTTCATTGCACTTAAAAAATCCTATCAACTGACAAGCTAGAAACCATGATGACAAACAACAGTAATGTCTCAGAAAATATTATTTTCATAAATAAATTTCATGACAATTATCTATTTAAGTTAAGAAATGTAAACCTGATAGGTTAAGAGTTAAATAGTAGCTTGAAGCTAATCTTCGCCTATCAGGTGCAAAAGTTGTGCATTTGTTTGATAAAGGCATTTTTTTATTTATTTATTACATTAATCAAGGTTATGAAGATACAGTGAGCTCTTTTCAACAAAACAGATCATCATAATAACATACTTCATTGCATAAAATACACATAACAGCTAATGTTAACCTGCTTTTTATGCTTAATAAAAAATACTGCTTCAAAGAGAGTATCTTTTTCATAATCAGATAATATAAGCCATAGAATAAGTATTCTTATTTAAAATTATCAAAACCAAAAAAATGTATTACAAATTTATATAATAAAAATAAGAGTAAAATAATGCTGAACACGTTTACCTAGATCATTTACTTAAATAATAAGTGTTGATAAATATTTAGAACTTAAAAAAATTTGGACTCTTGGAAAATATCTTAAACACACTGAATCCATGATTTGGCATGCCACTGAAATAATGACTAAATTTTTATTAACCATTGATGGATATTATAGCAATAAGAAATAAGTTTTCATAGGTTTCTTTTCTAAGTAATAAGCTATTCTTGGAATAGATTGGAAGCCTATTTCTTATTGCTATAATATCCATCAACTGTAAACTGTAATAGTTTAATCTTGCACTGTATGACTTAAAATCAAAACATGATAAATTTAGCTGGAATACATGACTTGTTTTGAATTAATATATTACTCAATTCAAGTAGAGGGTTGTTTAAATTAGTTTAGTACTATTTTCTACTTTAATTATTATTCTTTATCATGACTTGTTTGTTCTGGTACAAGGTATTTAAAGATTTATCAAGTAAAGGTTATCAGTCAAAACCTGATTAAAACAATAAAAATAATTTATTTTTAAAAACCTTATATTATTAAATGAGAATTAATAGGTAGATGATTGATATTTTCAACATTCATCTGTTAAAAAATTATGAGATTGTACCAAAACCCAAGGTTAACACAAGATAAAACATATTAATCTGCTTAGTAATATTACAGAGATATTAAATCGAACCAAATAAAAAATATGTATTTCTGAAGGGGATAGCACAAATTATTTTAAAATGAGTGTATTAATTGGTGGACTGCATAATTTAATTGCATTTGTGTGGTTCCCCCCATATATTTGAATGGTAAAAATGTATACATATCAATAATTAAAATTATTGACAAGGCTATAATTTAAAACTGTTAAAAAACAATTTAAAACTATATAGAAACCTGCAAAGCCTGCTGTCTTTCACCAATAAAATGCGGATCCATATTCCCGACGTATTTTTTCGGAGGTAATTCCAATGGTATTCCTGAAGATTGCAACACATTGTTGAGTTTATAGAAATCATTGTATCTCTTATTGATCTTCCAAGTTTGATCGGAAAAGGGTCCTCTGTACACTTTTATAACGAATTCCTAAAATAAAACCGTCTTTATTATGTCTAATAAACTTCAAATTGCATTGCTATTACTGTATGTCCATTGACATTTTTCCAATTTTCAATAGTGCATTTTAACGGTTCGGTATCGTCTAATAAAACTTTATTGGTGGTTTGTCGCTCAAATATAGCCATTGAATCGGATTCATTTGCCCACTTTTGCTTAAATAATCCATTAAGAAACAATTTATTTTCAATTCTAATTGATCATCCGTGACATCACTTTGACGTTTAGTTTGACAAGTTTTTTTTTTAAGTGGATATTCCCTTTTTCTTTTTGTATCTTCGTAAGGCCTTTTCTCACGTAGAAATTAGATTAGGTAGAAAATAAAAGGCCACCTCTTGTTGCTTATTATTTAAATACGAGGCCATGAAATTGAAAAGTCAAAATTTCAATAACCTAAAATGTTTCTTTATTTTTAATATTTTATTTATTTTGTAATTTGTTGTGTTATAACAAATGTGTGAAAACGAACATGATGTTTTTGATGAATTTGAAATCCACACACCGGGAACCGGCCAAAATGTTGATGAAATTAAACAAGAAATTATCGAATGCGAAGAGCCAAAAATTGAACATAGTTCCGATTTCCTATCAAACGAAGGTACTAGTGAATATATTCAGCCTAAAGTTGAGCAACATTCCGATTTTCTGCCAAACGAAGATAGTAGTGAATATATTCAGCCTAAAGTTGAAGTTTTGACTACACATTGTTATTTACCAATTTTGAAAAATGAGAATATTGAATATCCAGATTACTTGACAGAGTCTTGCGATAGGGAACAAGATGAAAGGGCATCGAATATGTTAAACAATAACTCAAGTGTTTTAAATGTAGAAAGAAAGAAACAAGGTAAATTCTTGATTATATCAAAGCTGAATAATCATGTCCAATGAATAGATTGTTATAAGTACATACAGATGTTTGATTCTTGATATCTTTTAAGTTTACTTAATTGTTGCATTTTTCTGATTCAGTGATTTATTTTTCATTTGCAGATTTCAATGGACATTTTCAGAAATGCTATATAGTTTATAAATATAATAGAAAGTTATTGAAAAAAGAGAAACCAAACAAGTGTAAAATTTGTTCCAAGGAATTTAATCAGAAATCAAATTTACGGACGCATTTAAGAATCCACACTAATGAAAGACCATTCAAGTGCAACATTTGTTCCAAGGAATTTAATCAGAAATCTAATTTAAAAACACATTTGTTAAGACCCCACACTGATGAAGACCCATTCTTCAAGTGTAACATATGTTCCAAGGAATTTAAACTAAAAGCTGTATTAAAGGATCATTTAAAAACTCACAGTAATGAAAAACCTTTTGGGTGTAACATTTGTCCCAGAGCATATAATCGAAAATCTAATTTACAAGCACATTTAAGAAGCCACACTAATGAAAAACTATTCAAGTGTAGCATCTGTTCCAAGGAATTTAAGCTGAAATCCTATTTACAGATTCATTCAAAAATTCACACTAATGAAAAATCTTTCAAATGTAACATTTGTTCCAAGGAATTTAACCGGAACGCTAATTTACAAACACATTTAATAACACACACTAATGAAAAACCATTCAAGTGTAACATCTGTTCCAAGCAATTTAAGCTGAAATCTTATTTACATGTTCATTTAAAAACCCACACTAATGAAAAACCTTTTAAATGTAACATTTGTTCCAAGGAATTTAAGCTAAAATATTATTTACAAACTCATTTAAAAATCCATACTAATGAATAACTATTTACAAATATATTTAAGAACCCACACTAATGAAAAACCTTTAAAGCCTAACATTTTATTCCAAAGAATTTATTCAGAAATCTAATTTATGGACACATTTTTAAGAAGCTGCACTAATAAATAAGTATTTTTCAAATGTAATATCTATCCCAAAGAATTTCACTTAAAAAAAAACCTATATTGCAGGCTCATTTAAAAACACTAAGGAAACACATGTGTAACATTTGTTCCAGAGAATTTAAGCTAAAATATTATTTACAAACATTAAAGAACACACTATTGAAAAACCATTTAAATACAGTGTCTGTTCCAAGGAATTTCAGATAAAATCTAATTAATAGATCTTTTAAGTGTAACATTCTATTCAAGGAATTTAATCAGAAATTAATTTACAAATACATTTAAGAAGCCACACTAATGAAAAATCATTTAAATGTAAAATCTGTTTCAAATAAGCTGAAATCTTATTTACACATTTAAGAACCCACACTAATGAAAATTTTTTTAGGTGTAACATTTGTTCCAGGGAAATTAATCGGAAATCTTATTTACAAGCATATTTAAGAACCCAAACTAATGAAAAACTATTGAAGTGCAACATCTGTTCTAAGGAATTTAAGCTAAAATCTTATTTACAGATTCATTTAAAAACCCACACTAATGAAAGACCTTTCAAGTGTACATATTTGTTCCTATTTAACTACAAGGAATGCAAATTTGTTCAGAACCACAAGACATTCAACAGCATTATTTGAAAATTAACCACCTAAATATGTTGGAATGAAATGTTTTAATCAACTTCCTGATTTCATCAAGTCTAAAAAGGAGTATGAACCTTTTAAAAGAAAACAACTATTTAACAGTCATGTTTTATTATTTATCTGAATAGGTACCATCCTATTTTAAAATAAATGTTTTTTAATCATGTTTTTGATAATAATAATAATAAAACGTCTTTATTAAAATTTTTGAAAATTACAAAAATGCAATGTAAGGGCGAGATTTAGCCTACAGCTATTCTATGTCTTAGATATGTTTTTTGTATTCTGTACTTATATTTATTATACTATATATTTTTTATTTATGTGTATATAATGTAACATGATCAGCTTAAAGGACAAATAAACTATTATTATTTGATTTATTTCCACTAAGACACTAAGGGCCGATTCCATCGTTGTGTTAAACGGAGATTAAAATGACATTGTTAATATAAAAATGTCATTTTAAACTTCGTTTAACACAACGGTGGAATTGGCCCTAATTTATTTTTACTGAAAAGAACACTTATACATTAATGAGACATATACAATATTTATGTGAACAGAACGATATCTAACTAACAAACAAAATTTAGGACGTATCCAGACAAAAAAGGGGCCCGGGCACCCACTTGCTCTGGAAAGCGATCTCGAAGAACTAAATGGGGTAATACTTGAGGCATATGAATCAAGCTGCCCCATTCAAAGAAATGGAACTAGTAGGAATGCTTCTTGGTGGAACCGTCATCTGTCAAACTTAACGATCCGAAGTGCGGAAGCTCTATAATAGGGCCAAGCACAGCAGATATTGGCAGAGCTACACTGAGGCGCTTACTACCTACAACAAAGAAATCAGGAAAGCTTTAGAAAATTCTGCGAGGATATTAACTCTACACCTGCGGCAGCGAGACTGCACAGGGCCCTGGCAAAAGGAAGAGTTGATACAGTTATTATGGCATTAAAGAAACCAAATGGAAGCTTCACGGAGAGTGAGGAGGAAATAGCTCGCCTCTTACTCGAAACTCACTTTCCTGGAAGCACGCCTTTTCTAATAAGGGACACAACTAAGGTAAGCAGGCCCCCAAGAGAGGCCGCTGTAGTGGCCAAACATATGCAACAGAAATCGGTTAAAGTGGGCCGTAAACACTTTTGAACCGTTTAAGTCTCCAGATGTGGATGGAATGTTTCCTGCTCTGCTTCAGCAGGCACAGGAGGAATTACTACCACACATAATCCGGCTATCCCGGAGCAGTCTGGAGCTGGGATATATACCAGAAGCATGGAGAAAGGCCAAATAGAGACTGACAAATAAAGAAACGGTCTTGTGTGCCTTCCTAGACGTAGAAGGAGCTTTTGACAATACGCCACACGAATCTGTAAAAAGAGCCCTTGCATACAGAGGAGTAGATAACATCACATCCATCAGATGGATGGCTCAGCTGTTATTTACGAGAACTGCAGAGACATATAGGGAAGGACACCATCTGCACAACCAGAGGATGTCCACAAGGAGGAGTTCTATCCCCAATGTGGAGCCTAATCGTAGACGAACTTCTATGCAGATTGACTGACCTCGGCATACACTGTCAAGGTTATGCCGACGACATAGTCATATTTGCTAGTGGCTAGTTTAGTAATATCCTGTCGTGTGATATAGTCCAACGAGGACTAGTACATACCAAAAATGGTGCCGTGAAGTGGGACTTAGTATTAACCCTACAAAAACAACACTAGTAGCCTTTTCAAGGAAAAGAAAACTTAATCTCAAAACCGTTAAATTAGACGGGATAGATATAGAATGGATAAACGAAGTCAAATATCTAGGCCTAACCCTGGACAACAAACTTCTCTGGAACACACATGAGAAGGAAGTAGTAAATAAGGTCACGAAAGCCCTAATGATATGCAGAAACATTGTAGGTAAACGATGGGGATGTATACTGCAATAGTGAGACCAATCATCACTTACGGGGCTATAGCCTGGAGTAACAGAGCTAGTTTAGCTACTACGAACTACGATAGCTAATATCTCAAAAGTACAAAGACTAGTCTGTTTATATTACTGGTGCAATGAGAACCTGTCCTACGGCCGCAATGGAGGTGATTTTAAACCTCACCCCTCTTCATTTGATGATAGAGAATGTGGCAAAAAGGACACGATATAGAATGATCAGGAACGGAGTAATCAGACGAAAGACTACTTGCTTCAGGACTAAAAATACCTGGGACACGCCCCAGGATGAAATGCTAAAGAAGTACAGTTTTGTGAAAAACTTCAAAACCACATGCAGAGCTGGGCTGCAAGAAAAAATGGAGCCAAGAATCCATCGCGCTTGCAACCGAAAGACGTGCTATTCAGTGGTATACGGACGGTTCCAAAAGATCGGAAGCCTGCATCTGCCTGAGCAAGAACAGGCTACGTATTGTAACAGGGATCCTTACCGGGCATTGCCGACTAAAAGACACCTAAGTAAACTGAGAGTAGTAGAGTATAGTGAGTGCAGATTCTGTGAGGAGGAGGACGAAACCTCCATTCACATCCTTACTGAGTGTGTAGCACTCCAGAATCCAAGCGCACTATATCTAGGAGGATATTAAATAGAAGATGGAGATTTACCTAACTTGAAGCCACTTCAAATCCTACACTTTCTTGAGAAAATAGGATTGGAAGGGTCGTTATAGGCATTGAGACCTTAGTGTATTGGCGACAGAAGGGAGCACAATAGATCTTTTAGGTCGCAGTGTATTAACACCCTATTCTCAAACATAATATAACTAACAAACTTAACTTCCAACGGCAAAACGGTCTATTTGGACTCATTTGTAGATTCTAGAATGCTCTAGACGTCTTTTTGAACCTGCCAGATCGGTGCCTCCGCCATTTTATAGAATAATCACGATAGAGGTTAACTTATTTCATCGAACGGAAAAAATGGAGGCCGTAAAAGGTCCAAATAAGGCAGAGAGGGACTTACATGATTATAGTGCATGACCGTTTAAACTACAAAAATAACAATGGTATAAAATGTTTAATAATTTATACCCTTTTAAAAATATATTAAATGGAATTTTAAATAATCTTGTATTTATCTACCAATACTTTCAAGTTTTGGTCATGTTACTTTCCAGCTTAGCTAGAGCCTCTTTTTGATGTTCTAAAAATTTGGAAGACATATAGAACTGAAAGACACTTAATCTTTTTTTAAAAACATTTGAATGGTGGAAACAAAACTTGAGTATCTTTTTTCCAAAAATATTTAGTGGAGTGGATAGATATTCCAGCATTGCACTGAAATGCACAGTACATTTGTTACTGTTCATCTGTAAATTCCTGTAATAGTTGTTTAAAGTTAATGACTATTTCTTGTAATTGTGGATTGAAATATGGGCATTTTTATTATAATTCAAACACAATTTGTTAACATACATTTTAATTCTTAAAAAAAAATTATTTATAACAAAGACACCCAGTGTTATAAAAGATGATGATGGTACCAGCTTGGTTCAGTCAGAGGTTCTATCAAGAAACACCACGAAATAAAACCAATCAAAAAAGAACTGATAACAATTTTCTTTTTCCATCCTTTATAAGTTGCTATGTCGCCTATTGCTGGAAAGCCCATGTGGTTACAAAAACCATGTACTATCACGATCGAAATAAAATGGCCTGTCCTGTAGAATAAATAAGCAGAATACATTCCAAACAACGTCGTATAAGTGAATTGGAAACAGGATATCTTCAAAGCATCATCAAAACTCATCTGCATGTGGTGGATCCTGTCCCACATGTGATGAAAGTGAGCTACCCCAAAAAACAAAGGACTACTCAGTATTGATGTACATGGACTAAAACATTGTAACAACATTGGCAGCATACAACTCCTGTAAGTGAATTCCTCCGAGATTGGGGCGACTATATGATTGCGCAACCAAATTAAATTTGTGAGGTTGGAGAACCAGTCCATTTCTTCTGTATATAATTTAGATAAACCGCTGTATAATTCCATAGTTATAGGTCCCAAAAATAGTATTATCGTAAGAAATAGAGGCAAAAAAGTTGCTTGGCATAATCCCTGAATCCTCAGTCCAAGTAACTCGAGAAAAGATTGCTTTTCCAGAGTTTCATTAGTTAATCCTACATACAAAAAACACGGTGATATAAATAACATCATAAATACGCTTAAAAACCTTTTCTTAATCGTTGAAGGATGGTCTCTGTTGTAAGGACTGTTCCATATTAATAAACTGCCTATATAGGTCAACGATAGTAGCATACACAAAATAACTGATTTCAGAATTTCGTAGCCACCTTGTTCCATCTTCAGTTTCGTTATAATTTATTTTCATGACTTATTTATTTTGTTTAAATTCAAATCGCGGGTAGGTATTTTTTTAAAGAATTTGTTTACATTTTGAATATTTGAATACACCAAAGACTCCCAAGAGGGTAAATTCGTAAACCTAACCTAAACCCAGAAAATTACATAATTGAAAAAGTAGAGGAAATGTCTCATTTACAATCACTAAAGTTAGTAGAGGCCGGCATATAAATCTGAGAAAAAGAAGAAAGCCATTGACGTGCTAATGCCATGTAAACTGTCAACTTTGCAAAGTTTAAATTTTTTCCGTTAAAAAAAAAATAAGGGAGACAAAATATTTATAATCATGTTAAGCCCAGAAATATTGTTAAAAGATGAATGTGAAGTGCAGTATTACGGTTTTAGTACAACACACTTCATGGACGACTGTAAGTACCTACCTAAGTTTTGTTTCTATAATGAACCAAGTGAATTTACTGTTGAAACAACTTAGCATAATGAACTTGTTTTCACAAATAATATTTGAAAACCTGCTAATTCTAAAATACAATTTAAGAAAGTTCACATGTCACTCAATCATATAGGATACCTCGTACAACACTAAAGGGAAAAATCAACTAATTTCAAGGGAGCCCCAAACAAGTATTTCATTTAATGCACTTCTACCCTACCCCCACATTCGTTATCTATCAGTAAACAAGTATAAACAGCAAAAAATTAAAAATGTTATGCCTATAAGGGATTATTTTGTAAAAGTCTCCTATATTTTAAAAATATTTGTGGTATTGTTTTTTATTTTATTTTAAATTTGTTGTATGTAAAATGTATATTTACCAGTATTCCATGTAGATGTTAACTATTTAAGGATTTAAGTGCTGACAACTATGTAAATGGTATTGGCCAATGAATACCTTTTAATATCCTCTGGCACAAGTGCCTATAAAAACTACTAAGAACCAGCACTAGGGCAAGCAGGAAAGGGACAATACCCATCCATTTCAATGCAGTTGGTTCATATAAATTGCAACATTGACACCATTTCTTTTCAAACTCTGTAGCTTTCACTCCTACTTGTGCCAAGGGATATTACAAGGTATTTGTTGGCTGATACCATATAAGTATTACTGAGAATAAAGAATGTCTATTAAACTAAATTAATATATTCAATAGTTAAAGATATGGTGAAACAAATCATACAAAATACTTTAACTGAAATGGAGCAAGAATTGACCAATAATGGATGTAATAAAGATAAAATAAAAAAAGGAATTGATGAATTATATTTATTGTACATGAAAAGTGTGAACAGTACATTAAAGAAATTTGAAGAAGAGTTTAGAAATATATTGACGATACCTGATAATGTTTTATTAGAAGAAGACAAGTTCAAAAGTATCCCAGTTTCAACTGAAGAATTTGAAAATTTAAATAAAGATTTAAGGGATCTTGAACAACAGCTCATTCAAGTAATATTTACTAATCAAAGTATTCATAAAACAATTTTAATAAATATTATTTTAGGAAAAGGTATTTTTAGCAGCATGTCAACATCTAAAGAATGTTTTTGAGGCCAAAATTGAACCTGTTTATAAGAAAGTGAATAATTTATTTGCAAAAGGAAACAAGATATTTCCTAACCCTTCCAAACAAAATGAAAAATTCCAAAATATACTGTTGCAATTCAAACAGAAGACTCTACAGATTACTGAAGCTACAGAAGAAAGCCATGATTATAGAACCATCATCCAATTAAAGAATGAAAATTTTTTTCATTAGATACTTGCCATGTAAAATTGACATTTATGATTGGCAATGGAAAACTGGGACAATAATGTTTTGTAGCTTTTAGATGTAAGTGTAATTTTATTAAAAAAAAAATTGTATTTATAAATTCTGTAATAAACTTTTTTACTAGTCTGACTCAAATTCCTCGTCTTCATTTTCCAATGCTTTATCCCAATCCTTCATTTTGGCTCCCATCATGAAGTCCTCTTTTAAAACACTCCATGTAGTATCTGTGTTGCTTTCATTCTTTTTATTTTTTTGGATATCAGAGTCCACCCTTTGTGATTTCTCACCCATCAACACATCCAAAAATGCCCTCTTATCAATATTTTTCAAAACCTTTTCTCTTCGAACCTCCAATGGACCAGCTTCTTCTAGCTTTTTGCTTATATCTTTTTGTTGCATTCTAACAGCATTAAATAATTGAACAACTCCTTTTGTCGCTATTTTTTGTAACAATCTCTCTCTGTCCTTTTCTAATATGTCTGGTTTTATCCTCAATTTAGGCAATTCTTTCCTCTAAAATATTAATTTAAATGAATTTCATTTTTGAATTACAAGTTTCAAGCATTTCTTTGTTTTATGGAAGGGACCATACTTAGGCATATATGCCTGTCTTGTGTGATCTCTTCCACAAGAAAAAAAATACCAGAAATAATATATTTAGTAAGACTGTAGAAAAAAAAACTGAAGGTTCTTTATGTCTCCCCATTACTGGCATATGAATATCCTCCTCTTAATAATATGAGTATATTATTTATAATTTTATTAAAATATTTTAAACATATTTGGGCTAGTTTAGACCAATTTCAGTTTTAAATTTACCTAGATAAGTAATTTGGTTTGTTTGTAAAGAAATTATTAAATAAGTTTGTTATTTTTAACTAAACTTCCATTTTAATTTATAATATCATTATTTAAATCTTCTGAAATTTTTTAACATCCACTATTTTCCAAATTTTTTATAGTCACAGTGAGTGTCACTTAAGTTAGTTTAATAGTTTTTGTTTTTTTATTAACATATTTAATAAATAATCTCCTAATTGGTCCTGTTTTTAGATAGAAATTAAGGCTGAAGTTATACATGGTTTAAGTTTACAATATTTTTTTGCTTACAGTAATGTTTCAGTGGTTTTGTTTACAATTATCCAAAACTACAACTTTTTTACCTTTTTCTTTAGTGGCTCTTCCAATTCTGGCTTAACATCCTCTTTTTCCTCTGAACTGTCTTCTTCCTTAACTTTAACCACACCATCAGGCGCTTCAATCTCAAAACCTGATGGTTCTGGTTTCTTTTTCTTGACATCCGTTAACTTTTTAGCCTTTGATAATACTAGTGTCTTCTTTTTGGATTTTTGTTTTAAAATTTTTGAAATTGCGTCTGCCCAACCAGTGTTTGCCAAGTCATTGTCGTCCTCGTTCTCTTCGTCCCCAGAATTATTTGAGTTATCTGCTTCACTAATACCACTTGATACTTCGTCTAAATGTTAAAAACATGTCATTAAAGGGAAACTTGAGGAAACAAATGGTATAAAAGGTTTGTCCACATTTCCCATACTCACCATCACTTCTATCTTTTATGTCTACTTCGCTCATAATAGTCATTCTTTATTTATGTATATATTTTAAAAAATGTTAACCAAGTCCAGTTTCGAAATCAAAAATTGTTTTTCAAAATAACCTCATTTATTAAAATAGGGTTATCTTTTACTTCCTTTTTTTAACACAATATACCGTATACTAATCAAAGCAAAGGCCATAAGTAAATTAACTGTTATGTAAAAGTCCACTGATATTCACTTCTTTATTTTAGATTTGAGGCCTCTATTAGTATGTGTGTCAAATTAATTTAGTCAACAACCGTAATCGATTTTTAGTAAAAATAGACATGCCCTTGTGTAGTTCCCATGGCAACGCTGACATATCCTTCAGTCCAAACATAACCTCCAATTTAATTAAAATTCAAATTTTTTTCGTAAAAATATGGAAAATTATAAATTATTAGGGAGGGCTGGAGAGGGAGCGCACGGATTTGTTTTCAAGGCAAAAGATTTACGGAATGAAAACGAGGTGGCACTCAAAAAGATCGCTATAAATCCCGATTTAGAAATCCCCAATAACGTGATGCGAGAAATCTTAGCGCTAAGAGTTTTAAAATATGCCCATGTGAGTTTTATAGGAATTATGATTACTGAATAAAATCTAGATTGTGAAAAATGCACCTTTATTGTTAATACATGGTGTCCCAAGTGTAGTGGTTATTACACTGTGTGATTATTTATTTGTTGTAGATTGTAAAGTTAACAGAGGTATTAAGCGTGGGAAGTTATGTGGTTTTAGCAATGGAATATCTGCCTTGGTCACTGTATGAAGTTATTAAAGATAAAAATACAACATTGAATCTAGCACAAATTAAAACTTACAGTAAAATGATATTAAAAGGGTTACATTACATGCATTACCACCACATAATGCACAGGGTAAGTAGGTACACGTTAAATATTTATAGACTTCGGAACTTGTTTTCTATATTTTAAGGATTTAAAGCCGTCTAACTTGCTTATTGGCAGAAAAGGAATTTTAAAAATTGCCGATTTCGGTTTGGCTCGAATATATGACCACGAAAAGAAGAGGTTATATTCGCATCAGGTTGCCACTAGATGGTATAGGTCTCCGGAATTACTCTACGGTTCTAGAACGTACAATAAATCGGTAGATATGTGGTCTGTGGGTTGCATAATCGCAGAGATGATTGAAAGGAAACCGCTCTTTCCGGTAAGCAAAAATCGTTGAAATTCGGATATTTAATAAATCTGGCAACGTTGTTATTGAATTTTAATACATAATTTTTGCTCTATTGACGAGTTTTAAAACATATCATTCTATAATTGAAAATGACATACGTTTTTAGTTTTTTCTTTAATATTGTTTGCAAGTCGTAAAAAATATTTTTTCTAGTCAGTAAGTGTCAAAATGATCTACTTTACGCAACCATCAGTGCATAATATTGAACATTATGAAACTGTTTTTGAAATAGCTATTTATGAAACCATCAGTTGCCAAATATGCCTTATTTTATGTAACTAGTAAATATTTGCGGGACGAGCAGATTGAGATCCCGTAACATGAACGAGTTACATAAAACGGCATTTCGTTACGTGTTACATACAATATTTTTTCTAATTTTGCCTAAAATTGTGTTTTGGTTAAACATTACTAATATTTAGGCAACCAATATTACTTTCTTGTATTGTTAGTTGCATATGCGCTCATCACATAATGAAAAGGCCTGTTGGGAGACGGAATGTTGCCAGATCTATTCCAATTCCTTAAATTTAAGGAAACATAATTTATTAAAAAGACGAACCAATAGTTTGGAGTTATCTACGAACTTTCTTTTATAGGGTGAAACGGACATAGAACAATTGGCGATAGTATTGGGGACATTGGGAACGCCTACGAGTGACAATTGGCCAGGTCTGACTCAATTACCGGACTATAATAAAATTTCGTTTAGTCACAGTGAACCCAAAAAGTGGAGCGTCATTATACCGGACGCTGATTACATAACGTTAAATTTGTTGAGCAAAATATTGATTTACGATCAAAACAAGAGGTGTACAGCCAAAGAGGTAGGAAAGGCCTAATATGGATGGACCTGAAAGGTACCTACTTAATATTATTTATGACATTTTAGGCTTTGCAAGACAGATTCTTTAGAGAAAAGCCTTTCCCCTGTCGTATTTCACAGTTGCCCAAGTTAGACGAGCCCAACGAACCCACTTGGAATTTCGACGAATTTGATGAATTTTTGGGACACATGAACGACGAACCCAAACCAGAATTATTGTGACTTTGAATTAAGAATACGAAGCGGTGCGATTCTTTTGTGGTCATTTACGTCTTCAATGGGCAACTTTTTGTGGATTTTAAAATAAAATTTTATTGTCGAATCCGATTGTTGACTTTCATTTGGCTTGTCACATGAATGATACAAGTCTCATTAATAATAGGACATTGAACAAATGGGAAATATCCTGACTTAAATTATGATACCAAACATGCTTAACGTAAAATGTGAGATAAATTCCAAATGCTTTATGTTACATTATCAATAAGACTGTTTTATTTATTTATTTATAAAAAAATGTAACAAATAGTCAGCGAGATTATGATTTTGTTATTATAAAAGAGCCCATCGGCTCATTATTACTTATACAGGCCATGTAAAATGTAATATTTCTCTGAAAAACTGATATAGGGTTGTCCATTGAAAGCGTGTGTAAAGATTTAGGAGAAAAGTTCGATTTGTAGGTACAAGAAAAATATGGGTGGTTATATTTTTCTTTAAAGTGAAATATTTATTCTGCTAAGTGTATTTTTTATTTATTTTTATTATCTTAATATTCTTTTGTTTTTATTGTTATGGTAATTGAATAAAAATATTCGAAACGGAAGTTATATTTAGTTTACTTTCATACACAAACGTAATCACCATGTATATACGTTTGGGTATATTTATTAAAAATCTTGATATGAAGTTTCTTTTTTGTCTAAAAATAACCCATAGAATAGTCGAATACAATTAGCATATTCTATCCTATTGGTAGACGTATAAAATCAATGACATTTGACACTTAGCGCTCAATAATTGACAGTTGTCGCTTTATAATTGAGTTGTCGTTCGCTAATTGACTTTTAACACACGTAAAATGACTTCGAATCGAATTATACCTCAGTATATCATATTATAAGTGCAATACTTACCATTAATTGGGCTATTTTTTAAATAACTTGACACACATAAAAAGAAGTTACTTTTTTATTTAAAAATAACCCATACGACTCTAACAATATATATATAAATTATTTAATATTTTAGGGCAGCAATCAATTGGAGGTGACTGTAATATTTTGTCAAATACAGAGTCACCTGTTTAAAGTTAAAAGTATATATCTAGACAGAGCAAAACAACAGACTTTCATTTAAACATTAGTAGTTACTCAGTAACTGGCAATGTGTTTTAAATAAAGGTTCAAATAATTGTATAAGAATTAAGATATATGCATAATCATATAGACATTTTTGGGTCTATACAACAAATGACATGATTCACTACTTTGACACTTCTGCCATCTGTCAGGTTTATGGAAAAAATACGATCACATGATTACAACTATTTTTTGTCCAATTGGCGAATAAAGATATTAATTAGGTATTCCAACCAAAATGGTTACCTGCCTGATGGATTTGACATAGTCAATGATACAGTTATATAAATTAAAGTAATTATTTTGTTACAATATTCAAATGATGAAAATTGGCTTTAAAACATATTTAATGAGCATTTATGAAGGCAATATGACCTCCCGCAATGCAATCCCTTTGAGCAATCTATATAACTACATATATCATTGACATTATCAAAGTCAACAGGCAGCAATTTTAACAGATCATTGGAATGCCTAATTGGTTGCTAAAGATACGTAGACGTTTCCATGATGGTTACGAATTTCAAAATAATGTCGATCCGAAATTTGTACATAAAATTTACTGCAATAAATCAAAATGCAATAAATTTTTATTAATTTGCATTATTGTTTGTACAACAGTTGGACAAAAAAATGATAATTAAATAAATTCAATTTAAATATCAGTGAAATTGACACGACTTATAATGATACTAAAAATAAATTATGAAACAAAAATATAGCTGTAATTAATAAAGAGTGACTCACTTTATGACATTTTATTATATCGAAAGATGCTGATAAAAATTGTTTAGCTCGGTCTAGATAAATAGTGTGAACAAATAAATATATTTTTATGGTTAAAAAAATACTAATAAGAGGATAATGGTACAAAAAAAAATAGAGAAAAAAAATTAAGCCAAAATCCGAAGCACGATTTTTTGTTTACGGCGTGTTCCTTTAGTATTGCACACTCTCCGTAAAAGACAAAAAACAGGGATAGATTACACAAAAAAAAACAAAGAGTAAAAAAGGGATGATTTTTTTTGTACATAAAAATTACTGGTTGAAATGTATCTAATAAGTAAATTGTACTTTTTTTAAAGATGTTTAAAGTGGGTTCTCTCGCTAAGCAAACTGGCACAAAATTAGGTTTCTTGTGTTGTACAGATTCTGAAAAATAACTTATAATATTTTTAATCTATGGTGTTTTCCATTGGAATGTTTAGTGCGTTCTAAGTGTATTCTCACTTTCTTCTTTTCCTTATCAATAAACAAGGACACAAGTACACTCAGTGCGTACTGCCAATGGAAAGCACTATAAATCCACTTTACCAGTTCCAGCAACTATTTATTATTATAAAAATTTCAAGATTAATCTTGAGATGGAACAAAATTTCTTTGTTATGATCTGCTGATAACTTTGTATTGCACGTTACTGATTTCAAATTACAAAGTATAACAAATGTATTAAAAAAATGTTTAAATTTAATATGAAGTTGATTTTTTTGGCTTAGTTGATTTTAAATTCAGTACAATCACGTTGCTAGCGACTCAACTTTAAACATGCACTAAAATTATTGATAAAATAGAAAAATATAATTCAAATCATTCAACAAATGTGCAAAAATACAAATTTTTAACATAAAGATGACTCAGGTTCACAAGAAATTGGATTAACGGCTTAAATGGCATGATATGACTCTTTTGTGTGAAAACAAGCAACATTTCCAGAATACTTTATGGCTAAAAATGTTGAGTCATGGCATTTTTAAATCATTATTTATTTTCTCTAAGTCTGTCTCTTTTTTATCAGTTAAAAAAAGCAGATAAAGGTTTGAATTGTACAATATTATTCGATTAGTAATGGTATGGCATATTTTTGTCAAATCGGGATTAAATTTCTAGGTTTAATATAAAATTTATATAGTTTCCTTGAAATATTAAACAAAATTAATTGATAGAATTTGCATTTACTCTCGATATGATAAAGACATGCCGCTGTTTAGTGGAAGTAATTCGTTTAGATCCAAAAATATCAGTTAATAGTTTTTATTTAATAAATTTAATGATTTTATAGACAAAAATGGAAATGTATAAATAAATAATTAAAATTTTTTACATACATATAAAGGATAAATTCGACAATGAACTCTGAATTTTATTAAAAATTACTATTTAACAAAGAAAATGCATTTAGTATTTTTTTTTTCAACATATTTTGTCTTCAATTTAAATAAATTTGATCTGAAATTTTAAACTCTGGCACTAAAGTCGCAAATTATTTTGTTTTACTAATAAAAAAAAATTTAATAGATAATTTCAAAAAAATTTATAGTAAACAAATTTAAAAACTAACAGATGGTCTCTAATAAGAAAATGCATTAATTCAATTAGTCTAAAAATTGGCTATCCCTGTTGTCAGAAAAAACTTAACAAGGTCAACACCAATATTTACAAAAAAACATCCCTAAGCGAACGGCCGTTTCACCCCAAAAAAACACAGCGACTTCACCCCCTATAAAAGTTCCTGCATGGCTTTAAACTCAAAATGGTCTTACCAAAAATTCAAACATCGCCCTTAAGGGAAGAGTATACTAAAAAAATATGAAAATTGCTTTAGACTTTTCATAATACACAAAAATCTCAGCCACCTACTCAAAAAGAATTTCTGAATGTGTTTTCCTAAGAAGTGGGTAATATTTTACCTCTAGATTGTTCTATAGATCAATAATAATAATAATAATAATAATAATAATAATAATAAAGGTTTGCTAATAACCAAATATTACTGTATCTCTTTAATTTGTTTTGACTTTAGATTTATGTGCAAATGTAGGAATCATTATTTTAACAACCATCTGCTTCTTTGAATGAAAATAGAACAATTTTGATGTTCTTTAGGTACTCCTAACTTCACTTAATCACTTAGCCAAAATGATAGCTGATATTTAAATGCATTTTGAGTTTAAAAACATGCAGGAACTTTTATTTATAAAGAATTCAACTTTCTAAGAGAGTTGCAATAGATATTTTCCATTTGTGTCCATATTTATGCTAAACACTCTATATTTTGGGCTGAAACGGCAGCGTCAAGAAGGCGAAACATAGCCATACCCTCATTTTTAAAACTCAGTCACTAATCATTGCGTTTTTAGTTCTTTGCCAATACTGTAAGATACAATTTTGTTCCAATCGATTTTTGTCCTGGTGACAGGCAGGAGTCTCCTGAGCGCCTTGAATGTGGTGTCAGACATGGTTTGATAATTCTCAGAGATGGCCGTCTGGTACAGGTTTTCGGCATTCTCAATCACTTGGATGATTTCTTTTGCTGTTTGAGTTTCATTGGAAACCGGAATAGTTTCTTTTATTTCTTTAGTGCTTACCTGAATGAAATTAAAGAAGAATAATAAACAACCAGGTACATATTTATGATGATACAAAAGTGCTATATTTGCCACAACCTTCTTAAATTCAAAGTTATTATTTTCTCAAATCATAAAAAAAAAAAACAAATTAAGAATATTTCATAAGACACACATCCAAAGTTTAAGACAGTGACCAGTTCTATAAAAGTTGAATTAAAAAAGCATGCAGTAAGGGATTTTGTTTTAAATTTGAATGAAATAGTAAAGTACTCACCAGCTGGACATTTCCTTCTTCATAATAATGGACTTGAACCTTCAACACACCTCTTACTTCGGCCGTAGACTCATCCGTTAAGCTAACAGACCACTGAGACCTCCACCTACCGTTCCAAAAATTCTTAGGTTGAAACTGGTGATCTTCTATGCAAGCTGTAAGTGTAATAGCACCACCTTGGTTGCGCCCCACGACGCTGCAAACGCCGTCCTTGTAATGGTTCCTCGTGTATTGGACAAACTCCGCATCTAGGGCAGCCCGCCAAGGCTCCGTAGCAGAATCTGGGGTATAGGGCTGGTAATCGGAAGCCTCTTTTCTTAAATGTTCGTATTTGAAACTTTGTTTACTACGGGGATCGAAGAATCTGTTGTTACCTAAATCGTTGTATTCTGTAATCAGCACCAAGTGATCGGCATTTTCTATCCTAACTGGGGTGAGTTGGTCTTTATTGTACTGGGCGAATGCCCCGGTTACTCCTTCTTTCAGGAGGTCATCGTTATTTAAAAGCTTCCGGACGTCATTGAAGACTTCGTTGAATTCACCTGGAGGCGAATGGAGGATGAAATCTGAGACTATTTTTACTTTTTCGTGGTCACTTATCACTTCTTCCCCGTCCGACGCCATGTTTAGGTTGGGTTTTTCCTTTGACGTTTGACGTTTTTGGTGGTGCACGTCACACACTGACATATGACTCATGTCTAGCCATTTTTTAACAACTTAACAATCTCACAGATAAATGAGGTCATTATTTTCTATGGGGTAATCTCACATTTTGATTTTTTCCTTTATTTTGTAATTTAATTCCCCATCGACCATTCAGTGTTGGATTCTAATATATTGCATTAGTATGACATAATTTGTGTGCCAAATAAAAACAAACTATTCGATGATTTTAATATTTATAATTTTTTAATATTTGCAAGTTCTAAAATAGTATTTATGTAACCAGTAACATAAAACGGCCTTTCCTAACGTGATACTTACAATATTTTTCTGAATTTTACTAGAATATTTATAAAATTGTGTTTCGGTAAAACATTACTGACATTTATAGGTAACCATGTTACTTCTTTGTATTGTTAGTTGCATATGCATCATTTTAATGACACTTAGAACATGATTATGAATTACTTATTCTCAACGCCTTGCAGTGCGTTTCTATTGCTTATTGAAGTTATTTAGTTTTCAAATAAGTGGTTTAATTTGTCATGTATTGTATTTTAATTATTTTGTGCTGATTTGGACTGAAAAATATGGATCAAAACAACATTATTACTAGGTTGTGAGTTCACCAAATTCTATTTTTATGAGTCAACCTGCCCTTCTTTGATATTATTGATTTTAAACCAAAAAAGTTTTATTTTTATTTCTTTTCTTTTGGCAACTGGTGACATAATCGATTTTTTGAAACCAGTTTCAACATTATGCAACTGGTTGCGTAAAGTAGATCATTTTGACACTTGCTGCGATTACGAAAAATGTCACTTTATAGGTCAAAATTAGAAAAAAGTGTAGTTTAAAGGTACGTAACCAAATAATTGTTATTGTAACTACAGTGGTAACTGTTACAGTGACCAGTCGTATACTTACTTTTAAATGAATACAAACTTAAAAATAATAGAAATAAAAATAGAATGAATATATAGATATCTATTTTTTTACAAAACGATTATTTAATACAAATTACGTCATTAGTAAAATACAGCGTATCAGCAGCAACTGTTCATAAAGTGGCGATAGGAAACAATTCAATTATGGACATTATGGACGTCGTTAGATACTGTGTCACAGAAGGGGCAAAAATTCATAGTTGTATAAAATTACAAAAATATTCAAGTTTCCGTATTATAATGCTTAGAAACTGGACGTGAAATTCCTCATTTTTTTCAAAACTAACTTTGTTTATTCCTTTTTCCGATTATTTTAAATCATCTTTAAACACTACAGTCAGGATTGATTAGCGACGTCCATGGTCACAAAGAACATGCCGTTGCCACTAATGGATATGCAACACTTAATACACTGATGCTGTATATTTGATCATCTACTTTTGCATAAAAATTCCAATCGCGAAAAACTAGCTCAATGTTTTGACATTTTTCATTTCATGACACATGATCCAGAAATGTCAGTTAAGTAAATTTTATTTTTATTGCAAACACTTTCAATTTATTTTAAAGTTTAAACAGCTTAAAAGGTGAATAATCCTAAAACAGTATACATTTTTCTTAAGTTATGACCTAAAACATTTGTTTCTCACAAATTCAAAAGTATTAAAAGTTGTGATTAGTTTATAATAATTAGAAATTAAGTAAGTGAATACAAAATGAAAAAGTTAACAGGATCTTTTCGGTATACACAGTGGGACCCTTGGTTAATAATATTTCAGATTGTCTCCATACAAAGCATTCTGTACTTCACTTTAGGAGTGGTATTAATTTTATTGGGCTCACTGTTGGGAGAACCAAAGACTTTAGACAATATATTTCAATACCATGTAAGTTTTATAGTTAAAAATACATATAAAATATTTACTTGGGAATGTTTTTGCAGGAGATACAAATACGTGATGCCGGAGGTCAGATTGTAATATGCAGTTTTGTAATAAATGCAGGGATAGGGTAAGTTTTTTCACATTAAGTATAAGTTGAAAACATTATAGTAATGCCTTTTCTCTAGCGCGATAGCCTTGTGGTACATCGTAGAACGAACAAAACAATGCATGGACTTCAGCTGTACGTGGCATCTTGTCCACCTAGTAATCTGCTGGTTCTATAATGAACAATTCCCTACCACCTTCTCTTGGTGGGCCCTCAATGTGGCTTGTGCTACCATAATGTGCGTTTGTGGTGAGGTACTGTGTTTAAGGACAGAACTAGCAGCTATACCAGTTTCATTGGGACCGAAGACTGATCTTTAGAACAAATTATCATCTTGTGATAATGATGAATGTCTCATTTATTTAGATAAGTTGTGATAATAAAAGTAATATTAAGTTTTAAATGTTTATTAAACAGTATAACATGATTTTGAATGGCTTATTTTCTTCAAATAATGATGGATATGTGCCAGAGAGTGTAAACTTGGCTCATTACTGGAAAGGTACCTTTGCAGTTCTACTTAACACATGAGAGTGAGAGACAGAGGCTTAGCATGTTTATTTTGAGGTGGTAGGTAATGTTGATCTGTACAAATGGCAGATGATGGTGATGATGATAATCAGTTTAATAATTTAGTTGAAGAATATCCTCCATTATATGATCTTTAATGCGAATTCTATGAAAACAGTAATGTATGTGATAATATTTGGAGGATAATATCAACAAAATTAAGCAGAAGTGATTTATTTTTATACAGGGTGTCCTATTATTGCGTAATCGCTCGATATTTCAATTTGTGCTAAAGATATGCAAACAAGTTTCAAATGAAAGTTGTATGAATTTGAGAAAAAGGCAAATTTTAAACATATATTTTGATAAACAAGGTGTTGCACTTTTGTATGGTATATAAAAATGTATATTTTCAAATGTATCGCCCTATATTTTAATTTTAGAATTCTCTGGTAATACTTTTTTCAACACTGAATTTATCTTCAGTTAAAATTAAATGGTTATTTATTAACACATAATAAAATCCTTCTGTACTTCTAGTTGCATATACTGTACTCATTAGCCGTCTTTTTTATATAAAAAAATACATGTGGCACTCATCATCATCATCATCTGCTTAATCGAGTAATATTTTTAACATGCACCTTTCTATCATTTTTTCATGAATGACTTCCAAAATATATGTTTCCACAAAGCACTGCTTGAACTGAATGTCAACAAGTTCTTTCATGAGGTCTCCTGTCTCTGCAGTAAACTTGAAAAATATGTGAAGCATAGTAAGCTGGATTTTTTAAGGAAAAAAAAATAGTCTTACTTTAACTGGGAAGAAAATAGGAACTTTACTCACAGAAATACAAAAAAAACTATAATCATTGTTTTGTTGTGAAAAATTGACATGCACCATCTTCTCCTTTCATAAGTTTTTGATAATTTTCTAGTTCAATATTTTCCCAATGCTTTACACTTAGATTTTCAAAAAACCTGAAAAATAAAATCAATTATTTAAACAGATATGACTAATGCCAAGGCATATACGCAGGGCATAGAAAAGCGGAGCTCAGTTTTTCCAGGTGATCACTTGGATCTTAATACATTATAGTTGAAGTTATGCATTTTGAAACGTCAAATATAAGTCCTGTAAAAATTCGCAATCTGCGTGAATTGCGTCGTTTTGTTATTCATGCTGATCTGTAAGTAAGTTATAAATCTATCAAATTATCCATCTTCGGGGGATTTTTATATAATGAAAAATACAGTGTGATATCAGATATTAATGACCCTACATTTTCGTAAACAGTTTGTGTTGACTAAAACTTACTTTAGAACTTTGCCATAAAATTCCTTCTCTTTTGGTGTTAAACCATTTATCAGAACGTCTAAATTGGCCGACACGAGTTCTGGCTTATTCATACCAATTAATACGGTTTCGGGACCCTTTTGTTGCAAACTATAAAATATTGCCAGTTTTCCCAATTCCACATCATTTTCCTAGAAAATAAAACGCGTATTAAAGATATATAGAAAATGTTCAGAAAATATTTAAATACTTTGCAAAAGTTTCTAGCCTTAGTACATGCGTCTTTAATTTCTTGTGGTGCTGGATGCCAATCTTGCGGTCCAAAATTGCTTAGCAGCCCCATACCATTGGCTGAAGCGTTTACTATTCCAATATCTCTTGCCTGAAAAGGACATACAGCTACAACCAGAAGATAAAATTGATAAAAAACATACTTGTAGTTTAGGAATAAAGTGATTTAAAGTATCATCAATCATCGTCAGCCTCGTGTAGCTCAGAATCATGTCTATGTTCGTTTTACTTCTTTCGATGCATTCTAATAAAGTCGATACTGGATAGGCAGTTAGACCGATATATTTTGCTTTACCCGATTTGACTATATCTTCAATGGCAGGTAGAGTTTCGTTAATAATTATATTCATATCGGCAGCAAATTCTATGTCGTGCACCTAAAAAATAAATTTTACTTGGTTTCTCGTAAATTGAGGCCAATTGGCAACTATGTAACAGGAACACTACGTATGACAGATATAGCTGAAGCTGCCAAAGTCATATGCGCAGTGAATAGAAGAGCGTTAGGTTTTTCGAGGTGATCATATTTGGATCTTAATACATTATACGCGAAGTTGTATATTATGAGATGTTGCCATTATGTAAAATTATACGCATTTTGTTTTCAACCATTTGGTTCAATCACCAGTATTAAAGAAACTTATTTTTCTACAATAACTACTAGATATATTATTTTTAGTAAATAAATACTTCTAGATGTCCGTGTAGCAACAAATAGGTGAATATTTCCAACAAATTAAGTCATACACATGATAAATATTATATTTATGACGAAAGCATGGAAACCAAACTTACATTAACACTAAATTAAACTCAAAAACACTTATAATGAGAATATTATCTAAAAACAGTTAAAAAACCACAAATACAAAATCCTGCCCAACTCCAACACATGTAAATAAACAAACATCTTATAGGTGACAACAGGCGCGCGAAAATTAATTTGAATCCCTGTCGATATGTACATAGCCGTCTGTGATGCCAAATAGGAGTTAATGGACTGTAGAGGTTCTGATCGATAATGCCAGTTCTGATTAATTTTGAACACTAGCAAAATGAGTAATTATTTTAACTGATTAAGACTTACTTGTAATACGTCGACGTATTCTAATTTCAGCCTTTTTAATGTAACATCGATGCTTTCTTTAGTCTTTTTTGCTGAAAAATCGAACATTAGTTTGGGGTCTTTTTCGTATCGACCAATTTTAGTTGCCAAATAATAGGCTTTTCTGGGTATGCCTTCTAAACACTGAAATTGTAAAATAGTATATTATGCAACGATCATGTAATGATGGTTATTAATACACGAGCATTAACCGGGATACGAAACGAGCCAAAGGCGAGTTTCGTATGGTTTATGCGAGTGTTTTAATAACCATTACATGAGAGTTGCATACGCTATTTTTTCTACACCCGATAAATAATCAAGACCTATAAATATTCTATTTATATTGGTATTGAACACAATAACAGTAATTACTCGTATTTCTATAAAAAATTCTACAAAATTGTAATTAATGGTATTACCTTGGGTACTGGTATTACCACAGATTTTTGGGGCAAAATATTTTGTACTGCATTTTCTCCTTTCTCCTATATGTGTGGAGGAGTGTTCTATATCGCTGATATCAGACATTTTAATATTATAATTATCGAAGTTTAGCTATCTACGAAAATTTAATACGTTTTGACAACTAAAACAATTACATAGGAATTTAGGACAAACGTCAAACATCATGCTTGATTGAAAAATTGTAGGTTTCTATTGATTAAAAATCTGTATCATAATGAAAAATCTGTATCATAATGGGTATCATTATGAAACGGATTATGGGCATATAAGTGCATTATTATAATACGGGTGTAGAAAAAAATCATATTATTATTAGCGAAAAACGATGTAAAAACAGAGAAAGCCCATTTAAAATTAGCAGAGTTGCCAGTTTATTTATGTAGCTAATTTTAAAAATGCAAACAAAATATTTATTAATAATAAATATATTTCATATTAGTAACCTTTTTAGTTGATTTTGCGTATTTTGACAAGTTTGTTTCAAAATTTTTGGTAGGAAATCCTCAAAATTATGTTACTTACTTTACCCAGTACCTCTTCAGCCACACCATGACCATACCATGGTCCTGTATCAATATAGTTTATCCCACTTCTGATTGCTTCATGCACTGCCTTTTTACAGTCTTCTATATTGAATTCTCTACAAATAAATACAGCAAAATGGCATTTGCATTTTTATACTACAATATATATGTATTTTAATTTTCAATGATTCGTTTATAAGGAATAGTAAATACCTATTTTAACCATAGGTCCAGGACCTCACTATATTAATATTTTGCTAAATAATGCTGGGTCAACTGTTCTGAGATGCAAGGTGTTTAATTTTAACACCCTGTAATTTATTTTGCAATATTTTCGATATTATTTAAAGTATTTACTTGAAATTTGTTATAGTTATATTTTTGGACATGTAAATCATAAGCATGTTATCAATTTTGAGATTAGACATTTTATTGGATTAATTGTTTTATTCGTGATATTACTAAAAAAAAATTAAAGTCTTTATGGTACATCCTGTAAATTTGAACAAAAAACGTATGTTTTAATAGCATAATATTTGAGTAGCATAATTACAATATTTCAACAAAGTAGACTTGAAAACAAAAATGAAAATATACAGCTGTCAAATGATTAATTGCTGACTGCAGTGTTACTTTTTTTTTTTTCACCAAATACTACGTTATATGTTATAACCATTTCTCTAATTCAGTAGAGTGTAGGTGGCGCCCTCTTTGCCTAATCTCAAAACTGATAGCATCCTTATGATTTACTAGTCCAAAAATATAATCATACTAAATTTCAAGTCAAATCGTTAAATATTAACGAAAATATTGCAAAAAAACGAAAAATACATTTTAACTTTAACACCATGTATCTCGGAAGTAGATAACATTTGACCCAGAGTTATTTAGCAAAATATTAATATATTGAGGTTCTAATAACCATGTAGTAAAATATTTACCATTCCTTATGAAACATCCTGTAAAAAACTGTTATTAGGTATTATTTTATTAAAATTTTTAGAAACGGACCTGTTCTATTTACTCACCCGTAAAAATAGGAAAATCCTCCAGTACCCAGAGAAATTTTAGATACGTTCATATCAGTTTTTCCCAATTTAGTGTAAGTCATTTTTCTCACGGCTTTTTCATCGTGAAAACCCCTAATAAAAGTTTCCGGTAAACTCATATTGCTATGTATTTACGCCCTCTGCAAGTGGAGAATAAAAAATAATGTGTTTATTAAGAGAACAATGTATTTAATATTAAAGCAGTTCATAATTCTACATACTTATTCATATAATCTTATCGTTCAATTAGACGCTTTGTTATATATATTTTAATGTGTGTGATATCTATGGTGTTATATTCACATATGGTTGCCATTCGAAAGTCAAGGACTTTGTAACAGGACCGGTTTTGACATTTTGCCACGCTTCGAGCAGAAGTTTGTGAATCAATAATTAGCCGAGATCATGGGTGTACGCAGGATTTTGTCCAGGGGACATAGCCACATACAGTGTGTTCGTAAATAACGGAAAACATATAGGTACGTTATAGGTACTAAAATGTATTAATATTAAAAATAAAGTCTGAAATATTACTCCTACCCCAGACTTAAACTCTGGATGTGCCGTAAAATTAATTTTTTGCCAAAATATCCATCAGTTTGCCACATTTTGAACAAAAAGTTATATACAAGGTGATGAACAGGTGGTAATGACGTCAGCGATGTATTGTTTAACGAACAAGAAACGAATATTAGTGTGGCCAGTTTATACGGTCCGCGTTAAAAAGTTGACCTTCTTGGAGGGCTATAATATGCTACTATCGGGTCTAACACAATTTCTACGGTCGGAAAGTGTGCTTCTGTAAGCATTGTCAACGTTTCCTCGAAGGTTTATATAGAGTTCATTATCTTTCTTGAGAAATTCTACTTGGTTTATAGTACCCTCTTTAGCTAGGACTTTATGAATTCAAGAGCATGTGGGTGTTTCTCGTAAGTGATTATAATTGCTTTACTTACTTAGTCTACTGCTCAATCAAGTCTTTGCTTACCTGTTATTTCCACAATACCCCCTCTATATTTAATGATAGAGAACGTGGCAAAAAGGAAAATATATAGAATGATCAGGAACGGATTAATCAAGTCTATTAGTTTCAGAACTGAAGATGATACTTGAGATATGTCCCAGAACGAAGTAAGAAAGAAGTATAGATTTGTGAAAAACTTCAAAAACACAGAGCTGGGCTGCAAGAAAAATGGAGCTAAGAATCTATTATCCTTGCAACCAGAAGACATGCCATTTAGTGGTATACGGTTGGTTCCAAAACCATAGAATGGGCCTAGAAGCAGCCACTCTGAAAATTTGGTTATATACCCAAGCATCTTCCAGGCGGAAATTCACGCCAATGAGAAGTGTATCCATTTCAACATCGAGAAAAACTATCGCAGACAAGAGATTATCATCATGTCCGATTACCAAACAGCCATCAAAGCGTCGAGATCTTACGTAATCAGCTTAAAAATGGTCTGGAGATGCCTAGAAAAACAGAATGAGCTAGGCGAGGAAAATACAATTACGCTTACTTGGGTCCAGGGATCAAGGGTAACGAGATTGTAGGTAGTCTCGTATAGAAAGGGGCTCAAACACCCTCTGTGGGACCTGAGCCGTTCTGCGGTATCAGTAATAACACAATATTAGGAGAGATTAAAAAAGAATTGGGCAGTAGAAGAACCGATAATTGGAACAATCTCTTGGGATTAAGATAGGCTAAGATACTTCTGGGTGAATGTAACCAGAAAGCATGTATCAGCCTGAGCAAGAACAGGCTACGCATTGTAACAGGGATCCTTACCGGGCATTGCCGATTTAAAAGGACCCTTTAGTAAACTGTGAGTAGTAGAAGATAGTGAGTGCAGATTATATCAGGAGAATGATGAAACCCCCATTCATATTCCTTCTACACTTCCTTGAGAAGATTGGATTGGAAGGGTCGTTATAGACAGCAAGATTATTTCTTAGATGCATTAGCGATAGATGTGGACACAATAGATATTTCAGGTCACAGTGAATTAATACTCCATACCCAACATACTTGCTTCTGCATTTGGTTGAAATTCAGATTAGATGAATTGTAAAATTTTCTCTCCTACCCAATAAGATTTTGTTATTTTCGAAAATCCAGAGGGACAGCTGCCATTCTCTGTCCACCACTGTATACGCCCATGGCCGAGAGTATAGTAAAAGCGTTAAAAGCTTTCTATAGGGTGTTTCAATAAGAGCGCAAGATTTGAATTGCTCCTCAGTTTGGGTGTCACATGAGTATGGCATGCCCACTAGGAGACAGATAGGACATAAGTAAACATGGTTTCTGCAGAACGGTGGTACTTACCATATAGCTTCTGAAATATTCACTGTCTTGCATGAGTCTTTTCCTGATCGTGTCATCTCCTGATTTGGCGACGTTAATTAATTGACGCCTTTAGCTGTGAGGTTTTCTGAAGACACATGTTTATGCCAACAAACCCGCGATCACCATAGCATTGAAGGCCGAATTTAGACACGGCATCAACGAAATACGGCCACATATATGCAACAAGGTTATTAAAAATTTCACAAAAAGGGTACGCATGTGCCAGCAAAGCCTTGGCGGCTTTTACCAGATGTGTTATTCCATACATAATTCCCAAATGTCTTCATTATAATACAATCTAATATTTAAATTCTTTGGTACAAGAAAACAACTTTTATTGAACTTTTAAATCTTGCGCTCATATTGAAACACACTTTATAACTTTGGTAAAAGCACAGTACACACTACACAGTCGAATGCTGGCCTCGAAGGCTGCAGGCTGAATAAAACGATTTATTTGTTTGTTTAAAGTTTTAATTTTACAATAGTATTAGGCGTGTTTCCGAAACTATAATATGCCAAAAAGGGACAGGTTTCCATTAACCATATAGTTAGATGGTGTAAAGAATTAAAAATTTGCCTAAAAATACTATATCTAGTAGAATACAAAGCGATTGCAAGCAAGTAATAACACATAGTGTGAATAATATTTAACTTAAAATATGGTAATTTGACAAGACTAGTATTGTTATTATTATTGTTAACATTGGTTGGTTTTTGCAGTAGATCGTACAAGTAATTCATGATAACTTTGTGGATTAAAAATGGATTCATACACCATAACCCTCCGCACAAGTGACTAGACATTTTCATAAAATCTGGATTTCTTTGGGATATCGCTGGATAGAAACATTTGTCTATTAATAAGTTGCAAATTTCTCTAGTTTCTTCTACAGAACCACTACAGATATTAAACCTAAAACATAATACACATACATTATTATTACCAATAATATTGACATATTTTACGAGAAATACTGGTACCCATGAGCGCCATTCAAAACATTTTCAGGTGGGGGCAAGCCTTATAACAAATTTTGACTAACCTGTCTTCTATTCCCATAAAATATCCAACAACCCTCCAAACATGGGTAAAAGCCTGCAATTCTTCTTCCGTGGCATGATAGATGCCAATCTGTTCCGGTCTACATAATGGAAACCCCATAAATCCAAATTGTGTTAAGGCCATGTCCTTTTGGGAGATTTTATTGAGACCTGCGCTGCAGCTTTTTTTGCTCGCATAGCTATGCTTATTGTTCACTTCAGCTAGCGATTTCCATAAACTGGAAATAAATTTAAATACTGTATATGGAAATAAAAATATCCTTCTCCAATTTTCCATATCTATTCGCTCCGTGCGCGACAGCAGCGCCAATTTGTTTTGGTATTAAAGGAGTATTTCTGCCTATACTGACAAATACAATTTTTAATAGAATTCGTAAATAAAAAGTATATATGTTAGTTTTAATAAAAGTATATGGATTTATAAAACAATTAAAACATTAATTTATTATTATTATATATTTTTCACGCTTAAATTGAAGAAAATTATATATAATCATTAAAAATCAATAATAAAATATAGGCAGGCAACAGTATTTACTGGAAAATGTATGAGAAGTTGCCTAAGTCTAATAAGTTGTCATTGAAGAAACCATTTATAATAGCGTGAAGTTAAAATGTATAAAAAGGATCGCTACTTATATTTTCATTTTTGTTCTAAAGAAAACATAGAATGAATGATTAAAACTGGTTTCCGATCAGTAAGTCACAAAATTGCATACCAGCCAAATATAATCCACGGCAGAAATCTTGAAATCTAGTCCTTGCTGAATGAACATTTAAGAATAAAGGGATATTAAAGAACATCGTAAAATGATAATTTATTGTTTATTTAAAAACTTTCTAGTTTCTGATGTCTACTATTTCCAGCATTACTGTTATTATCACAAAAATAAAGGTAATTTTTCTTCTTATTGTACACCTATCCATTTATTTCTTTGATTTAATTTCCACTTTGTTAGTGAAATTTGTTATTAAAGTTTCACTGTTTTTTTTTGCTAGTATTTGTACAATTTTCAACACAGCAACTCCGGTTGCTTATTGTGTTGTTTTTACCTACTTTTTTGAAAAAAAGTAAAATGTATACGTGTATTTGATATGCCAAAATTACAAAATATCCCCCTAAAATGCACAAATTATCCGCAGCTAGCGCTAGTATCGCTTTTGCTTCCCTTTCCATGACTTCGCACGGAGCGAATACTGTTTAAGTAGGCAATTCAATTCATCTTTTGAGAACATCAGCATAGTTTAAAAAATGACTTAAGTTTGTCATAATATTTGGTACATTTTTGTAGGTATATTTATAAAACTGCAATATTCTTAGATTGGTAACGGAATAGAGACATATATGGCTGCTTATATAGAGGTGTATCCCTCTCTCTACCTACAAGTGTATCTTCAACTAGCGAGTGAAGTCTATTATAGTCAGTGTCGCTAATGGGCGGAGAATTCACCGCTTTCCGGAGAATTTGAGAAGGTTCAAAGAATTTGGTGGAGAATAAAATTTTACGGAGAATTTGTCCGTCCAGCGTTGACAGTTGACTTGTGACTGGTGAATATTTGTTAGTGGAGAATCTCGTGTGTTTTCGCGTTGATTAGAGGTGCAGAGCAGTGTTTTCTAATGTGTTAAAACTATTTTTTGGTCCTGCACCAATTTTCAGTAGTAATACTATAAGTACTTCAAAATAATCAGATTATACATCGATAACTTGTTGCATAATTATAAAGAGTGTCAGTTTGGCAGTTTAAATATTCTGTCAAACTGACACGATTTGTAATTATGCAGGAAGTTTGAGATGTATAACCGTATTTATTTTGAAGTACGTATTGTATTTGATACGATTATTTTTTGAGTAAATTAAGTAAATATCAACAATTTATTAATTTAACCGAATCGACTCATTTTAAAATAATTATTGATAAACGTCAAAATTTGACGGTCCTGTTAGTTAGTGTATTGTCGATGTGGTTACTACGGAAATGAAATTATTGTAAATATTTTTGATTGGTGGAGCTACTCTATGTATAATCAGGTATTATCGAAATTATACGAGGTAACTTTTGAACGTTCTAATTGGATAAAAGTTATACGAAAAAAATAATCAAAATTATACTCCACTGACTGCGCATGCGGACTAGTATCTAGCTGATCTAGCATAAGTACTAGATTTCAATAGTTTGTTGTATTTTTGCTCCATACAGGATGGGGAACTAATTATAAACGCTTTTAGTCACTGTCCAGGATAGCTATTCACTAAGTCATGGGAGCGCTCCCATGGGAGTGTTCCCATATATTTTGCTCTCTTACTCCTAGGTGGGTATATCGTGCTTACTCACTTTTAGCCCAGGTACATGCATAGTTAGGAGCGGAGAATCTCGAGTGAATTCGGAGAATTTGGTTATCTGTCAGCGGAGAATCGAGGAGAAGCTTGTGGCAACACTAAATTATAGTATAATAAAGTTCTCCATTCTATAAACAACTAGTGAAATTACAATTATAATGATAAAATATATCTCAAAGAGTGAAATTATAAAAATTAGACAGTCAATTCAGCTTTTACAGATTGTTCATCAACGCATGAACAATATTTCCAAGTAAGTATCCAAATCATGCATTTAATGACTGCTGACTTTATCAACAATAGGGTATACATTATGGGTACATTATGAAAAATTATTATTAGAGAAACCACTATTTATCACCATAATTATTATCAAATGATAATTATTGCATGATTAACTATAATCTAATTAATTTAAGAGAAAAAGCTGATTTGCGCTTAGCTTGTACCTGGGTTCACAGTTTGTTTATTACGCCTGTTACCTGGAAGTTTTATATTTTGGTGAAAGTCCCGGGAAAAATAAAAGAAAAAGAAGCAGAGTTGTCAAGTCCGCAAAATATCTGCAACCCTTCGGATTTACATATACAAAACACGTAAAAGCGAAATATCTTCATTATACATTGTGAAACTTACTTGGAGCCTGGTTTAAAATCTTCTCGGTACCACACAATCATATGGAAAATCGTCGACATGTATCTTACATACGCCGAATAATTATTACCCGATTTTTGAGTAAATATTAAAATCTTCAACACTGTAGGTATAGCTATAACTGCCAAAAGTCCGTGAAATTTAGCGGCAAACATTGCCCAGATGTGCTTATAGAAGAATTCTTGACCTCTAAAACAAAATAGATAGTCAAATGGGTGTAACAAAAAATGATTTCTCAGATGTTTAACAAGAGTTAAAAAAACGATTGTAAAATGTTTCACTGTCTTTGTCCTACATATATGGTTTTAACTTACTTTTTGTAAAGTTCTTCATCATAAAACGGTGGAAGTACATGTTTGTCGGAGAAATTTGATTCCTTGAAACTGATTTTTGAACCTTCTTCTAAAAGTTGGTCTACAAACTTTTCAGCACTTATTACTAGAATAAAACAAATCTATTAAAAAATAAGTTTATAGCTCTAGGAACAATTGATTTTGCTGGCTTGTAACTCAGATTTATTCCGAATTAGAACTCAGAATAATAGATTATTAATTCCGAAATGTCTTTATATAGTTGATAAATACCCAATTTAAGTCACGCTTTTGAAATGTTTAAAAAATGTTAGCCTAGACATTAAAAAAACGTTAATTCTTAATCGTTATATTAAGAGCGTTATCCATGTACTAAAATTTACTTAAAAGTAATTCCAAGATTCCAAGCCTATTTTTTAATATTTTTTTTATGAAATTTGACATGCATATTTACGAAGTCGAGCATAATGGGGCTATGGAGTCCAAAATGTCTGAGTGGCCGTTTCATATACTACTTATTTAGATAATACCTATAGGGTCTGATTTGGTTCTGCGCCAATTTTTATCATCTCGAGCAATAAGCGACTTTTGTACTAAATTTTGCTCTACTAAAAACTAAAACGCACATCCGAATCCGACTTGAATATCTCTCAACAAAGAAACATCCTACAGACATCGAGCCACCGAGCGCGCGACGTTGCCAAATTGGACTGAGAGGTACTGCGTCGCGTATTATTTAGCAGATTTGAAATCTGAGTTAGGAGCGTACTGGATAACGCTCTTAACGTAGAATAACTAAGAAACGTTATTTTTAAGTCTTTTAAAGTTACATCCATATAAATATGTTCTATTGGCGTAAAATGTTAGAAAGATTTTTTAACAACTGGAAAGGAATGAATATTTAAAAGATTTTAAAATTATTAAATTGCCAACGCCTCTCAGTAGGCGGAAAAGTCAATTATTATGATTGGGGGGAGTAATGACATTTGATATTTTAACAAGATCATTTTGACGTTCTCAAATCAATTTCAAATAATAGTGCTAAAAAAATGAATTTAGATAGTGAATATGAGTTATTATGTACATAAGAGAAGTAGTTAATAATGCAATACAGAATTTATTACTAGAAAAATCAAAAAACAAGTATAAAGGTGAAAACAAACATTTTCAAGATTGGTGTAGCAATAAGAACATTAACTCGTTTACAGAAAATATACTTTTAGTATTTATTATTATAGTCGTAGATAAAGTATAGTATTCAACTTGCGGTAATGGTCATAACTCACTTGATGAATTATAGCACTCGCCTGCGGCTCGTGCTGCAAACTTCATCTGCGTGGGTTATGACCTGCATTACACAGCTCGTTAAATAATATACTATTTTCAAACGGCAGAAATTGGAATGACAACTCATAAGGAGTTCTAAGTCAGAAAAACGAATTTCGAGTTTTATGTAGGTAAAATAAAAATAGTATATTACATTACGCGAGTGAAAAATCACTTTCCCACAAGTGGTGTACAATATTTTTCCTACAACCACAAAATAATTTTATCAAAAAATGTAAAACCGGTTTATTATAATAATTAAAATGTATTTAAAAAAATAATCAACAATAATGGTATTTATTCAATTCTCATAAACAAAACAAAACAAAACTAAAAAACAAAAAAAAAATTAAGGCCCCGCAAGGATTTGAACGCGGTCGCTCGCCTCAAATGGCAAAGTAGATAAAGTTTGATACTCTAACCAACTGAGCTAATAGGCCTTGCGTCAATTGAGTGATCTAAATCGGTTATGTGTTTAACCAGAAACTAAACATAACTTAGTCAATTTAAAATTATTTTAATAATGTTAAAGATAAATATCTAGGATCTAATTTACAACAATTACAATAATTTAACAATCATATCGATTTTAGTATTAATATGGACATTACATAGATCAAAATAGAAATGACGCGTTTGACATTTTGTGACAGCTGATGCGGAAAGTAGCATATTCGCACACGGGTGGAAAGTAAATTCTTATTCATACGCGTGTGATAAAGGGAAATTTTTACAGGACTATACCGGGTGTTCAAATTAAAGTGTTACAGTTAAATACCGCCGAAAATATGCATTTTAGAAAAAAAAGTGTCAGACAAAAGTTTTATAGTTTTTTGGGGGAAACATTTTGGCTAAATTCATTTTTTTATATCTGACCATAATATGGCCATATCGAGGTGAACTTTGTCTTTTTAAATGGGAATCCCATTTTTTTCTTACATATTCTTAAAGTACATAAAAAAATAAGAAACTTTTGAGGAAAATATTTTTTTTATTGGACTTTTACTTTTTGAGTAACAGCTACTTAAAAATGTTGCTGCGCGAAAAAAAAGTTGGCCATATTATGGTTAGCTATAAAAAACGATTTTAGCCAAAAGTTTTTCCTTACAAAACTATAAAACTTTCGTCTGAAACGTTTTTTTTTATATAAAAAGCGGTATATAGCTGTAACGCTTTAATTTAGAACACCCGGTATAGTGTGATATGTGTCACTTTCCGAAGTGGTCGTAGGAAAAAATATTTTGTGGCCCTGTACACTTTCTAAGAAAGATGTTCTTCTTTAGTCGTATCCATATTGAGCTTACTTTTTAGAACATTTTAGTTTTACAGAGTGCATAAATTGAAATCGTGATGCATGTCATTTCTTAAATTATAGGTATTCAAGTAAAAAAAAATGTTAATTATAGATAGGTACCTACGATTATATCGAAAAGTACTTTGATCAATAAATTAGTTTTAGTTATCATCAGATTGATAATTACGCGTTCGAAAAACATATTATCAGCATTTAAATTTACAAAAAATTACCTATGTTTACATATACGACTATATAAATATCCAGCAAAACTTTATTTGTTTTCAAATTTACAAGTTTAAATATTGCGAATTTCTAAGACGCAATATTTTTCAAATGAGAGAACAGAGGAATATAAATCATTAAAAATGTATCTTGTACAAGGTATTATATTTTGTATTTTTGGATAAATAGACAAAATTAATAATAAAACAATTTTTATGCCTTGGTGGGATTCCCCACTCGACCATTCACTGTTGGGTTCTAATTAACAGTGCTGTTCCTAAAGTGGCGCTGGGAAACAGTAACAAAGCCTACACAAAACACGAGGCTAATGGCCTTAGTAGTCGATGCCGATGACGCCAAATAGGAAAAAAACTATTTTTTAACAGCTAATATTCACTCGTTACATAAAATAAGGCATTTCGTAACGTGTTACATAAAATATTTTTTCTACTACCGTTCTTAAAGTACCTACTACTAGTTCGTAAAGAGTTTTTATTTACGCACTAATAGAGCCTTCGAATCTATAGTCCATTTAAAATAACGGTAAAAGGTCGAGAAACGCCGCACCACTTGTCCCCTACGTATTTTGGGGCGCTGATTACGAAAATGAGGGTTAAAACAGACAGCAATGGTTGGAACACCCCTAAAATTGCAAAAAACACCCCTAAACAGGGATGTTTTTCGACTGTACTTATTGTTTTGCTAACTAAGACATCTTATATGTTTTTCGTGGCGCTGATTACGAAAATCGGGGTTAAAACTTGCAACAATGCTTAAACCACCCCTAAAATTGCAAAAAACACCCCTAGATAGGGGTGTGTTCTAACTAACTCATCTCATATGTTTTTTGGGGCGCTGATTTTGAAAATCGGGGTGTTGAGACTCGAAAATTTGTGTGACACCCCCACATGCCAGATACACCCCTCCCAACCAGTGGATTTTGGTGAAAAATGAAATATAAAATACAACAATGGGGCGTAAAGGGGATCGAAATATTTAAAAATAGCCTAATAGAGAAACAAAAAACGATACCATCTTGAAATATTCGGAATAATCAAACGCTATAAGTGGATGAAGCCTATTGATTATGAAAAAATTGATTAAAAAAGGAACTTGAGAGGGTTAAGGGAATCTGGTGAACTGTGAGGAGTATGATATAGAATGCTAAGCATTATATCTTCATTCTATTTCTACTTATGTTTAATAATTATTAAATAACAATGGCAAAATATTTATACACAGGATGTTATTAATTTGAATAAACGACTCCAGTCAATCAACTGCTGTTTAGCAAATAAAAATTTGAGTGGAAGATCGGGCGAATTAAATTATGGTCGGCGAACATTGCCAAGACCAAGATCACACAGCATTCATCATAAATTAAAATTTCGGCTAAATCGGTTGTTTCTGCCTACTATTTTTGGGTCAGCAATGGAAAATTTTCTCAATCACGGTTTGCTTTAATAAAGGTTTTTTTGGAAACAATTAATTTTGATGGCTCTTCTTAAGGTGATTACAGCACACCCTCATAATTTTTGGACAAGGATATCTCAAAAAGTAATTTTTTAAAAAAATTAAAATTTTGGCAAAATATATTAGGCAATAATATCTAGAATATGCATATATGTTAAAGTTTTAATTCCTTCCAGTTTCCGAGAAAAAATTAAAGGGCCTTAAATTTTGAAATATCAAAATCAAAATAAATGCATTCTCAATAACAGTATTCTTAATATAATTCCCAAATTTAAGCTCTTAATCTCTTGTTAATGATTTTTTAAAATTCGCCGAAATTAGTGGCTAAAACGCCTCGTTAAGTGCTATTTTCTGGTTTAAACTGGTGTAAACTCGTGTAAATCGTTGCAAGAAACGAATGATGACTCAGAGTGTACGATACGATAGTTACAGACGCGTTACACCAGAAAGCAGCACTTAACGAGACGTTTTAGCCACTAATTTCGGCGAATTTTAAAAAATCTTTAACAAGATATTAAGAGCTTAAATTTGAGGATTATATTAAGAATACTGCTGTTGAGAAATGCATTTATTTTCATTATGATATTTCAAAATTTAAAGCCCTTTGATTTTTTTGCTTGGAAACTGGAAATAATTAAAACTTTAAAATATAAGCATGTTCTAGATATTATTGCCTAATTTAAATTGCCAAAATTTTAATTAAAAAAAAAATTACTTTTTGAGATATGCTTGTCCGAAAATTATAAGGGGGTGCTGTAATCACCTTAAGTTCCTGTTAATGTTATGGCTTATGGCCGAAAACTCTAGATTAAAATTTAAATGAAGGAAGGGGAAATTAATTTATTTCTTCATCTCTACACACTTTAAAATACTTTTTTATTTCTATTCCTAATCAACCAGTGTGTACACACCTACTACCCTCTTGAGGGATTAAAAAAGTTGCAGTAATTCAAAAAATATTGATTTTTCGAAAAAGTAGTCAGGTCCAAAAAAGATTCAAAATGAATTTGTTTAAATAATAATAACCTACAGAAGTTTTGGAGGTCACAACCCCCATAAAATGTTCATATTTTTTTTTGCTTTAAGAGTACCACGTGTTTATTGTCTTGATAATTTTTTAACAGTTTCCATGTTATTGGGAAAAATGGATTTTGAATTTGTAATTTCAACAAGCTATAACTTTATTTGTACGTACTTTTGTATTTAGGTAAGTCCGTTTTGACCTACCAATTTTTGACTTCATAATATCTGGTATAATTTGTTACACCCTGTATATTTATAACGTTACTGTGAAGACAGAAAAAAGTTCTTAGCACATTTATCTTTAAATAATTATTGTTACACTGCAGCATTTGTTTAAATTAAGTAACAATTAAAAAAAAAACCCACGGTCCCCCTTGCTTTACCCCTTGGGTGCCCAAGTGCCTTCCTACTAATTAAAATTTGTTTAAAAGTACTTTTTTTCATTAAAATAATAAGGACTGATACATACCTTCGTTAATAGCAGAATTTTTATGCCTCATCTTCTATTTTTACATTTAACTATAAGAAAAAAGGTAATTAGTATTGGTAATATATTACAAACTAATTTTAAAATATGGATACATAGTTATTATTGCGCTTTTATATTCTTTGGCAGATAAAATATAAATTTTCTTTTAGTGGAAACCAATTATTCACGTGTCCCTGATCCTACCTATACCTATTATGTGTTAAAACATACCTTATCCTACTTACAAAAATACTTAATCAAAATGTCATTAAATTTTCTTTTACTTACCAAAAGAAATATCCAAAATCCAAAAGTGAAAATTACTTAAACAGTATAGGTATCTGCAAGGTGTTTTCTTCTGAAAATCTTTGTTGTTTTGTGCTTAGTTTAAATAATTATCTTCTTCTAGTGGTTGATGCAATCCAATGTTGAGAAAAGCAGGTCAAGAACTCTCGTATTATAAAATTATTTATTTACTTTTTTTAATTTTAAATTTCAACTAACAGTTCTATGCAGTTCACTGAGAATTTTATGTTTAAACTTCCTACTTGCTATACAAGTAAATTTATTATGTATTCGCAAAAGTTTAAATAATAAGTACATATGATTGATTTACGTATTTGATTATATAGTTAATTAATGAAAAATCTATGTTTACACACATAGATAAAATATATACATACTTATAAATAAAGTTTAGCTACAACTTCGCAACTATTATTGTAATTCAGTATTTTGGAATGTTTAAACACTTTCACTACCTACTTCATATTGTATAATTGTGAACCGCGATGGTACAGAGGACTATACTACTGAAAGAAGTGAAAGTAACGCACTTTACAGGATGATACAGTTGATACAGAAATAGATCCTTTACTCACTTATTTAATAAACTTAATAAGGTATTTTTCCACATAGTCTCTAAACTGCAGTCATAAAAAATCAAATCCTTGCACAAAAAAGGAAAGTGAGTTGGATGTGGTTAATACTTCAAAAATGTATAATAAAAATAATTTACATAAGTTGACCCCCCCCCAGTAACTCAAAAACAAGTATTGTTTAGTAACACATCATTTGAAAGGCAATTTTTTTGAGAATTCAAAAATATTACTAATAATTGCGTTGCTTTTGATTTTAACGTCCTCTAGCAGGTCAAAAACTGTGTGACACTTCATTTCAAAGCTAATTTTATTAGTGATTTAATACGTAGCAAAAAGTAACGTAAGCTTAATTTAATAAAAGTACTATATAATAAATTTATTTATACTTAATCACTATATATAGTTCACACTTCAATTTATTTAACAATTTATCTTTTTTCGACAACATTTATTTTCAAACTTAGTACGACAGACTAATTCATTTATATATAAAAAGGTAACAGCTTGGAAAATCCAATTTTGACTAGAAGAATCTCGATGCTTCGTGAAATCCTTCCTCCACGTGCCGGCCTGCGTATAAAAAAACATTCCACTCGATTCTCGATCGCCAGTGGTAACCGCAGTGGTAAAGGTCAACAAAGAACTGGGTCAGACTGGTTACACGCCATTGCCTCCTCCTTATTAAGATATATTTCCTTCTGGAACTAAAACTAAATGGTTGTATCTACAACTGGACCCTCTTTTAAAATTTCCATGGAAGTAACAAGGGACGGTTTTCGCTGTACCTTGGACACTAGGCGAATAGCTCCAGACTAGTATTTGAAACTCGGTATCTTAGAAAGAAAACTTCCACCATGTTTTTATGATCCTCCAATTCAGCTGATTGCTCTCTATATTTGGCATGGTTAGAATCTGTACATTGGACCCTAGTACGTGCTACCTCAGACTAAGTAATGCTTTCCATAAATCATAAACTCAGAAGGTGTTCTTTGTTACTAAATAGTAAGGATAACGCGATCCATCTTGAAGTTTCAAGGTTCTTCCAAGGACAGGTAACTGACCCTGAAGTTCTGGTAATCGACCAAATTTCTTCTGGAACACAGATGCCAGACCTCCAGCGTCGTTGATGCTGGCGGAAGTGATGTGGACCAGCAAGTAGTCTTTAGCAGACCTTCTTTTTGCTCGGTTGTAATACCATATCTTGCTTTTCAAATACCTCCATTTGCACCCATAAATTCTTCAAAGAGAAGGTCAGGTGTTTCTTGGAGCTGGTTTACTGCTTCTTCCTCGTCATGGTCACCTTCATATGGCCAGCCGATTTTAATGCAATACTTTCGGTTTACCGTTAGGGATCTTGCTTACCTATAAATTAAATCATTATTTTTTTTTCTTAATGAAGTACGGACCTTCTTAAGACCTCAGGAACTTTTGAGAAAGCCCTTCTGTTTTTTTGGTTATGGAGCCAGACTTTGTCACCTTCCTTGAAACAGCCTTCTGTGGCTTGGGTATCGTACCGTTTCTCTATCCTGTCGCAGCTATTTGAAGATGCGAACGAACCAACTCATTCATATCGTGTATTTTTTTTCATAACTGAAACACATAATCTTCATCGGTTATGTCTTTTCCAGGTCGGCATCCAAACTCGAGGTAGCAGAGTAGTCTCATTTTACGCCCGAACAGGACTGTTGTTGGAGTTTGACCTGTTGATTCATTAACAGCAGATCTATATATATGCAATTGGGAAGATACTAAACCCAATCTTGCTGGTGATTGGAAATTAGTTCTGACAGGTATTTTCCAAATGTTCTTATTTATTCGCTCTATAATTTCATCCGACTGTAAGTGCAATGTCATTGTTCTGGTTTTCTCCATGTCTACTCTGGCACAGATTTCTCGGAAAAGCTAGCCTTCAAAATTTCTGCTTTGGTCAGTGCGGATCTCCAAGAGCATTTCAAATCGACTGATAAACTTTTATCAACAAGTCTGCAACAGTTGCGGCCTCTTGATTTAGAATGAGGTAGACTTCCATCCACTTCGTTAAATATTCCATAAACACCATCATGTATTTATTAACATTCTCGGACATGGGGATTGGTCCAGCAATATCTAAAATAATCCTTTCAAATGGGCTACCGACGTTGTACTGCTTCATGGGGGCATTCCTTTTTCGTTGGGGTCCATTACTCACAGCACAGGTGGTACATTTCTTACATCAGTCCTTTACATCATCGGAACTGTTCATCAATTAAAACTTTTCACGAACTATCTGAAGAGTCTGAAGGGTTTTCTTAACACCTATATATGTCCTCCTGATAGACTGTCGTGTAACTGACGAAGTATTTCGGTTACTCTGGTCTTTGAATGACCAACTGTCTTCTGTTCTCGGAACCATCATCATTCTCTAGTACTTGCTTTAATAAACCTTCCAGAATATAATAGTCTTAATGAGCCAAATACAAGCCAAGTAGGTCGATGATTTTCCTCTTTCCATTGTCGCATTTTCTTTAAAACGGGATCGTTATTTTCTTCTTTTCAAAGTTTGGCAGGGGTCCTCTCATTATTGACTACAATTGTTCTTACCAGTCCACTTTCTGTGGATTATGCTCTGTTGCAGTGAGAGCACTCTGCTGGGCATGGTCTTCTAATTCCCGACGTAGCTCGGTCACTTAAATCACCCAGTTTTTTAGGCATTTTTGTCCACTTTTTATTTACAGTACCACTTCTGACACCAATGTAATGTTTGTTTAATTTAAATACAGTTTAATAATTTAAAACAGTTTATTTATTATTTATTTCGTACTAATTAATTTATTTAATACTTACGAACTACTATAATTCACACATCTAATTTATTTTTACAATTTATCTTTACTTGACATTTATATTAAAAACTAAACGGCGAAAGAATTCACACATATATAAAATTGTAACAGTCTAGAAAAAGCCAATCATGTGTAGAAGAATCTCGAAATATTCCTACACGCCTCGGATCGCAAATTCCAGCAATGTTTCAAATTTTCGAGGTGGAGGGGCAGCAATAGCCAACGCCAGACTCTATGGCGCGTAAACGTTAATAGAGAACAGGGTCGGTTTCGCATAGGGTTGCCGCCTTTTTGAAAAGTGAAAAAGGACTACGATGCTGACCGTCATGTGTAAAAAAATCCTCATCCTCGTCATGCCGAGCTTCTAAAAAAAGAAGGTCCTCAGCTTTTTTTGTATGCCCCTTCAAAAAATACATGCTGTCAGTCAAGAAAGACATTCGTCGTAAAAGAGGACATTTGCCGTAAAAAGGACATTATAAGCTTTAAAAAGTCAGAAGAACATTTTGCTTCAAAAAAAGGACAGGTGGCAACACTAGTTTCGCACGACAATAGTATTAATTGATTAAATATACTGATCTTTTTGATTTAACTACGTTTTATAGAGTATGATGACAGCGAATTAGTAGAAGCTAGTAGCATTTTCATTTTTTAATAATAAATATTTTGAAGTTGTATTATATATTATTTTTAATACTAAAAATAGACAATTAGTTGTTGATCTAATTAATTTTTCTGGGATAACTATTTAAGGTAAAAAAATTATATAATACAAAACAGAATTTGTAAAAAATGCTATATCAATAAACTATAATTTAAATAAGCATTAAATATATTGGCTGTATGGAATTCCTAGGCGTGAAATGATGAATCTTTACCTAAATATTTGGATGTTTCTGTTTCCTGTATGTCTAAATTTTCACATATTAAGCTTCTAAATTGAGGTCGATCAGCCACTCTCTTTGAAAAAGCAATGTAGTTTGTTTTGTTAACATTCAAAGACAATTTAAAAACATCCAGCCAGTTTTTGACATGTTTCATTCCAGCTATAGCACTTTCTATTTTAATTTACTTCTAATTTAACATATTGTTGAACATTGTTAAAAATTTCCTCATCTCATATAACTCGTCGCGATTACAAACCATAAGTTAAAAGACAAGACTCCTCAGACCAACGTGAATATAAGAAATAATATTACAATAGCATACAATTTGTTTGGATAAAATTAAACAATAGTCTAAACGTGTAAGTTTGCTATTCTGCAAACAGTATTCAGTGGCAACTGCCTTAAATAAAACATCGTCTTGGTTAAAAAAAAACTGTATTAACTTAACTAAATTATAAAATTACAAAGTCACAATAGTTCCCATGTCAAACTCTCCACGCACATGTCATAATTCCAAAAGTAGACAGAATCATCACATTTTTCATAATGTATATCAATTTATCCCTATTTACTTTTTACAACTACAATATCCAAACTGCTATTTAGTCTCTTCCACAGTCGCCGTCGAGAGTTCCACCATTTTCGGATACTTTACGTTTTTCCTGTTCAGCTTTTCTTGGGCCCACAGGATGAGTTTCAACAGAGTGGAGATTTTTGGGGCTGTGTTTTCCTGGTGTTCCATTTTTAAGATAGCCGCGTTTACTTCGCTCGCCACCTGTCAAAGAAAAAATCAGTTATTTATATTTCCTGAATTTTTTTACTTTGCTTTATATTCGAGTGAATAAAATGAATTATATTTTATCCAGATTAAATGTATTGTAAAACAAAGCAGGTGTGGCCCTTGTAAAGGATAAGGATGTTATGCATAGGACTAATAAATTTCATGAATGTAGTTTGGGAAAGCTCATTCGCAATTATAGTAGCAATCTCTGTGATAGATATTTTTCAACTTAGTCTAACAAGACTCAAATGGGCAGTATCATTATTATAAAGAAGTTTTGTTTATATGTATGTATATTGTTAGTGCTGTCTTATAGATGACTGTATAGTTTTGTAAATAATGTTTGTTAACCATTTAGAATTAATTTTCTGTAGAGCTTTAATAAAATAAATCAAATGAATAGGTGAAAAAGTTATATGAGGAATTTTGAGTTAGATTGTGAATTTGTGTAAAACATTATAAGGAATTATTCTATAATTTTAACATTTTCACATCAAACTTTTATCATTGTCAATGGTACATTAAAAAATTGGCTATATTAATACTGTTTTCGTACCTTTTGCCTGTGAGATGGTGCCAACAGATCACCGAAAGGAGATGCCAAAGGTTCTTCAAAAGCCAAAAGTGCCACTGTTCTTTCTAATTCGGACAAAACTGAAGGGTCTTCTTCACCAGCTTCACTGAGATGACTTTGAGCAAAGGCCAGAGCTTCTTCTATTCTGTTGTTTCTAATCAACTCAATGAGATGGAGTTGCTGTAGGAAATAAGTAATAATCCTGATTCTTAATAGTACAGATACATTTTTGGTGTTTATAGGATGAATTTACTGATTAAAAATAACACAAATCCTTGTAGGTAATTAATAGATGTATAATTAAATTCACTTTAGACTATTTTTATTATGTAAAAATATGGTAAAAGGGATAGCCAAGGCTTAATTACCTGCAAATGAAAGTACAAATATCTATCATTATCCAACAATTCAGGGTGCAACTGGTTGATGAGTGCAGTTGCCTCTTGTATTTTCCCAGTCATAATGGCATCCCTAATTCTAATCCTGTCGTCCAAAGAATGTAACTCAACGGATGGAATAACTCCTGACTCTTGTTGGAATTTCTCCGCAGCTTCCTTGAAACCCTCTGAAAACATCCCGTTGATTGTAGAACGTTCTCAGTTTGCGATAAATGTTAAAAGTTTACCTGTGACTAGATAATTCATGATAAGTTTATTCATGTTACTTCTACCGAGATCGTTGTCCTCCAATATCGTCAACCACTCTTCCTTTGTTGGCACGTCGTGTTTGTCTGTGTAGCTCATTCTGTTTTTTTTTATCCTTTTATTTACTTAACTTATGATGATAAAGTCGAAAAACATAACACAACAGTCAACAGCTGTCATTGTCAAAAAGAGGGATTAGTTGGCAGGAATGGGTGAGTGTCATTGAACATCAATGTCGCCAACATTAAAAATTGAAAAAAATCGGGTGTAATTGTGACAGTGTTTCCAGATCTCCTATTTTAACAGAAGATTTACTGTTCTTTGATTTTTTAGTTCAAAATCTATTGATGATGATATTTTCGGCTTCTTTATAGATTAACGTCCTCAAATAGTGAAACCCCTACTTATACTGGGGTGAAACTAGGTACTACGTGGATAAATAAATTTAATATAGTCTTCAAAAATAATATTACCCATTACCCGTTGGCTAAAAAAGTAAAATTACCAGTAAAACAAAAACAATGCCATTAAGGTATTTGACAGAACTGATAATTTAAGTGACCTTTCAATATGAAGACTAGTCTTCATACCTTTTAATAAAATCCACCAATTTAGGGTCCTATTCAGTAACTCTGAACGACGTCGTTAATAGACGATAATCGTTCACAGACGACTTTTCTTATTCAGTAGACAACGATTGTCGTTGAACATAGACAAATATGGTTGTAAAATTGTCGTTCATCAACGATAGCCAAAGAGCTGTCGTTAATAATATGAAGTGTCGTTATAGTGATTTTTGCATTCCCTCTCATTTTTCATTGTACATTTTTCATTGTAAATCAGGATGTGTTCTAAATAATAAAAGCACTTTTTTACAAATTTTACAACTAAATTGCCATCTAAATACCTAATACAGCAAGTACAATTTGTAAGGAATTTTTTTCTAATTTATTTAATTATTTTAAAAATAAATCGGATTCAAAGTTAGGATTGCCCATTCAACCATTTACTATTGGATTCTTATTAACAGTGCTGTTCCTAAAGTAGCACTGCGAAACAGTAACAAAACCTATATTACGGAAGTACCTATAATACTTCTCCGTAACCTACACAAATTTGGTGTGTCTTTCAAATACAATAAAAAATACAACTTGTATTGTTCTCGAGTTGTTTTTTGTATTCTTTTGGAATAGTTCTCAGTTTTTTTTTAATATATCCATACTCATTTAAATAAACCCTACATACAATACGACCAGCAAAAATGGCCTGCGAGAAACAGAATTCCTACGAATCGAGAATCGACCCCCTGATCGTGTTGTAGGTTAAGAACAATAATTAATATATTCTGAAAAACAAATGAATATATCTACTGGTAGAATTTTTATTTTACGTTCCAAAAAAATCTCAAATATACCGAGTGTTTAAATTAAAGGGTTACAGTTAAATACCGCCTTTTATATAAAAAAAAAAACAAAGTTTTATAGTTTTTTTGGGTGTTACTCAATAAGTAGAAATCCAATAAAAAAATGTTTCCTTTAGAAGTTTCTTATTATTTTATGAAAAAATAGGGTTCCAATTAAAAAAAAAAAAATCCACCTCGATATGGCCATATTATGGTCAGCTATAAAAAAATTAATTTATCCAAAATGTTTCCCCTAAAAAACTATAAAACTTTTGTCTGATACTTTTTTTTTATAAAATGCATATTTTCGGCGATATTTAACTGTAAAACTTTAATTTAAACACCCGGTACAATCATCAACATACGTTCTTTTATCACAAAACACTAAATTATAATACCAACTTACTAGAAAGCATCGTTCAGATTTGGTAACTAGAAACAACGTACGACTTTGTTATTGAATAGAGTTTCAAAAATTATCGTTATAAAAGTCGTTGGTTGAACTGTCGTTAGCTTAACGATGTCGTCCATAAACGATAAATTACTGAATAGGGCCCTTAGAGATGTTCCAAAAAAAAATCCATCTGGCAACAGTGCATTCAACTTTTGGTTTGAGTTGAAGACTTTGAGGTTATGTAATATATTATAAATAAAAAAATTTGAAATTACAAAATATATCACTTTATTTAAATAGAAAAATCAATACGATATTCAGACTTTCTAAAAAGAATATTAAAATTACTATAGAACAGTAGACAAATATAATTGCAAGAACAACCAGTCAAAAAACAACTACATACAAAAAGACCAAGAGAAAATAGATATTCAAAATTTTAACCACTTTCTAATACTATATCAATTTAAATAACAGATACTTAAAAAAACTATTTTCTGATTATACAAGAAATCTAAAAAAAATGAACCAAATAATACAATTTTTATTAAAAAATAAATCAATAAAAAAATCAGTTATTTAACAACTCAATTCAAGATGAATAGAAAATAACCTACTATTGATAATGATTAAAAAAAGTTATATTCACTAATAAAAATTTACCACCCAAACACATACTCCATAGCTTTAGTAACGATTCCAGTGGACTTTTGGGGCAAAACTTGGGGTGAAATGACAGAATTCTGAGCACTGGGCGAAATAAAAGAATGCCTTAATGACCTTACCCGTCCAGGTGAAGTAAAAATTGAACTATCATTCTCTTTATTTTCTTTGTTATAAAACAGAGTAACCCCAATCATCACAGTGTTGCTAATAAGCTTGCAGTTCAAGGAAAGAGCCCTGGACACTTCACTTAAATTGTTAAACTTGACATGGACCCAATTACCTTGAGGTGGCACTTTTTTATCAGCAATTGGACCACAGTTAGCTAATTGAGACAAAATTAGGGTTAAAGCGCTGGGAGGGAATCCAAAAACTGTTACCCAATGAGAGTCAACTCTATCGGACACACAAGGAGCCATAGTGGGAGTTCTATTGATTGTTTCATTGAAGCTATTCATCCTGTACTGAGTCCCTTCTTCGTTTATCCTAGAAATACTTTCATTGAACCCCATAGAGTCGTTGCCGTGAGCCACAGTACTGCTCATAGGACTACTACACTTCTTTTTATGGTCCAAAGTATCAAATAAACTCATATTAGGGGGCCCTACTTTCTCTGGAATTACACTGTAAGCAGAAATTGTAGCAGGACCTTCAGCGATGCTTTGATTAAATAATTTTTGTCGCAAACTTCTCGGCTCTGTTGAATTACTCGCTCCTTTATTGAAATTCCCGGAACTTCTGTTTCGTCCGGGGGAAATGCTAGGGTTTGGAGACATGGGTTGGTTTTCACCCCCCATCAAAAATCCTGGTAAAAAGTTGGGGTTGATGCCCGGAGATGCTGGACTGGAAGGTGCACTGCCTAAGGTCATTGGTTCCATCTGAAATAAAATATTTTGTAATTTGGTTAAATTTGAGTGCTTGTTTGGGTACCTTTTAAATTTCTTGTATGAGAAAAACGGCTTTATCTGTCAGTTTTTTGTTAATTTGACGTTTAATTTGACAATTGACAGTGTTCACATAACAAAGACCTTTTATAGCAAGATAAGTATGGAAAGAAGGGAAATTAATGCAAACATAGCCCATCAACTTTTCAATTGTATACAGGTTTGTTTCTTGTTCTCTTACTTTGAGTGCTCGAAGCTCTTATTGCGTTTGAATATCCACAGCCGATGCATTTTTTACATCTCAAGCGTTTGTTTAGCCACATTGGGCACATCTGTCCTACTATATTTGCGTATCTTGAGTCACGTGATCAAAGAATTACATCTCGGATGCATCCGATCCGATCTGGAAATTCAAACGCAGCAGTTTATAAATAGCTAGGTGTTTGCGCAAATACAATAGGTCTGTTCGGGTTTTTTAAAAATACATTGAGAACTATCAGAGAACTAGTTGACCAGTAGACAATTTAATAGTTGTACGCGACGAATAATTTAGAATTAAACTGTTCCACTGGTTCTCGGACGGTTTGCATTAAGTTTTAAAGAAACCCGAACAAACCCAAAATCGCTATGCATAAGGTTTGTTCTGGTTCTCAAAATGAAAACGGTTTTGAAACTGCGCCGAACCGTGTGTGTAAAGACAAAAAATCCCCGAGTGTTTGAAATTGTTGGAAAACCAGAACACATAAAGGTGTTTTGTTTATTGTTTATTATAATAATGGAGTTCCTTTTGAAAGCCCAGCTTCAAATAACATTTGCATGTATATGTTCAACATTATATTATCATTCTCATCACATTTCAATGAAATAAAAGAAACGGAGAATAATATTAAAAAATTAAAAATTATAAAATTGCCTCAATTTACAAATAAGAACAAGTCATTCGTCCACACATAAATAAACAATAATCCAAACACTTTATCTGTTCTGGTTTTTCAACAAGACAAGTTGTAAACAAAATAACAGTCACTAGAACATGAATTGTAGGTAGTCTAGTTATAAAAAGTCTTTATTTCGTTCATGACAAATTTAAAATTTAGAGTCAATTCTCAACAATAATACCTACATTATTTTATAAAAATGCACATTATTATATATAAAAAATACCAAAATATACTTGTTTATATTTTTATATGTTAAATAAAGAAGGAACGCATGGTTTAAAATAATCCCAATTATATTATAAACAACTAGAGTTGTGTAATATCGATTAATTTATACAATTTTGGTATTCTAATTTTTTAATTTTGAGTAAAAAACATGCACCTAAAGAATTTAAAACAGTTTTAGAATCATCCTGTAAATTCCGCATTATAAGTATAAGTCGATCCCTAAATGTAGACAACCAACATTACAAGTAACCATTAAAATTACTTATAAAATCATATTTCACACGAATAAAATCATCTCTTATCATTCTTTGAGTAATTAATTAAATAAACTATTCCAATAATTCACCGAAACTGAGTTTTTAAATAAAATCGATTTGCGCAGTATAGAATTTGGAGTCCACAAATGCTCAAATGCAGCATCAAATAAAAATCAAGCAAATTGCTGTCAGTTCCTCACAAAATGGCGCTACCAAGGGTGCTGTGTCGCGCTCGTCTCATTTTAAATAGCGATATTTTCGTGGTTTCTAAATATTGTTCCTTAGTCAATCCTGTTTCAATAAATAAAGTAAGTAATTCTACACCCAAATCATCCGAATATCCTTAATTGCATCTGTAATTAGTTCAGGAAATAAAGAAATATTGCTGGTAAATGCAGCTATCCCACGGGATCGGACATAAAGACACCTGTTTTTCGGGATACTGACACAATCAGTCGAATTTACCGGTGGAAAATAGCGACTCGTTAAAAATTTATCATAAAAAACGGACAGTTTTTCGAATTTAGTGCGAGTATTTTGAGGTTATGTTGAAATATTGCGGTGGGCCAAAAATTTGAATTTTAGATTAATTTTTACGTGTAGTGCATTTTTAATTTGGTTCGATTCGAAACAATAGAGCCTCGTCTGCGACAAAATCATTACATTTACGTATTTAAAATAGTGTTACTGTTTTAAAATAAATTAAATTTGGATACAGTTAAGTAGTGCCTTTACTTTGTTGATGTTTTAGCTCAAAGTTTTCGTCGTGGGTGGAATATAATTTTAAACTTTAATGAGGCACATCGACTTGCGAAGAGAGTAACTCAATCTTTTTGCGTTAGATTTTTATTTTTGTGTTAAAAAAATGACCTAATTTCTTTAAAGTGTCATTTGATATTTGGATCTGATAGGTACACTATCAAATTTAGTTTTAAAGACCTTTACACCAATTTTTTCTTATTAATAATTTAGGTAGGTACCTAGTTAAAAGAAAATGTGTCTGTTATTACTTAATTTAGTGTTCTGACTTGATAAACATTAAATAAAGTCGTAATCACGAACTGCTATCAATTTGTACGTTTAATTAATTATCGTAATTATTTAAGTTTTTTTAAAAATATATTGTTTAAATAAATATTTTATCCTGATAGTAAATAGGGTCTGATGATAAAGCGAGTGAAATCAGTGGCGGCGTTTATTCGGTTTTAAGAATAGGTAAATTCGGGGGTAAATTGTTTTTAGATTGAGAGCAAACCGAACACATTGAAAATTTATAATTCATTCTGAGCCTTAATTTTTAGTCCGATTTTTGTAAAATTTTCAAGATATGCCAATATTTAATAAACCTTCGAAAACTATTTATTTTGAATATGTTTAAAAGAAATTAAAAAAAAAGTTTACGCTTCATTTTGTATTACACCTATGAAAATTTGTTGCTTTTTGTTTTAATAAATATCCAGTAGTTTTTAAACGAGATGATTTCCCACCTTTTTTTCGTAAACGTCTCTGTAGAGTGCTGCCGTATAGTTGCACAAATTTAAAGCTCTCAATATTCTCAAGATACATAATATCGCGAAATATTCCCACTGGCATGCATATAAATATAATGTTATATTAGAAAATCCTTAACACATTTTTGCTTTCGCGAGACGTCCGGTTTGCCCTTAATCGAAAAACTCGTATTTGGACTAGTAGATAAGGAGACAAAATCTAGAAGAACCAAATAAATTTATTTTTTACTTGAAATTTTATTTAATAGGGGTGTCGATAAAATAGCTCTATCGGGCATGTACCATCGGGTGGTAGAACCCCAACAAATGGCCTGTTTCAGAAATAAGGTATTTAGTGATGTAGGCCTCTGATGAGCTGAGAGGCTGGCTAGCTCTGGACACCTCTCGGCGATTTGTCAATTAGCAGGCTTTTGACGAGCTAAGAGGCAGGTCCTATATGTCCCTAGACACAGAATAGTTCCATCCAGACATTTTCAATTGGGGTGGTAGTAGCCCACTAAAATGCCTCTTCCAGAAATGGAGCAGCTAGTGAGGTCATTAGCTTGCAGGACTCTGACGAGCTAAGAGGTTGGCTATCCCTAGACACCTTTCAGCGACTTGTCAACCAGCAGGTTTTGACGAACTGTGAGGCAGGTCCTATATTCCGCTGAAGGATCGCCCTATGGGACGGGAAGACAGAATACAGGCATTTTCCATCGGGGTGGTAGAAGCACACCAAAAGATCCCTTCCAGAAATAGGGCAGCTAATGACGTCTCGGCGACGTTATTAGCCTGCAGGACTCTGACGAGCTGAGAGGTTGGCTATCCTTAGGCACCTTTCAGCGACTTGTCAACTAGCAGGCTTTTGACAAGCTCAGAGACAGGTCCTATATGCCCCCGAAAGATCGCCCTGTAGTGTGGGCCGACAGACTAGTTCCTTCCGAGCATTTACCATCGAGGTGATAAAAGCCCACCAAATGGCTTCTTCCACAAATGGGGCATCTAGAAACACCTCTTGGCTACTTTATTAACCTGCAGTTATTTGACCTCAGAGGCTGGCTATCCCTAGACACCCCCTAGTGACAACCAGCAGGTTTTTGATGAGTTGATAACCTGCTCTTTAATTAACTGAGATGATGGCTGTCTTTAGATACCTCTCAGTGACAGCCAACAGGTTTTTGACAAGTTGATAACCTACATAACTTTTATGAGCTGTCTTTAGACACCTCTGAGCAATAACCAGCAGGTTTTTGACAAGTTAAGAGGCAGATCCTATATGCTCCTAGAGAATGTACAAGCTCAACGAGGCTTAAGTGCTGTGGAGAAACCTATTCTCCCCACCTTAAAGATTACAGCATAGTAAATAATGTCTGTTGATAATGACGATTGCTTCATTTTTAATATTTAACAAGGAAGAAGTTAACAAAAAACGAAGGAAACGTCGGCGGCGGTGGAAAATCCTTTATATATCGTCACTCGGTCGAACACTATCGAAAGCAAACGCATGGGGTGTATGACGTGTGTTTACTAGTAGGGTCCGATTACAATTAGAAGAACACCGCTACGTCATAACCATTACTTCGAATTTCGAATACATATTATCTATAACTCTTCAATAAATAAAAAATAAGTAAGTTGTTTGGTATAAAACAATATTTCCTTTATTCCTGTGATATTAACACTCCACTAAACCCCCAGTAGGTGGCGATAAACAATTAATTACTTTGCCAAATGATGATGTATCTGTGTTCTTCTGTTATCGGACCCTACATACTAATCAAAAGCATATGTGCTTTTCTGCTCGTGCGCTTTGTGTGTATGCGGCTTTATGTGTAATGTGGTTGGTTCTTTAGTCTGTTGTGTTAAGGTGTCATCAGAAAGTGAATACCTCGAGAATGTTCCGAAAAAAAAAGAATTGTTTCAACGGAAGTGAATTACGTAGTGATTGTGAAAATAAGCGCAGGACGAATAATATAGATTAAAGATAAATAAAGTTGATTGATCCAAATACCCGTGAGCGCCCACTTTTAGTACAAGCAAAAGACTAAAAAATACTTTCCATTGTTGAAAATTTATACACCCATTGCTGTTTTCGGCAATGTTTGTTTTATTTTCTAAGCATTGCCAACATTTCTAAAACATTTCCTGCATTGCCGCAATATTTCCTGCATTGCCGAAACATTTCCTTCATTATCGAAACATTTCCTGCATTATCGAAACATATCCGGCATTTCTCAACTATTGCGAGTATTTCCGAAATCTTGCCAGCCTTTTCCTATATCGCTGTTCCGGTAAAACAATGTATTCGAAAATCTTCTGCTATTTTCATCAGTAGGATAATTGTAATATTTCAACTGAAAAGGGTTGCGGTCTACCAAAATTCTTGCAATCTTACTCGTTAGTAGTTCAGGATCATTAGAAATTATATTATTTTGTCCGTCCCCTACCACTTCACATATTTCAGTTTGAGCTTCAGTTTCAACATCTTCATCTGAATTTTCATTAATACGTAAATTGCTAGACATCATTGATTCTTCTTCCTCTTCAAAATGTTTTCTAGATTATAGTGACGACTGTGACGTTAAGGTGGATGGTAATACTCGTATTTTCGCATCGGTGATAATGTGTTGGTTAATAATTGACACATTTACAGTGTTTTCAATTGTTTGATTCTCTTTATTTTGCAAAAACCTGTATAAACTATTCTTTATCCTGTTCCTTACATCCTTACTTTTTTTTGTTGTCGAAATTTTGCGCCGGAAGGTTATTTCTTTTTTTGGGGAATCCTGAAATAAACCAAAGAATAACATTTATAGGGTGCCAAAATTAATGTTTAAAAAATATGTAGAATATTTTACAGAAATGTCAGAAAATTATTAGAATTTGTTACTGGTAAAAAGCTTAGTAATATACAGGGTGGTCCGAATTATAATCGGGAAACTTCGTTGTTCTATACAATATTTCGAAAACAATTGAGGTTTTGGAGGCGACAACGTTAAATCAATTTATACAAAATGTTACTTTTCCTTTGAATAGCAAAGCACTTGGGTAGTTTTTAACTGCCACTTAAGCGTGTTGAAATGTCACTTATAAGAATAAACGAATCCTAAAAGGGCTGTTTGTAGTTAAAAGAGCGAATGGAGCTAAACAATTTAATTTCTACTAATGCTATAGACCATTTCGTCTATATCGTTTCATCTCAGCGAGGTAGATTAAGATAACTTATTAGTCCACTGTATTCCGATATAGAGTTAGGTCATAATATTTTTAGTACCTATAATATTGATGTTATATTTTTGTCAAAAGGCAACTTTTTTGAATGGTATTGAGACATAATATAGTTTTTTTTGTGAATCTTCAAAATTTTTCTTTCATTCGGGGTAACTCTTTATAGTTGACTTACACAACTATACGCGCTACTGCAATCGATTCAAATATTGTCGACAGAAACACAAAGCCATGTGACTTCCAAAATATTCACGATATTGTAGCAAATGATACTTGATAACTAATTTAATTTATTGTTTATTAGACTTTAAACTATTCTATTCTTAGTCCGTTAGAACAGATTTGCTACGACTTTAAAATTTTCAATGCGTTTTCTCTATTTTATCATAATTTTAATTCCTTTCTTAAGTAGATAATGCGGTTTTTGTAAACGAAATCGTTCCATTTCCTACATGACATTGTAGATATAAATAAAACTTGGCCACCGATAATTTTTTCCGGTACGTTTCGATAAAACAGTAATTATTATTATGCCGACTAGTTTCGTATTTTCTATCAAAAATATATAAAAGTATTTGTTTTTAATCTTCAATAAACAATTTTTATAGATACGTATTTGTATAAATAATAATAAAAGATCGCATATATAGGATAAATGTTTCGTTTTATATCGTATCATACATCATTATAACTGGGTAATAAAAATATGACATCAATAATGCCGATATTATTTCGAAATTAGCTTATTTTAGATTAAAAATGACTATTTTGACAATAAAACCCGCAAGTTATTTGTACAAGCACATTTTTAGTTATAATAATGAGGAATACATAAAGCCTTATCTATTTATATAATTGTGTACAGAGTGATTCGATAATGTAGACTAGTAGTTCAAGGGATTCGAGGTGCACAATAATATCTTCCTTCAGATTATCTTCAGATTCCTCTACCACACCGCAGAGTTTTTGAAATATGGTAGGATATAAACCTAATGCCCGAAAATTGTCTTGTAATTGGATATGTTTCCTTTCCCAGAAGTTTCAGGTTCAGCTTATTTTTCCTGTCTAAGTAAGAAATTCTTTTCTTCCATGTTTCATCATTAAAGTAAGCCACAAGCACTAGCATAAAACCATAACTGATTTTTAGGGAATTATAACGAAAGTTACTTTCATAAATCTAAATTTGTATAGGAGATATATATCACTTTTTTCTTTCTCCAAATTTTAAAAATTTATTTAGATAAATTGTAGTGTATAAGAAACAAGCTTACAGAATAAAACAAAAACTAAGAAATAATAAAGCACACATAAAAAGAAAAGTAAGATTTAACAGTTTTGCCAAAAACACAAAACAACTAAAACAAAATTATTATTTTTCTATATAGAATAGCAGTTCTACTCTAATCTGTTAATTAATTAATCTACGTCAATGTCAGTTTCGTAATGCATGTTTAATAAAGTCGAACCATTTAATCTAATTTGACTAATACTTGCTCACAACCACGGTTTTGTCCACTTTAGTGCTGAAAAACTTATTTGTGCTTCAGCTGTAGTAACTGAATAATCAAATAACCTAACCAAAATTAAAATATATAATAAACACACATTACGACGACACTTTCTACTTGTTGTAGTCGATCCTCTTTAGGTGGTTTCGGTTAGGTCAATAGTTAGAGCGGGACTGGAGAAGAGTTGTCACTTATGTGAATTGAATTGTCCTTTATCGAAATTAAACGAACGCTGAAATGGTCGTTTGAAGTTAAAAGAGTGAATGGAGCTTGGCAAAATAACCGCAGCTTATATGAATTCAATTTTTGCCAATGCTATGGTCCAGTTCGTCTATATCGGTTCATCTCAGCGAGGTAGAGAAATATAATGAATTGGATCACTTTATTCCGATACAGAATTAGGTTATAATATTTGTATAATACTTAAAGCAAGAATAAAACATTAGGATAAAAGATTTTCCCAGTATTGTATTTACATTTTAATATGTACATGTAATTCAATATCACCCTGTAATTCGATGAATGATAATTTTTGTTTTGTTTCAGACGGTGTACGTTAAAACTGTGCGACATTTTAGGACACATTTCTCATCGAGTTTAGTGTTAAATTCAAATAAAAAAGACGATAAGAGTGTGCCCGATCCGCCATCATCAACATCGTCGTCCTCGTCGTCTTCCTCTGACAGCGATTTGACAGACTCGGATTCAGATTCTGAAGACGGTGAGTTATTTTTTTTTTTTTTCACTATTAAACAGGATCAAGATTATGTAGTAAGGTTTGTTCCCCATAGCGATCAGAAACATCACTGACGTAAGGATTAAGCGCAGTTGATTATTTAGTGTTCCAAGTTCCAACAAATATTTCTTGCCGTTTGGAATGCAACCAGTTATACATTTCGTCAGATGTTCAGCGAACCTTGGTTCCTTCATACATTCTGATCAATCGTAAACATGTTGGAAATATATTATTAATCCCGCGTCTTGTGGTTTATAGAATATTATAAATTCATCACTGATTTGTTGTGGGAATAGACCGGTAATATTGTGGCACCAGTTAAAGGGTCTAACTAAAAATATGTTCTTGAAATGCAAATTTTCCGTTTCACCCAAATTTGAAAGGTTTGGGTTGCCACTTTTTTGAAAAAGAAAAACCAGGTCTTTCTGGCGAGCTTAAAAAAAAAGGTTTTCATCGGCTTATATTTTTAATAAACCAGGTACTTTTTCTGACGATGAGCTTCTAAAAGGACATTTTAAGGTTTAAAAAGTCACAAGGACATTTGGTTTGAAAAAAGTAGTCCTTTTCAAAAAAGGACAGGTGGCAACCCTAATTTCCACATATATACATTAGGCACGCATTTACACAACACCACAAAAAGGGAAAATTCCAAAACGTTATTCACGATCAACGCCAGAGGGCGGTAGCTCACACACGGAACAACGTGCTCAAAACGCCTTTCTTTCTAGTTCCAGTTCGCGGTAAGATTGTTTAAATATTCAGGAAGCGTAAGACTGCACTGGAAAATCATTTTCTCTCATTGTTCGAGAGATCCTGAGGTATTAAAGTTTGTTTGGATAATACTCGAAGTGTAGAACTTGGAAACGTTTGTGTCAATAAGTTTTCTTCGCGACAATTTTAAATCATAAACTGTTTTATAGTTTTTACTTTCAGAAAACGGATTTTCTTCAATATTTTAAATTGTTTTAAAAAGAATCCAACCATGGTTACAAATAAAAGTTGTTTGGATTTAAACATACTGAGAGTTACAATTTTGACTGTTTTATGTGAAATATCCTGTATTTATTAATTTTGGGAAAGCTGCATAAAATATATGTGTGAAGTTAGCATCTCAAATCTCAACATTTCATATTTTTTGAGAAGTTTTTATGGATTCCGACATACTTCTAGAGTTCCTGATACTTTCTATTAATAACTTTTAATCGACTTCAAAAAAGGAGGAAGTCTCAATTCGTCGGAATATTTTTTTTATGTATGTTCAGCGATAATTCTTTACTCAGTTGTCCGATTTCTGTGATTCTTATACAATTGGTAAGGATCTGATCTATAAGAAAATAAAAAAAATCACTGTTTAAGGGAATCTGAACCATTTTGAAGTCGGTTTTTTAAAATAGTAACAAATTATGTCAAATTTAGTAACGAAAATTACAATTTAAAATGAGATGCTGAAGACAGGTAATTAGAATCTCAATGTAATAAAAAAAAACAGAGACGGAAAATTAATTCTTGTTCATTTGTAGTGCTAAAATGTCTCATTTAAACTTCTGGCCCTCCTAAACAATGATAAATACTTATTATACCCAAAATTTGTAGACGATGGTGAGTTGTTTTCATATTATGACGAGTCCTGGATTATATAATATTATCAATTATATTTAGAATACCCCTGCTTGGAATTTCTAACAATTCTAGCCTCTAGCACTTTCAGAATAATTTAAAGTAATAGATATGAACAAAAATTGTAGAATAAAAAAACGAATAATTAAAATATTTTCTGTATGTCAAGAGACAAAGACTGACTTAGAGATTTGAAACAAAAACATAATAAATGCTGAAAATGACCACCTTTAGCCAAAATAAAATTACAAAATTTCAAGTTTCTAGCTTGACTGAAATTTTAGAAAAAAATAAAAACTCAATTTTAGTCTCGGAAAGGGGTGGGTTGAGGAAATTTTGTTATAGGAAAAACCCATCTTAGTTTCATACAAGCAGTCACCTCCTGAATTTTGTCGCATGAATTTAGAAACACCTTGTATATCAAAAAAATAAAAATAAAAAGTTAATACTCATTAGTGCAGAGTTATATTGTATGTCTGGCGATGAGTTATATTATGTGAAGGCTTTTGATTAACGACAATAACTTAAAACAAGAACCAGACGCAAACATATGATTTAGGGGCATTTTTTTACATGTTTGACATCTAATTAATTATTAATAATGCAGCAATAATGGTTTGGTAGAAATTGACATCAGTGACAATGAATTACTGATTTCTGACTTTTTCGAAACACAATCTAGAAAATATCTTGATTGAACAAATAATACTTGTTTAACAAAAAAATTAAATTTATACAAAATACACAATTTCAGAGATTAAACTGGTTACACTTTGAATACAATAACCGCTTTTCTAAATGTACTTTTATATCAAAGTCGCGATGTACAATAAAATAGTTGACATACACAAATATTTGTTCGAGCCTTAGGTTATATTTAAACTATTCAATGTACACAAAACAGTCTCACAAGTTTTTATCCTGGTATCGTTATCGGTCAAACAAATTTACCTTACCTAAAATAAACAAACGAATTGTTATTTTAATAAATACGCCTGGAGAAATCGAAAAATAGAGGTATTGTAAGTGATTAATTGGTTGTTAAACCGGGAATTAGTTGTTTTTTCGTAATTTTCTGCGTACTGTGCATAAAAAAAATTGTTTTCTGTTGTAGTTACTTTTATTAATATTGAGAGATTGCCAAATTATAATAATAACAACATTGTTTTAATCTAGTAAATAATGATAGTAATAGATTGTCCAGCCAAATTGCTTTTAAAACCTAAGTAGTTTTTAAGTCATACGAGAAACGGTTTGCAACATGAGAAATGATACTCATTATTGAATTAAATTATTTATTGAATTAACTTCCATGTTTGAATTAATAGGCACAAATTTTAGGAGAAAAAACTTTAAAGAAGTTTATCGCGTTTTCTTTTTCTTATAAAAGGATTCAAAAATTAATCTTTTCAAATGCCACTCGTCCTTTTAAATTGTATCAATTATATTTTCATTTTCCTGACTCTAAGTGAACTAGTGATTTTATCAATCGGTTTGTTTTGATGGTCACCAATGTCTCACGTTTATTTTTCCTCTTTGACTCTTTATACTATCTGCAGCACGACTACTATTTTGATCAGCTTTATGGATGATGAATAATAGGATAAACATACTTCCCACACCCGATGAAACCACGATTTTATCTTATTCGAAAACTAAACTAAAAAAATATAACAATAAAACCTTCCCTCTAGCGCAATAAATTTCGGATTAAAAATGACCCTAAAAGTCGTTCCAAGAAAAATGTTCGTCGAAGTTTTCCGACCCAAAAACCGTTTCCAAGTCATGAAAAGTGAAAAATGTATACGTTTTATAAAATTCGGAATTCCTTTCCAAATTTTACAGCCAAAGGTTATTATTTATTAAAATCGGTGGTCGAAAGAGGGTTTGCCCGTGTCGGAGTGTTAATTGGGTAAAAAAATTTAATGAAGTGATCGCTGTGTTTTTGGAATTTATTAATACTTAATGGTTTATTGATTAAATGATCACATTTGGCAGCGTAAAGGCTTTCTAACGCTTTTACGCAACAACAGATTTATGAGTTTTGTTTGGTATAGGAAGAAGATATTTTTTTTATGTTGCTATCTTAAAATTAAATTTTTGTAATATTTTTCGTTATAAAGATTTTTTAATTATTATACTTTTCTGGATTGTTTTTTTGCCACGAAAAATGTTTAAGTTTGGGATGAACCTTCGATCATATATCAATACTAGATACCCATACCCTTAGAGAAAATGTTTTGTTCCATCATCTCGAGAATATTTCGGTTGCTGTTTGTCGCATCTTAAACATGGGCGGGTAATATAAAAAATAAAATTGGATGAACAAAAAATTTTATTTCGATAGGGCTACGAAAATACGAAATGATGCATTATCGGCTCAGATCGTATTATTTCTAAACAACTCAACTAATAAATCATAAATAGGAAGATAGCATCCCATCTAAAAACTATTCCAGTTTAATGTTGCGGATAAAAATATGCAAAATGTATCAGTTTTTATATGATCGAAGGAGTCGCTTTTATTTGTTTTCTATAATTTTAATAATCAGATACGTAGAAGGCGATATATTCAGAACGATCATTCTAAAACAATTTTTATTTATTTTTCTAGATTTACACCCCGATACGAATTACAATATACCCCCTCCGAGACACTGCACTGATAAAGGTGTGTATTTTGATTTTTCAAAATGACAATGTAAGTAACCAAAGGCATTCATTTTGCTTAACTCAACCACTTATTTGGGACGTATTCATAAAAAAAATACTCTTACACTTGCAGAATATAAAGGATACCCTACCCTACAGTTTGTATTCATATTTGAAGGAAAAATTTATGCTTTTCGAGTATAAGTGTATCCTTTAATTTTATTCACACAGAAGCAAATGGGTATTCATAATGTTTATCCTTTATTTTAAATGAAAAGCATATCATTTAAAAATAGCAAGTGTGATCAGTAGTAAACTTACCTTTTGTGTGTAAGGTTTTTTTTCCTGTGTTACGTGATGACGGATGTTGTGTATATGAAAAATATTAAAAGGTTACCTACACTAGTTAGTGATTTTAAAGATCTATACCGTATTGAAGAAGAGAACGTACAGTGGTTTGAAAGATAGATTTTTAGATGCAAATGACGAAACTCGAGCTACCTAGCAAAAGCATATCGGTCAGGAGTTCATAGTTCGTCAGGCTACAGTATCTCGCACTGTTAATACAGTTGTTAAAAGCAAAACATGCTCAATCACACGAACGAATAAAGTTTCCAACTATCGATAATGGAATACTGGATGTGAAACACTTACTGCAAAGCAAGAATAGGTTTCAACTTCCAACAGAAATTGGTGTGATTGACTGCATCCATATAGGAATACTGAAACCAAATCACCAAGGAGATGCGTACATTAACTGGAAAGGAAAACATACTTTCATTGTGCAAGCCACTTGTGACGCTAAACAAAAGTTCACTAATATTGATCTATACATGATGCTAGGAGATGTAAAAATTCACTAGTTGGATTATTACAGTGTTGTACTACTTGATGTTGATGTATATGAAATAGAGCCATGTCCAATGACTCCATTTACAAATCATACTCTTGGTGCTAAGCTCAAGTTTAAGACACTGTTGAAAAAGGAGCGGATAACGATGTTTTGATGCTATCTTGCTGTACGTTTGTCGCGTAAAATTGGAAAATGTGCCAAAAATAGTTGTTGCCTGTATTGTGCTTTATAGCGGGGCAAAATCTTTAGGTAACCTAGATGGTGAGGTATAAGGCTATGATGGTGACCATCAGCCCCAAGGCAATGAGGAACTTACGCTTTGTCAACAAGGACTGAACAAAAGAAGAACTATTAAGTTTACATGATTTTTGTGAAATATTGCAAGCTACAGTATGTTTTATTTCTATCAGTACATGTTTTTTGGGTAGTAAATTCTTTACAAGCTGCATAAGTTCCAATGGTTTTTCATAATTTGTGATTTTATTAAAATCATTGGAACCTTTACACATTTATTTAACAAATCAAAATAAAATATAATAGTAACAATAGAGTGAAGAGCACAACACAATCATGTTGCAAGAGAAGAACAAAGTGCAGCAGCAGGGGTCACTGGTTAACAAAACTTTTTTTGTCACATGAAAACTTATATCAAATTTTGAATGTACTAGGGCCACTAAACAATAATATAAGAATGATACAAAATTGACACGTCAGGTTTCCCTGTGACATCAAAACATTAACAGCCGTATGCATAGTCGATCGCCAGCGACTCGCCAGCGACTCGCCAGCGACTCGCCAGCGATTCGCTGGCGATCCGCCGGCGAAAGCCCAAAAAGCTGGCGGCTCGCCGGAGATTGTCACCGGAATGTCATTTCACGAAAGTTTTCATGTTCTTTTATAGGGAATATCACCGGTATCTCTCGCATTTTATTCATGATTCATTTCTTAAAACTCAAAAAATAATGAACGAATATCAAATTGTTCCCTATAAAAGAACATGAAAACTTTCGTGAAATGACATTCCGGTGACAATCTCCGGCGAGCCGCCAGCTTTTTGGGCTTTCGCCGGCGGATCGCCAGCGAATCGCTGGCGAGTCGCTGGCGAGTCACTGGCGAGTCGCTGGCGATCGACTATGCATACGGCTGATATTTTCGTAAAAAGTACAAACATCAGCTACATTTAGCGAAATTATTGCTTAATATCGAATAAATACTTATGATTTTCGTGAATATTTAGCTTTTGGAAGGTTTTTTAAGTTTCCAACAATAATCTGCTAGCATTCCTGGACTCCGTTTCCCTTGATAGCGCTTCTCCATTAAGGAAATGTCCTGATGGAACCTCTCGCCTTGTTCGTCACTCACAGCACCCAAATTTGCCGAAAAGAAATCCAGATGAGAGTCCAGCATATGTATTTTTAAGGACATTACACCCCAAAGCTTTATATGAAATTATAAGTTCATTTATTAGGTCTTTGTAATTTTCCGATTTATGGTTTCCTAGAAAATATTGGAAAACGTTCATAAAACATTTCCAGGGGAGTTTTTTCTGATCATTTAGTTTTTCTTCAAAGCTCTTATCCTTTATCAGTTGCCGTATTTATATTTATGTATTTAATGTTTGCCTTGCTGAGTTTCGTTTTCATATATACAAATCCACTGCCATCTTTAGGCATTTATTGCATGAGATTTATGTCTGACAGTTGTTTAGTCCAGTGTAAACACTCAAACATATATCTCCGAGAGAAATTTTTGTGTGTTTACACTGGATTAAACAACTGTCAGACATAAATCTCATGCAATAAATGTCAGATGTAAACGTACCTTTATTTAAGTCAAACAACAATAACAATCACATGATCCTTTGGTTCGGTCCAAATCATTGATATAACAAATGGCATATGTCTGGGTTCTTGTTTAGCCCAACCTAATAGCAGACTCACACACGTTACACAACATTTATGTGGAACTCGGGATTTATCTTGATTCCTCCAAAACAGTCTAAATAGCACTGTTCAATTAATGATGTGAAATTTCGACGCTGAGAGTAAAAGTTAATTCTCCATACACATAACAAAAACTGTCGGGGTTGTTAGAACACTTTCGTGGCATGTTTACGATGTAACAAACGTATAGATGTAAGTTAGTTGAATGCAATAGTTATACAGTCATCTAAATGAAGTTATTCAAAAAAGGACACGTATGTTAGCAACCCCGTAAGAGACGCCGCTGGAATATCTAGTACTATGACTCATTAGGCGATAAGTCGAAATCACCAGAAATTATATAAGCGTTTTATTTAGATATAGGGCATTATTGTGCGAATCATTATACAGTTTAGTCGAATATAATAAATAGTGAAGTTAAATAGTCGAGTTTAGTGTTACAACCCTCTCCTAACATCAGAAGTGGTTCGACTCGCCCTGAAATGGGTAGAAAAAGAACGTATTCTTCTTCGAGCAGTTCTAGTTCCTCGAGTTCTACTAGTTCTTCGTCCAGTTCAAGTGCTTCTAGATTAAATAAGAGACGCAAGAAAAGTAAACAAAAAAAGAATTTAAAAGTACCTAAAAACAAGGCGGGGGTAAGTCAAGTCTCATTATCCTTATTATCGGAAAAATATGTTATATCTAATGCAGTACCCGAATTTAACCCGTTATCAGATAATATCGGCTGTTGGATTGAAATTATAGAGCATAATGTAAAATTATTTAATTGGGCCGAACACCAGACTATCCATCAAGTTGTGAATAAGTTACAGGGTACAGCAAAAATTTGGTATGAAAATTTAATCGCCAACGACAAGCAATGGCCTAGTTATAGTTGGTCCGATTGGAAAAACAAATTGATGGAGACATTTCATTCTAGAAGAGATATGTACACACTTTTAATTGAATTAGCAAATCATAAGCCTTCAGATGGATGTTCTTTATATGAATTTTTCTTTACACACTTAGCAAAAATTGATAATTTAAAACTAAATTTTTCAATCTAAGATAAAATTTCATTAGTTTTGGGTGCTATAAATGATAAAAATATTACTTCAGCAGCAGAAGCTGCAAATATCAATGATTTAAACATCTTAGGGTCTTATTTGCGAAACAAAGTTTATTGTAAGATTTCAGAAAAACCACAAAAATATACTGAAGTTTCGAATAACAATTATTATAGTAAACCTGTTGCTAGTACCAGTAAAGATTTTGGCCGTAGGGATATTTTTGACAAATTTAAAAAAGTAAATTACGAAAGACAAAGGAATTTTTCAACGGTGAATCATAAAATTATTATTTGTCATAGATGTGGTATAACGGGACAACATATTAGTGATAATTGTCCTCACCGACACAAAATTTGTAACAATTGTAAAATAAAAGGTCATATTGGCAGAGCTTGTAAATCTGCTGTAAAAAAAGAAAAAAATAATGAAAAACAAATAAATTTAACAAAAACTGAAAACGTTAACATGATAACTAACAAAGAGGCAAAAAAATTTTTCAAACCGGTTCTTATTAATAATCAAGTTATGCAAGCGTTTATAGACTTAGGAAGTGATTGTTCATTGATTGAGAAAAATTTAGCAATTCGACTTAAAATACAAGTTAAAAACTTACAGGAAAAAGTGCGTCTTACGGGGTTCAATGGTGACGTAACCGAAGTGAATGAATATGTCGAAACTGAAGTAACTATGGAAGGGTGTAAATTAAATATTTTATTATATGTTACAGTTAATACTTTAAAAAATACTGAAATTTTAGTAGGACGTAATTTTACGGAAAATCCAAAAATTTCTTATTATCGTATTGGTAATGAATTAACTTTTAAATATTCAGATAATTTACAACTTTTTCAACTTGAAGTTAATCACGGGGACTTAAATAAAATAGATAAAATGAAATTATATAATATTATTGAAACATTTCACAGTTGTTTATATTCCTCTATGGAAAAATTGGGCAAAGCACATTCGGTAATAATGAAAATAGAGACTACTACATCCAAACCAGTTACATTTAGACCTTATAGGTTATCACAGTCAGATAAGGATATCATGAAAAAACAAGTTGGTGAGTTACTTTCCGCCAATATAATAAAAAAAAGTAGCTCAGAATATGCTAGTCCAGCTTTATTAGTAAATAAAAAAGGAGGGGATAAAAGGCTAGTTATTGATTATAGGGCTTTAAATAAAATAACAGAAAAAATTAAATTTCCACTACCAGTTATAGAAGACCTTATTGATTCACTTGGAGGCTATACATATTTTTCGACAATGGATTTAGCGTCGGGTTACCATCAAATACCATTGCACCCCGATTACACACACAAAACAGCATTTGTAACTCCAGAGGGACATTACGAATACTTAAGAGTACCCTTTGGGTTATGTAATGCCCCTGCGGAGTTTCAGAGAATGATGTCTGAAATTTTTGAACCTCTTCGAAATGTCGGTATCACTCCTTACCTGGACGATATTATTATTCCATCTAACACAATAAGTGAGGGTATAGAAAAATTGCAAAAAGTTTTCCAGATCATTGAAGAACATGGTCTAACTGTTAAATTATCAAAATCTCAATTTTTTCAAACTAAAATAACGTACCTAGGATATGTAATTAGCAATAATAATGTTTCTATTAGTGAAGAAAAAACAGTTGCTGTTAAAAATTTCCCTATGCCAAAGACTATTCACCAGGTAAGACAGTTTCTAGGGCTTACTGGTTATTTCAGAAAATTTATTAAAAATTACGCTTCTAAAACTAGTATATTAACAGATTTATTGAAAAAGGATTCGAAATGGAATTGGACTCAGAATCATACAGAACTGGTAAACCATCTGAAGGAAATGATTTGCTCAGTTCCCATTCTAGCCATATTCAGTCCAAATTTAGAAACACGTGTATACACAGACGCTAGCCAAGAAGGAATTGGAGGCATAATTATTCAACTCAATGGAGCAGAAGAAAAACCAGTAGCTTATTACAGCAAGAAAACTTCTCCTGACGAAAGAAAGTTTCACTCATTTGAATTAGAACTACTTGCCATTGTAAGAACTTTAGAACGATTTCGACACTATCTTTTGGGGATTCCGTTTACTATTTTCACTGATTGCAATGCCGTTAAAAATGCCATGTCAAAGCAAACAATTATTCCCAGAATCGCAAGATGGCTACTGTCACTACAAGAATATAATTTTAATATATAACACAAACAAGGAAAGATGATGCAGCACGTTGATGCCTTGAGTCGTAATCCAGAAATAACACAGGAGGAATGTGAACTAAGTATAAAACTAATAAATAAAGAAGACTGGTTGAAAGAAGCCCAAGAACAGGATAATAATATTAAAGAAATAAAAGAAATATTATTATCTGGTGACATGCAAAACAACAAAAAAATCTTTAAAGAATTTGATTTACGTGGAAATAGAGTTTTCAGATTAACAGAAAGAGGTCGACGTTGGATGGTCCCAAACAAATGTAGATGGCAGGTGGTAAAGCTGAATCATGATGATGTTGGTCATTTTGCGTTAGAAAAAACAGTAGAACGGATTAAACAAAGATATTGGTTCCCTAAAATGAAACATTTTGTTCGAAAGTATATCAAATCATGTCTTAACTGTTTATATCACAAATCGGCAGGAGGAAAGAAACCAGGTTATCTTCATCCTATTCCAAAGTATGCCAAACCGTTTCATACCTTACATATTGACCACCTTGGACCCTTCGTGGAAAGCAGTAAGAGAAATAGCCACCTATTAGTAGTTGTTGATGCATTTACAAAATTTGTGTTTCCCAGAGCAGTTCCGGATACTAAAGCTGTTAATGTAATAAAACAATTGTCAGAAATATTTTCTATTTTTGGCAATCCGAAAAGAATAGTAGCCGACGCTGGAACAGCTTTTACATCAAATGAATTCAATAAATTTTGTGTAAATAGAGGCATTCGGCTTCACATAACAGCAGTTGGTATGCCCAGAGGTAACGGACAAGTAGAACGAGTTAACAGATTACTATTAGATGCATTAGCCACAATGGGAGCTGACACTTCCAGCGATAATTGGGACTCAAATTTAGAAGCAATCCAACAAGGGATTAACAGTACGAAGCATAAAACAACAGAGACTACTCCCGCCGAGATAATGTTGGGTATAAATCTCAGAAGTCAGGCTGACCGATACGTAGACGAAGAAAGTGACAACCCAGATGTGACCAAGTTAAGAGAAAAAGCAAAAAGAAATTTAGAAGCAAATGAAAAAATCCAGAGAAACATATTTAATAAGAAAAGAAAACCAGCAGAAACATTCGTGGTAGGAGATTTGGTTCTAGTAAGAATTTCAAGTGTTCCTTCTAACAATAGTCAAAGCAAGAAATTGTTAGAGAAGTACAAAGGGCCATTTAAAATTATAGAGGTTCTGCCTAATGACCGATATAAAGTTAAAGAAGATATCCATGCGAAGAGATCAAAAAATAATATAGCTTATGAAGGAGTATATTGTGTAGAAGACATTAAGATATTTAACCTTCGAAAATAAGAACAAGGTAAATATACAATTATTATGCTTTTGGTATAAAGGCCTCTAGCAACTTAAAATGTAGTAAAAGTTAAGATACACAAAAAGGGGCTGTAGGTATAAAGGCCTATAGCCATAGCAATTTAGAAACTGCAGGTATAAAGGCCTACAGTGATTTCAAGTTAGAAACTGCAGGTATAAAGGCCTACAGTGATTTCAAGTTAGAAACTGCAGGTATAAAGGCCTACGGTGATTTCAAGTTAGAAACTGCAGGTATAAAGGCCTACAGTGGTTTCAAAGTTATTTCAATTAGTGCTGCAGGTATTAAGGCCTCAGTGAATAACAGATTTCAAGTATCATTGCTTGGACTACTATGTTCGTATATTAGAAACCCTTAAACATCACCCATTTTATTTGTTTTAGATAGTACATATGTTCGAGGACGAACAAACCGTAGGATGGCCGTGTTAGCAACCCCGTAAGAGACGCCGCTGGAATATCTAGTACTATGACTCATTAGGCGATAAGTCGAAATCACCAGAAATTATATAAGCGTTTTATTTAGATATAGGGCATTATTGTGCGAATCATTATACAGTTTAGTCGAATATAATAAATAGTGAAGTTAAATAGTCGAGTTTAGTGTTACAACCCTCTCCTAATACGTATATGAGGTCAGAAATGAATATGTAGCTGTCACAAAAAAACTGGACGTGATTGAAACAAAATTATTATATTATATTGTTAATGAGGGTACAACAAGATGAACAAAAATCATCACAAAATTCGTATGACAAAAACAGTGTTTACCAGTGGGGTCGATTCTCGAGTTGTAGGAATCTTTAACATTTTCCTATGTATAGGAAATTTATAACATTTTCTTATACACTTAAAAATGTCAAAAAGTTCTATAGGAATAAGTTTCCTGTCACACCATTTACTTATCCATGAAAAAATCCCTTGCGAGTATAAGGAAATCATAAATACGTGAAGAAGAAAATGATTATACTTCAAACTATTATTTCAAGCCTTACCTTATACTTCTACCTTACCCTCAAAAGGATATCCTTCAGTTTTATGAATACGACCCAGTATCATCGATGTTGTACAACTTTTTTAAGTGTGTTTTTAGTTTTGCTTATATTGTTTTTCTTTGGTTTTGTAATGCTGATCAGGGAGTAAAAAAATTGTTACAACATCCATTGCATGGTGTATATACAAAGAAATGTTTTTTTTTCTACGACTGCTACACAAAATTGTATATTTCTCATAGCTTACTTACGTTGACAGTTATTAATGTTTTTAATGTGAGTTTTCAATTTCTTGGTCGTTTTAACGATCAACATTTTTTTACTCACTTTTAAAATATAAATATGTGCAGACATGCTGCATTATTTTCTAACTGCTGCCAATTTTTATACCGCTACACGGACAGTTTAAAGTTATGTATCATATGTGATTCATATCGAAGATGACGTGTTTTAGATGATTCTTTTTATACAATAGTGATCTAAGACGTATGACTAATAACCAGTAAAATTGATGTCAACATTAATCACTAAATCAAATCAATAATAGTAAAAAATACTTTCAACTTCATTTTGCATTATTTCAATACAACTTGCCAATATTATGTTAGCAGAGCATTGTTTCTATTCCTGTCCACGATTTATAAATAATTTTCAGGTTAAATTTCAAATTAGTGCCGACAAGTGATATAAATAAAAAAAAAACTCTACACGAGTTTATTTTTAACGGTCTTTTAATATCCATCAACGTATATTAACTTTACAGCATTTTTTATTGGAAAAAAAAAATGTGAAGTTACAAATATGTATAATGATTATAATCATAATAATGGAATTTACAATTTTTATAACCCTTTACCCTATTTTTACACTGTCTATACATTGCTTCATAAAAATATTAACATCACATAAAGTATAATAAAGTACATGTATTTAAGTTCATTGGCGTCGAATATAGTGGGACTTACGACAAAACTAAATCTTTATAGGTATTCGTACCAAGGTAAATGGATATGAATAAAAATATTTATGTTTTTGGTTCCATAAAAAATGGTACATATACCCATAAACAAACACTCACAGAGACGTAACTACATATTTATCTAATTTATAAAATTAACTAATTTTTTCACTTTATTGCATTTATTTGGTTTTAAAATTTTTGTACCTAGGAACTAGCTTAAAATTACTTGAACTTGAGCTAATTTCTTTAATTTTATCTGTTATTCCATCATACAAGGTGTGTTTAAACAGCAATGACATTGCCATATCACTGAACTGCATTAGAAGTACCTCTCATGTTCTCCGTCCTCCATACAAGCCTGATTTGAGCTCATGTGATTTTTTAAATGGAAAATTCTACCTCGAAGATTAATATTTTGTTAATCTAAATAATATTTAGAAAGTCTTGACAGCTGATAGATCAGCTGAAGTTATCTCCAATACTGGAAATATCTACGTACTGGAAACAAGAGAACTTTTCTGAAGAGGGTAGAATTATTTGTACAACTTTATAGATTTATTTGGATATATGAGCGGGTAAAATTTTTCTGTAATATAGCAATATAGAAAATACGAGGTTTGACAATTAAGTAATGAGACCGATTTTATTGCCGCGCTTGTGGTAAACCTGCGACCTTGAAATTTCCTTTCCCCTTTTCCGACATCCTTTCCCTTTCTCCTGATATTGTTACCATCTCTCTAGTTTGTTTAGTTGGGCTATGTCGTGTTTATTAGACGGGTGTTGGTGGTGCTCGTCACGAAAGTGGAAAAGCTAAATCTAAAGCAACGCGTCGCGATAACATTTTGCGTCAGATTGGGCGAAACAGCTTCGGAAACGTACGCTAAAATCGTAAACGTCTATGTACTCTCAGTCGTGCCCAGGTGATTCGATGGCATAAAGAGTTTAACGAGGAGCGTAAAAGCGTTGAAGACCAGGCGCAGAGCGGGAGACCAGTCGAAGTGTGGACTGACCCGAATGTGCAGCGAGTGCAAGCCCTAATCCGTGAAGATCAGCATCTAACAGTTCGAATGTTGGTCTCTGAACTGGGTATGAACCGTGAAACAGTCAGATAAATTTTAACCGATGATTTATGGATGAAAAAGTTGTGAGCGAAGATGGTTCCGAAGAACCTTTCTGAGGAGCAAAAGTGGCATCGCATGACCGTCGTGGAAGACTATTTGGAGCAAGTAAGAAAACGATCCCACGCTGCTTGATCGAGTTATTACAGGCGATGAGAGCTGGTTTTTCCAATACGACTCGGAAACCAAACGCCACAATGGTTGTCTGCGCACTCCCCCCGTCCGAAAAAAGCTCGCATGAGCAAGTCGAAGGTAAAAACGATGATCATTACCTGTTTGATAGCCGTGGAATTGTTCATAAAGAATTTGTTCCAACGGGGCAAACCGTAAATCAAATCTACTACCGCGAAGTACTTGAAAGATTGCGAAAACGAGCCAACAGGGTGCGCCCAGACATCGAAATCAACTGGATCCTTCATCACGACAACACGCCGTGCCACACCGTCTTCAGCGTGTGCCAATATTTGGCCTCTAAAGGGATCACCATGTTTCCACAGCCGCCTTATTCGCCTGATATGTGACCCTGTGACTTTTTTCTGTTCTTTAGAGCAAAATCGATGGTCAAACGAACCCATTTTGAGTCGGTTACGGACATCCAAAAGACCGTGACGAGGATACTCGCAGACATCCCAGTCGAAGCGTTCCAGAAATGTTACGAAGCGTGAAAAACGCGTTGGAATCGTTGTATAGCTGCACAAGGGGACTACTTTGAAGGGGATGGCAGAGTTGTAGAATAATTTTTAAATATAAGGATTTTATGAAATCAGTCTCATTACTTAATTGTCACACCTCGTATATCCTTTATGAAGTGTTACAAGTTCCACCCTACCTTTGTTTACACACTTGGTACATTTGAATTAAAAATACTTAAAAAATATCTAAGCTACTTCATAGGGCTCGAATTCCATTTCTTCAATTTTCCTAGATTTATCTTTAATCTTATCGTACTCGAAGAAATTGTAAATTTTTTGATTGCTTCTGTCACTCATATCCTTCCACTGTGTCACCCTGCTTTCGGGCAGCTTCATTTCCTCACCAATTATCTTCGGATGACTGCTGTTCTCCATGTTCTTCTTGATACTTTCGTTTATTTCGTTTTTTTCATTGTACTTTTCTTTAACACATTCCTCATTGATGCTATCCTTATTATTAATATTCCTCGTGTTGTTTTGCTTCGCAATGTTCTTATAATTGGATATAAATTTATTTTTACTATCTTTGACATCAGTTCCGACCAATTCCAACCTGCTGGAACAACTGTTCGATTTTAAAATCTTGAATTTAACACCCATGTATGTGTCTTTATCTTCTTCTGATTTTTTTCTGCAATTCGAACATTCCATGCATCTTTTTTCGTTAAATTTAATTTCATCCATTATGTTTTTAGTCAATACTGATTGCCCGGTATTTCTGTTTACTACTCTACCTCCGTAATATGTCACCGTAGTACCTCTTTCTCTAATTTTCTTCATGATGTCCTCGCTTACGTATTCGCAGTAAATTTCGTTGTCTATGGAATCGTATAAATTCTCTTGGCTGCCAAAATCTGATATGTTGGAGGGATTTGAATTTGAATCTGTCGCTGAACATCTATCTTTATCTGGATCGATACTGGTAACATCATTTTCTTTGGTACAACTGGTTGCTTTGTCAGATTTACCTTCAAATAGCTGTCTGACTTGCCTGACGGTATCAGGACTAGGTAACTCATCTTCGTTGACTTCCTTGTTGACCCGTATGGGATGGTAGAAAAATCTTCTGTTTAAACTGGACTTGTTGTTGCCGTTATTGATTTGGTTGTTCCTTAAAGTTGCAGACATATTTTTCATCGATTTTACGCATGCTGATGGTTCGTACGGTACTTTAGATCTAATTGGTTCTATTATTACGATGTTGTTATCGACCAAAAGCTCTTGGAAGCTGTAATCTTGGAGATACTGTATCAAATCGTCGAACTGACACTCTTGTTCGCAGTTTGATGCGAATATTTTTTTCTGAAATAGATCTGATTTCACTAGTTTGTATCGCACATGATCAAAATCTGGTTGCGTATTGACGCTGTCAGATTGTGCTAAAGATTTGTGCGATCTTTCGTTGCTGTCTACCGTGTCGATTGCGTTGTTTGCATCAACGATTTCCACAGCATTAGGGCATAAACTTTGAAATTTATCATTGTTGTAGTAAACTGGTTTCTTATTTTCGAAATACGAGCAGGATTCTTTGATGTTGGGGGATATTTTGCCAGATTTTTCGTTGGTTTTTTGTTCGAATAGTTGTTTGGTAATTTGAACTTTGTTTGGTGTTGAATTATCTTCTATTGTCGGTTCAAATTTCTTTTTGACCTCGTCTACTTTGGTTGTGACGTCGACTATTCTGCATTTATCGTCTTGTTCGTTGTCCGCGAAATCTTTGCTCATTACTTTGTTCCAGTAGTTTTTCATGGTGCCGATTTTCTCTTGGAATTCTTTGTTGCATTCCTCTTGGCAGTACATCATCGCCATGTTGTTCCTTTCTTCGTTGTTAATTTGGTTTTCGTTTAAAGAATCTTTTAGTTTTTTCACGGCTTGCAGGAATTGTTCTTCGGCGTCTTTGTTTGATTGTTTTTTCAACTTTTTGGGCACCTTTGCGATTTTCAATTCGAAATCCACCGGTGCTTTGTCGTCTGTGGTCAGATCGAAGTGTCTTCCGATGTTTATTATGAATCTATTTTCTTTGGACGTATCGTTCAGTTGGTTTTTGTTAGTGCATTTACGCAATTTCCTATCGATTTTTTCGCACTTTCGTAAATTTTTACTGATACTTATGTCTGGAAGAGAATGGAATTGATTTTCGGCCAAGTTTGAGTTGTTTTTGGAATTCTTCCTAGATAGGTTCGATAGTTTTTTGGCTATAAAGTTCTGTAAAGGTTTTTTAGATCCTTTTTGTGTTTCTAAGAACTCTCTTAAGTAATTGTGGCTGTGTGTTTTATTTTCTTTGCAAGTTTGAGGTATGTCAGCAGGTGATTCTACTGATACGACTGTTTTGTATTGGTCTGCGTCTACTTCACTTCCTGGTACTTCTAAGAGCGTTTTTATTAAGTTATTTGGTGGATCTTTTACCTCTACAGGTGACTCTTGGACTTCTAATTCAGGTGTTTTTGATATATTTTCGATTTTTAGGTTTATTTCGTCTAAATTGGAGTCAGTTTCTTCGATAGATTTGTCGGGTGTTGGGATATGTTCGCAAGTTTTTGTGTTGGGGTTGATTTTGCCGTAATTTTCGTTGTATGGTGTTGGATTTCTGATCGTTCTAGGTTTACTTTCTTCGTATAAACTTTTATTGGTACTTAAAACTATGTTTTCGTCGTATGGGATACTATCGTACTCAGTCCGTTCCCATTTGACTTTACTCAAATTATCTAGAGATAGAGAGGAGATATTATCAGTGAGAGATATATTATCGGTATTATCAGTGTCGTATCTAGCGTCTGGGTAATAATTCGGTAAACTTAATTCAGGCAGATCTTCGTAAGACACTCTATAGATATTTCCTATCGAAGATTTGTTATTATAATTGGAATCTAGACTATCGTGTTGGGTAGAGTTCTCGTGGATGTTCTGTAGGGATATGTATGAGTATAGGGGTTCGTTTTTGCGGTGTTGCCGTTTGTCGAAATACAGTGTTTCTTGATAGGAAGTGAAATCTTGTAATGTTTGGGCTGAATTTCGTCGGGATTGACTGCGATCTGGTTTGTCGGGACTGTTGAGGTTGTCGGCGCTGAGACCTTTGTACCTAGAACATAAAAAAGTGTTTTTTATTAAACAATTAATAATAATAATAATAGATATTTTCCAATATTCTCCCAACTTTTTTAACAAAAAAATAAATAAAATTCATTCATTAATTTTATAGAAACATTGTGAATTTCTATATACTTCTATAATATCAAACAATAAATACGTCAAATCCTTTATGTTTTATTATTGTTTTTTTTTTTCGACATTTCAAAACGTTCTGTCTTCTATAAATCTCCAGAATGAAGTGGCGAAAGATAACGGAAAAGAAAAGGTCTCACTCAACTCCATTTTGAGATAGGAACTTCTTGAAATTACTCTTCTTTGTCACTTTTATTTTTAATAGTCAGACTTCGTTTATTCCCTTGTGCAATATTGAGTTAGTTTTATAGTCTGAAACGCTTTCATAATTAACTATGGTATTATTAATATTTGAATTCAAGAAAGAACTATTTTAGGAGAAATATTTTATTTAATTTATTTCCAGTTAAAGGCTAATTAGATGTGTATAAAAAGTGACAGGACAGAAGCATTAAAATAAATGGGAAAGTTTTTGAAAATATAAATAATTTTTATTCTATAGAGATTGGCTCTCCTCCTACAAAGGTAAACTCCCATTTAAAAACAAAAGATAACGTTGTTTAAATTGAGAAGGGTTACGAGTAAAAATCCGCTAGGTTCGCTGATGTATTTTACGACACAGTGTTGCCAACAGCGAGGAATTAACCTAATTTTCAGGTATTTTTTCCTCACTTATGAACAGGCATTATAGTTTATTCATCAAAAATTATAACATTTTCATTCCTTCATTATACTCTATTTCAACATTTTCTTTAAGGACTACCTATGAAGACTAGTCTTCATAGATCTAACTCGAATCTGACTTACTTGAGTTTCATTTACGACTTTTAAATGAACTGCCTATAAGCCAACTTCGATACTGACCTTTTATTGTCCCTGATGGTCCTGTCTATGAGCTTAGCTCTCGGAATCAGCTGTGACCTTCTCCTGCCGCCCTGTCCCTCGGGATGATCCAATCGAGCGAACAGATCCTCTCTAGAGATGGCCAAGCTCCTGCTCCTCCGCAAACTCGAATGCCCTTCGAAAAAGTTTCGGTGGTCCTGCCCGCCCCACGGGTCCGTCGACACGTTATCGAGACTGGCCCTTTTGGAGAACTTTGAGAGTTTGTCTTGTTGCGGTTTGCGTTTGGGATTGGAGGCGGCGTTGGTCGACGTGTACGGGTTGGAGCGCCGTGAATGATTGGTGCTGGTCGCGTAATCTTTGGTGCAGTTCAGGCTGAGCTTGACGTTGTTGATGCAGGAATCGCTGCTCCTGCTAAGGAGAATCATAGATATAATTACGAGTATAATGTGCTTTAATATTATGTATTATAAATTATATTATTAAGAAAGAAAGTGTTTCATAAAACAGGGTTTTATAAGTAACTTTATGAGACTCACTCTACTAGTGAGCTGAACTTTGGTCAAATTAGGTTATAATAAATTTACTCATTAATAAAATTGTTATATTAATAAATGCCCCTTATGGATGGTGTGCTTTTTCCAAAAACAAAACAAAACTTTATAATAATCGCACAAGATCGTAATAAGGATTTTCGTGTTTTTTCAAATCTTTTTAAGGTAGATTGCGCGCGTATTCAAAAATGTCCTCAGCGTTTCGGAAAATTTACTATTTATCATTTTTAGAAGTCGAACATTCTCGGCACGCCCGCCATAATTTTCAAGCCTACCAAGTTATTCGATTCTGGACCTCCGCCAAATTCTATAAATTCAATTTCTCGACTTGAATGTCTGAATGCAGCGTCAGCAAGCTAATTGATTTTCTGCAATGCCAATGACATTGAAAATCATAATCCCTTTTAGAGCTTTTATGCGAACTGACTTTTCAATCGTGCTTTATTTCCTAAACGTATTATGCCGTGTCGATTTTTTAAAATGCATGTGAAGGATATATTATTTAAAAATTATATGTAAACCACTAAATTAACAAATTCACAAGTCAAAAAATTATAGACTAGACTGGGTCGAGGTATTATTTGAATAATAGTGCGACGTTTGTTTATTTTAAACATCAGTTTATTTGTTAATAATTTATTTTAAAACAAACTATTCTAATTTATATTTTTCGAATGTCTTTAAATTGTTCACTATTTATCTTTACAACTGTTTGTATACGACTAACTGACTCCGTGTTCCGCCACCAATATTTATATACATATTGAAAATTCTGGAGGATTCCAGAATGCTCCCCGCCAAAACTAGAAACATTATCACGTCATATTTGGAATGTACTCGAAAGCGCCTTCGCCATAGTCGTCACATATGTTTGGTCTTAAGGGGTTTAATTATTATTATTGTTATTTAATTGGTTTTACTTTATTATATTCTATTTTAGTGTGTATATGTCTATGTATATGTTTATAATTATTGTACTTATAATCTCCTACTTTTAGAGTGTAAAATATAGTAAATTTTGCTTGATAGTTCTAGTAAAATAAGTTGTGACTATTTTAGTCACAAACTAATTATTTTAATAACTTTTATTTTCTTTTGAAACAAGTGATTTATCACTTATCGAGTAGCTTATTCATACCAAACTTATTAGTTTTTATTGTATTTTAATTTTGTTTTAACTGTAATGTATATTTTGGATGAATAAATTATTATAATTATGTATGATAATCGATTGAGCCTCAAAGGCCAAATAATACAAAGAGGGACTTGGAGGAATGGAGCATTACTGAATAATGAAATGGCTCGCATTACAATAGGAAACAGAAGGTTAGTATATAATTTTGTTCTGGAAAATATAGAGGATGTCCTAAAAACAAACCGACAAATTCTAAGGGGTTATAAGGGACATCAGAACAAAGACATATATGTACACAAATGAACTGTTTAAGCCGTAGAGCAATAAAATGTTTTAAATCATTTCAAGTAACTAAATTAATTCTTCATTTAGTTAAACATCATTGTCTTTTGTTTGATATTTTCTGTTTCAACTATATTTGAGGAGCAAAAATATTTCTTTATCACAATAAACATTCCAAAGTTGCCAATTTTAAGACCGTTTTGTTTATTTAAAATTTGTGTTGAAAATGGACGATGATTTTTTATTTCAAGAACTTACTGATATGAGAGAAGCTACACTCTTGTATAAACAAAGATACCTGGAACGCTTGCAATCTCATTATACAACATTTGCTTCCATCCATCGTCGTCTTAGAGAAAGGGGGAACCTAAAGCGTTCTGGTGGTGGTGGTGGTCGTCCAAGAACAGCTTTTACAGAGTTATACACCGTTTGACGAAACATCAATCCACAAGTGTTCGAGCAGTTGCACACTATATGGGATCTTCCAAGAGTTCCAAGTCGGCAGTACAGCGTGTCATGCATGAACAACTCCTTCACCCCTACCATTTACAACGCGTAGAAACTTTAGAAACTGAATATTATCCACATAAATTAGCTTTTTGCCAATGGCTTTTGTATTGTTTACTAATGAGGCAAATTTCACGCGCAATCGTTATTTTAATAGTAGAAACAGCCACATTTGGCATAATGAAAATACTCATATGAAAATAATGAGAGCCCCCCTGGAGGCCCCTGGAGCAGCTTGATTGGTAAGGTGCATTGTGAGTGTTTTAAAAATTGGAGTGTACTGTACAAAAATTTTGCTTGAGATTAACCCCTCGCAATTTTCCAATATTTTTCTGGTTTGTTTTCACCCTTAGCATTTTTATTAGTAAATATGTTTCTTGAATTTATTAAATTTTTAAAACTGCCTGCATACTTGCTGGCTTATTAAATTTTTTCTTTTAAAATATTTTTGGTGATGTTGATTTTATTTGTAATTTAAATGTATACAGGGTGTTAGTATATTCGACTAACAACGCTCTACCGACAAAGTTCTCGTTAATAAATTTTGATATACTAACGTGGATCCTTAAAGGGCTCATTTACCGAGATACAGGGTGTTAAAACTTTCAAATCAAAATCCAAAATTTGCCATAAATCAAAAAGCCTTTATATTTTTTTTTTTTGGTGACCAATATGCTCTTTAAGAAAATGATATTTTGACATAAGCTAACTTTTAAAAACATTTATCAGTAGTGCGCTATCAAGGTTAGTGGCAATTTTTTCCTCCTATTTTTTAGACCACTGGAACAAATATTTTTTTTTTATTCCCTGTTAATTTTTAGTTAAAAAAATAAGAATCTCTTTTTAGATAATTTGTAACGAATCAGTATTGCTAAATTCTAATCTAGTAACCATGTGTCAAGTTTTAAGACCTTCCAGACTACATAAAATCATAAGTGTTACATATGGTTGAACTCGTATTGAATAGGTGATTCCAATAATGACTGAATATACAGGGTGATGAATTTGAAAAACCAAAGTGACCAATAATATAAGATCTGGCAACATTGCAAATATTAAATCTGGAATCTCCGTATCCCAAAATAGGTGTACCCCAAATTTTGTACAATTAGGACTAGCAATTTACGAGATAATTGGCCGTTTCCCGACTTTTGGGCCACTCTGTATACTGGAATTTGATCAATTGCAATATTTGAGAAAATTCCAATTCACGATTTTCTGATTGTTGTCCCCTGTTAATTAAAGGTAAATCTATCATACAACTGACTCCTTAGTTGCTTCCAATGATTCCTAATTTCTGAGAAAATAAAATCGTCATTGATATCGTATTGTTTATAACGTTTGTGGTATTTTTTTTTTATAAATAAAATGTTTAAGATCTGAATTGAATCATACAGGAAGCGTTGAGGTTTTGAATCTATTTTATAAGGAATTAATGCATTAATTATATCCTATAATACATTATAGAAAACTGTTACTAATTCGTTGAAGTTTTTATTTAGAGAAAAGAACATCCAAGTTAACACTGTAGTATTATTAAAAAAATTAAATCAATAAAAGCATACTATTTAGAATATGATTGTCTTGATATATTTTAAAGCATCAAAAGAGCTGGGGAATTAAGAGGACAATCCATTGCTATTGGCAAAAGCAACAACATATCAAAACTTCCGAATTTTCAGCAAAGGACCAAATATTTACATTTAAAATGAGCCGTGTCCCCTTGTGTAATTTTGCGAACAATTTGACGCGACTCTCACTCGCATTTGGGCAGTACGTGATCCATTATTTTTCCGTCGTTTTTTGTCCGACAACATCATTATTCTAATTTGTCATCTTTCGTGACATGAATAGAAAAACGCGAAATCTCACTTCAATTAATAATAACGTGAAGCAAAGGAAAAAAGAACGTGCATATAAGAGCGAGTCCAAGCTCATTGTGTAAAAGATGTGTTTTAATTACCGACCACGTCGTACCGTGAATACTAATTCTACATAGTTTCGTCCATTTCGACAGCGCGATTAATAGAGCAACGAAATTAATGACTGTAATGGCAAAATCGGAGAAAGAATATACCTACATACTAACAATGGAGGTTATAGTAGTATTCCGAATGGCAGTCATAAATATTTTATTTCCATTAAAATTGGATGCGTGATGACAAGGCATTATTTTGATTGCCAGTTTGAAATTTTACTAATTATTATACTTATTGTGGGAAAATATATTCAGCCAAGTGGATTATACTTTCTAAATTTTACTAAATTTTTATTGACTACGTTTAATAATTTCCTATACTTTTAGTTCATTAATAATATAATCAAAAATCATACATTATATACTTGACTAATAGCTGATAATCATAGTTGGTACATTTGGATGGTAAGTTTTTAGTTTAGTATGATCTTTTTTACGACATTAGTGTTCTCTTTGTGCACACTTTTTCCGACACACTGTATATTACTATTTCATTCAACGATTGGACCCTTATGTAAACTAACTGTGGACAATAAAGAACCTGTCGATTGACCGTGTTTCCAAAAAGAAACGGCTTTATGAAGTGGAAACAGTTGATATTCGCGGGCGGCTCTTTATCTCCCTGGATAAGTGATTTTTATCAAATCGCATTTTTAAGATCAAAGTTGGACAAATATTCTCGTTAGAATATTCAGTTCTAAGTGGTGTCCCTTAAGGCTTTGTCATAGGGCCATTACTATTCAATATATACCCTATAAACCTAGGCAAAGACTTAAATTCCCATATCTTATGTTGCGCTAATGACACGAAGCTATAGTCTAATCCTGTGACAGACTCTGCCCAGCTATAAAAAATATTGAAGCTATTTCAAACTAGTGTGATACCAGGCTGCTTCTAATAAACACGGAAAATGTGTCGTAACATAAATAAATCATATAATTAACGTAAAAATATTCAA